GTTGTAATATATTTTCATTACATCCTGCTATTATTTTGGTAACGTTGTATTTGTGTTTAGTTAACTTTTCATTCCCGAGGTCATAAATTGAATTGTCATTTTCACAAATCTTAAGTATGCAGTTGAATTTTCTCGTTGGGGGGCCCACAGAAGCTTTGATTTCTTTTTTCTGTAAATCAAAAATGATTAATCGGGAAGTTATAAAATCTGACATAAACACTAGCTGGTTATGGACATCAATGGCGAGACTATCTATATGGGAGCGTGCAGCAACTATTGTACTTTTGTGAGAAAAATCAGTTCTCAAGGGAATAATTTTGGGAAGCGGACAAATAATGCGTTTCATGAAAATGTGTTGTTGTGATACTGAATTGCGACTGAGAAGATTTTGTTGGGATGAGTAGTACTGCTTGGTTATAATTTGAATGTCACAAAACCATGTCTTCAATTGTCCATCATTATCATCATTTGTATCATAAAAGGGTTGATGATGCTTGGACGATTGATAGGAAGGATTTGAAATAACATAATTCATCATTGCAATGTTGCTGTCTTCATCAATTTCTTCTACTTCATCGGGTGGCACCTCATCATCATTTTCATCATCACTGTTGTCGTTTTCATCAGTTTCTTCTTGCTCTTCATCAACACCGTTCTCATAGTCATCATTGTTTTCTTCGTCATAAAAATCATCCAGCTCTTCTTCATCATCGCTCTCTGGATTGTTTCGTAGTTTCTTGATGTTTGAACCTTCTGGTTGGTCAGAAACGAGCGAATGTTTGAGAGTATTCGATGATGACGAACTAGTTGATGACGGACTACTCTTTAGTGTCCATGTTTGTGTGGTGTGGTCGAAATCCGCAATCTCGCGGAGAATTGGTTCGATTTGATGTTTATAGCTATACCCATCAAACGCAACAACAATCTCTAGGACTGTGAGAGTATGCTTTTCTTTAAAAAAATCAACCAGCCTATTTTTGAGGTCATCTGGATTAAAACCCACAATCCTATCAGTGTTCAACATTTTTTTAATTTGGTTCAATTTAAATATTTTTTAAATTGACACCACTGGTGGGTTTAATACAGAGCTGGTTTCCTGGTTGACAGATGAGATTTTCAAAAAAAAAATGCAGTTTAGTTGGTTTCATAAAATCACACGCTGTTTGTCGTCGTCGGAAGACGGTCATCAAGATGATCACATAAACATCAATCATCAAATTCAAATAACCAATGCATCCACTCATTGCGCACATACCTCTAACAAAGACCACTCCGATGCAAGTACCAACAATGATATTGTAGAAATTGCTCAAGAACCAACATCCCATCCACAGCAAACACCAACCGTTCGAAAAAATATAACTTTTCACGATGCATTCAATCAATTTGGCTACGTTCATTATTCCCAAGTTTTGGAGAAAATAGACAATGAAAAGGAGAGCTCTTATGTGTTTAAAGTTTGTGACTCTAAGAAATACGGAAAGGATATTGCATTGAGATTAGTATATTTAGGCAATGATAACTCTGTTGGAGAAGCTCTAAAAGAAGCAACGGTTTTTGTTTCTCTGTCGAAGAAAGCGCCACATGTTGTTCAAGTTCATGACGCATACGCTGTTGATAACATGAACGTAGTATGCATGGAAATGGAATTAATGCAAGGGAATGCAACTGAGGTATTGATTGAAAAAAAAGTTTCTCTAACCGAGCGAATGATAATTCAGGTTGCAATGCAGATTTGTGAAGCAGTGAAATACCTGGAGGAGAAGAAAACTATTGCACGGAATAGGTAGGTTTGATGAAAATGATTCACATAATGTACTATTTGCATTTCAGAATACTTCATACCAATGATATTATGATCAAGGAATTGAACCTTGCTAATGAAAGTATACATATCGCGCTTTCAATTTACTCCATGTTACACCGTTGTCACCGAAACAGTTTATTCATGCCTCCTGAGTTATTAGATACAAAAAATTCTACTGAACCGAAAGACTCGAGCTCCATCGTTTTTTCGCTCGGCGTAGTGCTGTATCAACTCATGACGTTTAACACAAGCACATCAATACCAACTTTATGTACAGAAGAGGTGGACATGTATGAATTTTTGAGCAAGAAAATGCACGGATTAAATTTCTCAAAGCAATTTATTGAGCTCGTTTCGACAATGGTACGATTGAGACCTGAACAAAGAATCTCTATCGCCAAATTGGAAAAAGAATTGAAGTTTTTACAACACCAAAGTGAAACCATTGGTGCATACAACAAACATCTTCTCGCAGAACATCTAATGTTGAATGAACGATACAAGGTTACAACATTATTGAGATATTATGAATTCAAGTGCTCAGCCATCGATATAGAGTCTAATGACGAAGTGGTGCTTTGTTTTTCCAAGCTATTGGATCCATTTTGTCACTACGAGCTTCAAACCACTCTTCTCTCCATTAACCATGAAAATATTATTTCAATCAAAGATACGTTTGTTTGGATGGACGGTCAAGTACTGGTCACTGTGACTTCAATGTATCAACAAGATCTCTTTTCAACATTAATACGAAAGAAAATTCAAGTACCTGAGAGGTTGGCCATTTCTATTCTACATCAAATAGTTTCTGCACTCACTTTCATGCTCAAATTTCACAATATCTTGTATGAAAACATCTCACCACATCAAGTAGTGGTACTGTATTGGGATGAAGCAACAAAAAGCTCAATTAAGGTTGCCTTGCAGCCATACACATTGATAACAAAACCGTTCTTGAAACACCAGCGTAAAATGGTCATGTCATTAGGGCATATCATGTACCAATTACTTGGCCAAAATTTTCCAACAGGAGCATATTGGCATGAAGAACATACAGATTTAATAGAAAGGCTCTATTGTGGAGAACACTTTGCAAAGGTAATATTATCCATGCTGAAACCTAACACTAATGAAAGAATCTCTTTAGAAGATTTGCATGTTGGTCTGGAAATAATGAACGATTTTATGGAAAGCACATCAGCAATCCAGGAAACAACGACTAGCAACAAGGAACAAGATGTCATGGAACCCGTATCAACCATCTCAATTAATCTTCAGCAAAATGAGGAGAATGTTAGTACAGGCACCAAGGGCACGGCTCCAACCAAAACATCAGCTATTGTCCAAAACGAAAACGATGATGACGTGATTCTAAACTTTATGAAAGAGAGTTATGAATGTATTTGCAATTTCCATCCACATTATAGGAACGTGTATCGTGCTGTGAACAAAACTACCAAACATGAAAGCCTCTTAAAGCTTTTCAAAATAGATTGCGCTCAAGACATGGATAACTTACTGAACATGGCATCTATTTCAAAAATATCACATCCAAATATCATACACGTTGAAAAGATATTTGCTCCAGGGGTTACATCTTCCGTGTGCATTGAAATGGAGTTATTACCAGGAAGTTTGCATTCGGAATTTATTGAAAAACAAGTTGCCTTAACAGACACCATGATCAGACAAACTATTGCTCAATGTTGCGAAGCTTTGATATTTCTAAAGAAGACCTATAATCTCTCTCATGGGTAAGTGCTTCCTAATATTTACTGATGATAATATTTACATGAAACAGAAATTTGAAACCTCAAAATATTTTAATAAGACGTTGTGACGTAAATGCTTCAAGTATCCAGGTTGTTTTGACAGATATTGGATTAAGACAGGCAGAAGTCAACCACCGATATCAAGCCCCTGAAATTACCAAAACATCTCCATCATCACTTGAAGCTGACATGTTTTCGTTAGGTGCTAGTCTTGCTTTAACCCTTCTCCCCAACGCTGTATGGTCGGACCTATCTCAAGAAATGGATCTCACAGATTTCATGGTCAAGAATAGCTCAACTCGATTCTGTAGAAGTACCATCGAACTCATTACCTCCATGTTAAAATTGGATCCTTCACAACGCATTAGCCCATTTCAGCTTTTGGAACGACTAGGTCCAAACACCCAAGATGGCACAATGAAAAAAATCTTTCATCACTCCAAACAACATGAGATTCCTGTTGTTGTTCGCATTTATTGTGATGGAGATGAAAGATCAATTGAAATTTCTTCGGATACATCATTCCACGATCTCGCTAACCAATTTTTCATAGCGTTTAACATTACCAATTTGAAATTCTCGGATTTTAGAATTCAGTATCATGATCACACCGTTGAAGAAGATGTTTCAATTTTATCGGATGAAGGAGTACGATTGTTTTTGGAGCAATTTTCAGAGAAAGGAGTCAAATTCCTCCAGGTCCAAGTATTGAAGAACACTACAATGCAACAGTTAATTGAAGTGTACGTTTTGCTAAACAAAGAACAAAAATTGGTGAACGTATCTTCGGAAATATCATACGTGCAACTTGTGGACAAAACCTTCATTGCATTCGATATAGTGAAGTTGCACCATTCCAGTTTCAGACTCCAATATTTTGATACAACAGTTCAGGAAGATGTGTCTATCTTATCTGATGAAGGAGTGCAATTGTTTTTAGCTCACTGTTTGCAAGGAAACGAAAATGCATCGCTGAAAATTAGTTTGTTAAACAATTCTCATACAACCAATGAATTGGCGTTGATGGCTGTGTGCGTTTCATGCAACGGAGAAACGAAAACACTGTTCATATCTTCCGATATAACCTATGAAACGTTATTGAATGAGTTATTCCAAAAATTTAGTAATTACATGCTCACGTTAAGTCCATCAAGCTGTAAAGTCCAATACTATGATCAAACTTTGGAAGAAGAGGTGTCCATCACGTCAACTGAGGGTGTGAAATTTTTCTTCGAGCAGTATTTCGACAATTCTGTTGAAGACAAGTATAAATCTCTCCGTGTTGACATTCTACCCGCAACAATTCATCCATATGAAAATAGTAAGCAAGGCCTAATTGATAATGAGGTAAAGCATGTGATCACTAAAGAGCAAGAAGAGCCACATCAAAATGATTCGAGACTCGCACCCAATTCATTTCTGGTTGAGAACAAAGAGTGTGTTGAAAATGATTCAAGAATTGCCAACACATCATTCCATGTTCCAAATAGCAATTTTCAAGCAATGAACGAAGCATCAATGTCAAATAATGATATTTCAGAAACAGCACAAGAAGAGAAGAAATTTGAACAAGTATTGAATGAAAACTATGGTTCATTGCAATTTATTGCAACAGGTGGATTTGGACAAGTTTATAAAGGAATTAACAAAAAGAATGGAAGACAAGTTGCAGTGAAAGTGATGAAAACGAGTGATTGGGAAGATGCGAACAAAGTGATCAAAGAATTTCAAAGAATGGCTCAATTAGAACATGAGAATATTGTCAAGACATTCAAATCATATTTTGCAGGAGGAATGAAATCAATTGTGATTGAAATGGAATTGATGATTGGAAGTTTATATGAATTAATCATTTCAAAGAAAGTTGTATTGAATGAAAAGATGGTTTTGAAAATATTGAAAGAGAGTTGTCAAGCATTGGAGTGGATTCAATCTCGTCACAATATTGTTCATCGGTGAGTATTATGAATTTGAATTTCTGATTCTTTTACTGAAATATTGTTATGATGTGTCTGTACTTTTCATTTATGAAACACAATATTCACATGTGCTCATTAGAGATATTAAACCACATAATATTTTGATAAGAAGATTGGATTTACAAAAAGAAGAGATTGAAATTGGACTTTGTGATTTTGGAATGGCGAGAAGTATTGAATCTGTGAATAATACAACACTTGGAGGAACAAATCTTTATTTCTCTCCTGAAGTTATGGATGAATGGAATGGAGGATCCAATCATGAAGAAGTATTTTCATTTTCAAGTGATGTATTTGCATTGGGAGTGAGCATTTATCAATTAATGACATTTGATATGAGTACTACATGGTCCACTCTTTCAACACAATCAACTTATGAAAATATTCAGAAAACCATTCATTCAAATTTAAAATCAAACTCATTTACAGATTTTATTGTGGAATTACTCATTGAAATGTTGAAATCAAAACCAACAGATCGAATCACAACCTCTCAAATATTGAATAGAATAGCTCTCTATCAACAATATCAAACAGAACAAATAGAAGACACTTGTGCTGTTTCTAGCCGTAAACCCCTTCCGAATAATAATCAACAAACATCAGTACTCGATCCGAAAAAATCTCTTTCGAATCGCAAAGATGAAATCAGTTCGTCGACAAAACAACAAGAAACAACACCTTCGTCAACACCAAAAGAAGCAACGTCAAGAGAAAATGCGTTCTCTCAATGGATGCTTGGCACAATGCATCGTACAGGGAACGGTATGAAACAAGATAAAGCTGCTGCTCATACATGGTTAGAAAGAGCAGCCAATAATGGATTTCTTGAAGCTCAGTATGATTTGGCCCAAATGATAGAAAACAATGAAGTACATGTAGAAGGTAACGCACGTGAAAAAATATTTAAATGGTACGACAAAGCAGCAACGGCTGGTCATGCCAAAGCTCAATGTGCTCTTGGAAAGAGATATTACTTAGGATGGGATGGTGTACAAGACCACGTTAAGGCTCGTGAATTGTTTCTCTTGTCAGCTCAACAAGGGTATGCCGAAGCAAATTACCAACTTGGTATGATGTATATATTTAACGCAGACTGGAAAGGTGCAATTCCATGGTTGGAAAAAGCTGCAGAACAATCGCATCTAGAGGCCATGGATTATCTTGGACGTGCCTATTATAATATACTTGATTTTGACAAAGCACTCATGTGGTACAAGAAAAGTGCAGATAATGGATGTGTAAATTCGCAATACCATGTTGGAGCACTTTATCTATATCTACGCCAACCTTCAAAAGGATTAGAATATTTAGAAATGGCAGCAGAAAATGGGCACATGGAAGCAAAAACCAATATTGCAATCTATTTCAAAAATGCACATGAATATGGCAAAGCCATAAAGTGGTACGAGAGGGTAGCCAATGAAGGTAGTTCATTATTCCAACTCGAATTAGGGTCAATATATGAAAATGGTAGCTGTGGACAACTTAGCGACGAGTCAAAGGCATTGGATTGGTATATGAAATGTAGCTCCAATAATGATCAATATGGTAAATTGGCATGCTATAGAATTGGAGAAATATATAGATGTGGTAAAGGTAGTGTGAACAAAAACATAGCCAAAGCAATTGAATTCTATGAAAAGGCTTCTTCAACATTCGAAGGATTACTTCGACTTGGATTGATCTATCAACTGGGGGAAGAAGTTCAACAAGACGTTAACAAAGCTTTGAATTATTTTGAAAGAGCAGCTAAAGCTGGAAGTAATGTTGCACAGTATCATTTAGGGAAAATTTACCTTGAAGGAAAGATTGTTACAAAAAATATTTCAAAGGCCCTAAATTGGTTGCATATGGCAGCCAATGACCAAACGGTAAACTTTGGTACTCCACCAAGTAACCATCACGCACAATTTATGTTAGGCCTAATTTATGAAACAGGAATATTTGTTACTAGAGATTTAGACATAGCTACCGCTTGGTACGAGAAAGCCATGAAGGGCGGGAATAGAGTAGCTCGGTTTCATTTACATCTCCTCTATTCTTACAATCAACAATACAAAAACGCAGAGAATATTGAAAACAATTATGGTGGATATGGCGATCTTAATAATCTCAGTCCTAGCGAAAGCGATATTTTTCATTGCTTAAAAGACCAATCCACAGAAAAGACATACTTTACGTATTCAAAATCAATGGAATGGTATGAACAATTATCTCAAAACGGAGATGGTTTTGCACAAAATAATCTCGGTTATATTTATTGGAAAATTGAAAATAATATGCAAAAAGCGTTGGAATATTTTGACAAGTCTGCCAACAATGGAAATGGTGATGCTCAATTACAAATTGGCTGTTTCTATAACATTGGTTTGGGAGTTGAGGTTGATTACGACAAAGCAGCCGAATATTTTGAAAAATCCGCCAACCAAGGAAATGAATATGCATTGTTTCTACTTGCATGTCTTTACAAGAACAACGATAGAGAAAAAGCGGCAGAGTATTGCGAAAGGTCAGCAAAAAAAGGATGCAAGAATGCCATTTCCATGCTAGCAACTTTGAAAGCTGCTCAACAATAACCAGTTATTCTAATAATATTACTTCAATACATCATCGTCACCTCAAGTATCAATTTATTTTCTTTTCCGCACATAAGGACGGGTAAAAACAGGTATTGCTAATAAAATTCGAACTGATTGGCCTTCGAATACCATAAAAGTGCTGAGGACATACCTTTTAGCACCTTACACCTTACACTTTAGTGCCGTTTGCAATGGCACGTAGTCCCAAAAAGGAGATACAAATAGCACTTAACACTGGAGTGCCAAATGCAAACAGCACCTGACACTTGAGTGCCAAATATCATCAGCACTTGTCCGATTTATTTTTTTTAATTATTTATTAAAAATTAGCAGATTTGCGACCGAACTTCGTGGCTTGCTCAATGTGAAATGCAAAGGAGCGACCTGGCTCAAAAGAAATTGCTTGAGAGCTTCGGGTCACAATTTGATCAGTTCTCGCTGTACAACCATCATCCACTTCGTCCAACACGTCATTTGAAGATGATGATGAGTACTCAGATTCTGAATCTGTAATAATTTTGCTCTTACGGGATGTTGTTCGAGTTGTTGCTCCTTTTTTCTTCTTTGCCTTTGGTTCTTCGACTTTTTCTTCTTCTTCCGACGTCACTTCAACAATTTCACCATCTCCCACTTCTTGAAAATCTTCGTCTTCAATTACATCATCAGCTTCCTGACCGGCGAACTCTTCCAATGCTGTGCGTTGGTCTGTTTTCAATCCTTCTAAAAAGTTTTCAAGAGCGTCAATAGGAGCGGTGTTTGTTGGAATCAAGCCTCTTGACACTGTGTCAGCAGGCCTGGAATCGAAAGGGTCGGCTCTTTTTCTCTTCTCGTTTCTCTTCTTCCTTCCTTGCTTGGTGTTGTCAGCATATGAAAGTGGCACATTTTCATTCAGGCCCAATAATTTAATGACGCCTGTAACATCCTCTCGGAGCATCATTTCAATTTCTACGATTGCATTACCATCATAAGTGGGTACTCCTGTAGCATTTAACACTTCTTGGACGTTGGTGTTTCTTGGTAGATTATTCTCCACAGCACTTGTTGCAAGTAACAATTTAACAATATGCGACTGCCGCCACCAATCACACCACGACTTCACACCTGGACAATAAAGTTCAATTGCATCAAGAATGGTTGTTATTGCTTTCTCAGACCTAAACTTCTCAATATCACTGGCCAAACCTTCCACTCTCGTCCGTACAGCTTCTTCAACTGGGATAACCTTTACCATCCGTTTCACACTTCTCTTGAAGTGAATAAAACAACCAGATGCCAATTGTTCAACAACTTCTTTACCAGCACTTCCAAATTTCTCCATAAAAGCCTCCCGTAATCCCTTAAGCTGAGACTGAGAAAAATCGACAAGGATGGACTTGATTCTTCGATCATTGCCTACAAACAATTCTTTCAAATCCAAACCACCGGACTCCAACGCATCCAAGAACATTCGGAAACAGGTTTTATAATCCTCTCTCTCAATTAAAAAGCGGCATAATTGGAAGCACATTCCTCCTTTCGCATGTTCAAAAAATGTACTTATGCCAAGGTGATTAAGAAACGGCCCTGATTTCGCTTGATGTTTCATATCAATGACTAGCATGTCTACATGTTCCATCAAATGTCGACTGATAGGAAACATTAGGAAACCTATTTTAGGACAAAATTGAACTTGTTGGACCCAACTACCAAATCCATCTGACAACGACATACCAAAAAGACACTCATCTGCCAAGTTTTTCGTTAATGAGGGAAGTAAATTCTCCTCAACCGAAGCAAGAATTGATGCAAAGTTGGAAGTGGAACCAAATTTTGTAGACATGGCTTTTCTTCTTATCCTCTGAATTCTTGTCCCGTTAATCAGAGCTCTGTTTTGGGCACCAGGAATAAATGGAACTCCAACTCCTCTTGTCACTTGTTTTGCGGTCAATGTAGGATTTTGATGGAATGCATGTTCTAACAATTCTTTCTCCTCAGTGCTTACTTTTGAAGGTGGAGGGTTGTGATGAAGATGTTCACCAATGCAAAACAGAAACTGCTTGCCAGAAATTTCGTTCTTGAAATATTTGAACTGAACAACACATTCAAACAATACCATTTCCTTTTGATGTACCGAACAAATGGCGCGATGAGCACTCTTTGCAGCAGTTTGATTACAACCATGTTCAGGACATTGATAACAGCCTCGACATAATCCATGAGCAAGGTTATGCTTTTGTTGATTGATGATTTTGGATGTGTAGCTTCCAAACTTGATGCTGTATTGAATTCCCGTTTTCAAAGAATTATCAGAAATAGAAGACCCCTCATATGAGTAGAGAATATTGGGCAACGGATATTGAATAACTTTAGAAAGATGTTCATGGTGAATCGATTTGTCTGAAAGAAGTTGCCAAGGGTTGAATCTGACCATTTTTTAATCAATTGTTTGATACTAAGGAACGAAGTGTTGGTTTTATTGAGAACAAAGTTTAACGGTTAGTTTCACATACTAGAACCTCCATTTCAATCAACATCCATTTCGCACCTTACACTCAAGTGTCAAATACAAATAGCACCTTACACTCAAGTGTCAAATACAAATCACACTTCGTTCATTTGGCACTCAAGTGTCAAATGCAAACGACACTGACACTAAGTGTAAGGTGTAAGGTGCCAAAATATAACAACTCAAAAGTGCTTCCTTTGCGTTTTGTTCAACACCCAATCCTTTCTCATACAAATTGCCTAATCCAAGCATTGCTGGCTTGAAACCTTGAGACGCTGACTGTTCATACCATGTCAGCGCTTGAGAATATTCTTGATTTGTTTCGTAGTAGGTACCGAGTTCAAATTGTGCTCCCATATTTCCAAGACTGGCTTTTTTTTCAAGCATTTCAATTCCTTTAGCACAGCTACCTTGTCGGTCATCATGTAAAAATACTAATGCCATTTGTAATTGAGCATCGCCATTTCCATTATTGGCTGCTTTTTCAAAATACTCAAAGGCTTTCAGAATATTTTTCTCTACTCCAATACCTTTCCAATAAATATAGGCAAGATTATTTTGTGCGATATGATCACCTGTGTTCGCTAATTGTTCATACCATTCCAAGGCTGGAGAATAGGTAGCATAAGTATGTTCTGTATTCTCTTCCCAAATGTCATAAAAGTCAGTGCTAAGCCAATTTAGTACAGAAAAATCATGTGAATCCCATTGAGCTGTTTTCACATAATTTTGTGCATTTCGTTGAAGTAGATACCAATGAAATCTGGCAACAAGATTTTGAGCAAGCATGGCCTTTTCATAATATTCCAATGCTTTTGATAAGTTTCTCTCAACATCAATTCCTGTTTCATAAATTAGTCCTAGCATGAAATTTCCATAATGCTGTTTTTGAAAGGCCATGAAAGACGTTGCTACTCGTTCATAATAGTGAATAGCTTTTGAAATATCTTTCTCAACTATCTTTCCATATAAATAGACGTCTCCTAAATGTATCAAACTCAAGGCATTAAAACCTTCGTTGGCCACCTTTTCAAAGCATTCTAAAGCTTTGGTACAATCTTGTTGAACACCAAGCCCTCTTTCATAGAGGAGGCCGAGTGGATATAATGCATCTGTGACAAATAGGTTAATAGCCTTTTCATAATTTTCAAAAGCTTTTTCATAATTCACTTCAACTCCTTTTCCAGTCCGATAATATTCACCAAGTTTAAAAAAGACCATTCCAATGTTACACTTGGGATCACATTGAGAGTACCAATAGAATGATTTTGAATAGTCTTTCATTTGTCCACAGTCACCAATTTCATAAATTGTGCCTAATTCTTGTTGAGCAGCAGCATAACCGTTTTTGGCTGATTTTTCATACCATTCCATTGCTTTGGAGACATCTATTGTTGTCACACTCAAGCCAAATCTATAGAAAACTGCAACTTTAAATTGGCTACGTTCGTCACCAGATTCCGCTGACTTGAGATACCACTCAAAAGCTGTTTTGGGATTTCGTAAAGAATTTTCGTAAATGAAAGCCATGTTAAAATACAGATCATCGTAACCTCCTGATTCGACACATTTCAAGTACCATTCAATCGCTTTTTCACCATCGGTTGGGTTAGAAAATGATGTTGATTCATAGATAGATCCAAGAGTTTTCATCGATTCCACATGAGATTGTGCTGCGGCCTTTTCCAAACATTCGATCGCTTTGGTGGAGTCTGAGAGATGATGTTGATAGAGTAAACCACATTCATAATTAGCTTCAATACTTCCATTGGATGCTGCTTTCTTGAACCATATCACTGCTTCATTTAAATTGTATCTGCTTTTGAAATATCTTGCAAGAGCGAGCTGTGATTCAACATGTCCAGTCTGGGCAGCTTTTGAATACCAAAAAACGGTATCACGATCATGTACTATTGGATCTTGTTGTTCATATAGTTTTGCCAATGCCACTTGGGCATGTACATCTCCTCTTTTTGCGTCCCTTTCGTACTTTTCAATTTCCTTTTCAAGCTCTAATTGTGCGGGGTCCATCGGTGGTGGAACGTATGTGCTGAATACTGAGGGTGTATGATCATTATTTTCATCCAATGGTCCATATGTTGGTGGGTTATACTCCTCTTCTTGTTCATCATAGTTTTGAGTAAAGGTTCCATCCTTGTCGATGGTCAGCAGCAGTTCATCGTTCTCATCCAATAGAGGATCGTCCTCTTCAAAACATTCATTTTCGGTTTTGTTTAGAACTAGACCATGTTCGAACGAGAGAACAAACGCTCGAGGATCATCCGCTTTGGAATACCAGTCGTAGGCTGTGTTGTAGTTTTGTTCCACACCTAATCCATGCTCGAACATGTGGCCAAGAGCACTCATTGCTGGTTGAAATCCTTCAGAAGCTGCTTTTTCATACCATTCCATTGCTTTTGCATATTCTGCTGCTGTTCATGATACTTTCCCAGTTCCACTTGCGCAATAAGATTGTTTTGGTTGGCTGATTTTTCAAGAAATTCAACACCTCGTGAAATGCTTTGAAGTAAATTCATTTCATCTTCTCCATTTTTCAATAAAAGTCCAATGAGTAATTGAGCATCACCATTTCCATTATTGGCTGCTGTTTCAAAATATTCTAATGCTTTTTGAATGTGTTTCTCAACTCCAATTCCTTTCCAGTACAAATAACCGAGATTATGTTGTGCAAAGTGATTTCCCTTTTGGGCTAATTCTTCGTTCCATTTCAAAGAATTGAAGTAGGTCGAATACGAGCAATGTGGAACGACCTCTGATGCTACATCACTCGTTGCCATTTCAGAAATATCCATATACTTATTGATCATCTCGTCACTGAAATCAAAGTCTTCATGTGTACTTGTCAAGGTAGAATACTGCTGTAGATTTCGTTGCAACAAGTATTTGTGGAGATTTGCAACCACGTTGAAGTTTGTGGATGCTCTGTCATACCAATTCAAAGCTTGCTCCAAATCTCGGTTTACATGGACACCTGCTTCATACATGCGACCTAACAGAAATTGAGCATGTTTGTTGTCATTATTAGCTGCTTTTTCGTACCAATACAGCGCTTGAGAAATATCTTGTTGAACGAGGTGACCATGTTCATAAAGTTGTCCGAGATGTAATTGTGATTTGGAGTTTTCACTTTTTGCTGCTTTGTTAAAGTAATCCAATGCTTTGGTAATGTCTTGTCCAATACCATCCTGTCCTCTTTCATATAAAATACCAAGCTCAAAATCTGCTTCAGAACAGAATTGCTGGGAAGCTTTTCATAACATTCGATGGCTTTTGGTACATTCTTGTCAACTCCTTGTCCAGTTCGATAGAAGTGTCCTAATTTAAGTAAACCCTCATAATTTGAGAAAGCTCGTTTTTGGAATACCAATAGAAAGCTTTGGAGAGATTTCTTGTTTGTCCACAATCACCATTTTCATAAATGTTACCGAGTTCTTTTTGGGCCAAATAGAATCCTTGATTAGCAGATTTCTCATACCATTCCATGGCCTTGTGGAAATCCTGAGATACACCGCTCCCGTTTCTATAGCAATCTCCAAGTGAGTATTGACCATTAGGATGACCATTCTCGGCTGATTTCAAATACCACTCAAACGCTTTGCATTCATTCTGCAATCCGTATTTGAAAATTGTCGCTATTTTGAATTGTACGTGTTGTGTACCTGAACATTTTTCATACCATTCCAAAGCTTTTTCATACTCTTGTTTGCTATCATAAATGTCTCCAATGTATTCCATAGCTTCTATATGAGATTGAGATGCAGCTTCTGTCAGCCAACGAATTGCTTGCTTTTCATCATCAGATTTCCAATATAACACACCGAGTCGATATTGAGCATCTACAATTCCTTGACCGGCAGCCTTAAGAAACCAATCCATGGCTTTCTTGTGTGTACCGTCAAACTCACAAAAGACACCAGCTTTGTATTGAGCTTGTGCATGACCACCAACGGCCGATTTCTCATACCAGCTCTTAGCTTGATGAATATCCACTTCAATGCCTTGTCCTTTTTCGTACATTTCAGCAAGAGCGAACTGTGCTTGTGCATTGCCATTGTCAGCTGCTTTCATGTACCATTCCAACGCCTTTGAAGATTCCTCATCATTCCTATGGTACATGTCTCCAAGAAAATTTTGAACAAGTCCCACGTGCCATGTTGAGGAGGGTTGAGATGTTGACGAACAGTGTTGATCTAATTTGTGGTCATACTGGTATTGTTGATAGAGAGCTATTCTATTCAATATTTGAGAGGTTGTGATTCGATCTGTTGGTTTTGATTTCAACATTTCAATGAGTAATTCCACAATAAAATCTGTAAATGAGTTTGATTTTAAATTTGAATGAATGGTTTTCTGAATATTTTCATAAGTTGATTGTGTTGAAAGAGTGGACCATGTTGTACTCATATCAAATGTCATTAATTGATAAATGCTCACTCCCAATGCAAATACATCACTTGAAAATGAAAATACTTCTTCATGATTGGATCTTCCATTCCATTCATCCATAACTTCAGGAGAGAAATAAAGATTTGTTCCTCCAAGTGTTGTATTATTCACAGATTCAATACTTCTCGCCATTCCAAAATCACAAAGTCCAATTTCAATCTCTTCTTTTTGTAAATCCAATCTTCTTATCAAAATATTATGTGGTTTAATATCTCTAATGAGCACATGTGAATATTGTGTTTCATAAATGAAAAGTACAAACAATTCATAACAATATTTCAGTAAAAGAATCAGAAATTCAAATTCATAATACTCACCGATGAACAATATTGTGACGAGATTGAATCCACTCCAATGCTTGACAACTCTCTTTCAATATTTTCAAAACCATCTTTTCATTCAATACAACTTTCTTTGAAATGATTAATTCATATAAACTTCCAATCATTAACTCCATTTCAATCACAATTGATTTCATTCCTCCTGCAAAATATGATTTGAATGTCTTGACAATATTTTCATGTTCTAATTGAACCATTCTTTGAAATTCTTTGATCACTTTGTTTGCATCTTCCCAATCACTCGTTTTCATCACTTTCACTGCAACTTGTCTTCCATTCTTTTTGTTAATTCCTTTGTAAACTTGTCCAAATCCACCTGTTGCAATAAATTGCAATGAACCATAGTTTTCATTCAATACTTGTTCAAATTTCTTCTCTTCTTGTGCTGTTTCTGAAATATCATCATTTGACATTGATGGTTCGTTCATTGCTTGAACATTGCTATTTGGAACATGGAATGATGTGTTGGCAATTCTTGAATCGTTCTCAACACACTCTTTGTTCTCAACCAGAAATGAATTGGGTGCGAGTCTCGAATCATTTTGATGTGGCTCTTCCTGCTGTTTAGTGATCACGTGTTTCGGTGCTGTGGTGGAAGTACTCTTCACTTCAAATGTCGTTGGAGCAAATCTTAAATCGGTGCCGGCCTTCTCAGCGTGAGTGTTGGTTACAGCAGGAAACTCTTCAACTTGTAGCGACTTGTGATCTATGACCTTAAATATGAGACATTTGTTTTCTCTCTTTACGTTTGGTTTAGAAATCTGAGACACAAATGATTTGATGCCATCATCGGAGGTGATGAGTTCAATATCATTGAGTGTCTCGTTGAAGAAATGAATTTGAAATTTTGTTTCAGATGCTACATCGAGCTTTTCAAAGTTTTCTAATAATTTCTTCACAAGAATCTGGTACGAGATTTCAGCAGAGACTTGTGTGACAATCTTCTCGGTTTGTATACCCCTTTCAAACCGCACGAGCACTTTGTGCATTTTTTTGATTGGTACCTCAGTGTGCGTAACATGTCGTTTGTCTCACTTCTACTTTCCAAAACAAATTTACAAGCAATTTACTTGGATTTGTTTTTCAATCGTTGTGGAAGTATTTGAGCCGTCAGCAAGCCACATAGAGATTTAGAAATTAAATACCACGCTCAATCTTGATATTGCTGTCATTGATCATTTGGAGTATTGTATTGAACATCATATTCCAATTCTTCATTCTCCTCGCTACTCTCAGATTGTCGTGAATGTTTCTCGTCCTCCGTATAAACTACATTCTCATCGGTCAATAAAATTTCATCTGGATTTTCCTCTTGCTTGAGAACAGATGTCACAAGTGTCTCTTGTGGATGACTGATACCTGGTGAGGTCAGGGTGGTATGAGAAGTCATGGTTGGTGGTTGTGTTACATCTTGTTGAATATCTGCAAGTTCAATTGATTCTTTTCTGAGCGAAATGAAAAGATTCGAATCTTGAGTGGTGATAATTCCAGCTCGTTTCATGACACTCTTTTCAGTTTCTCTCTTGTCGAAATAAACCTTAAATGCTTTTGTGGTAATTAAGCGACTGAAGGTGTCGTGTAAATTCAGGAGGGCTGTTTCTCGGAGTGATTCTAAAATTTCACACAAGGCTAGTGCAATTTTGTGATTGGACTGCATGTATGTAACTCCATCTTTGAAAATTAAATATCTCTTGTTGGCGGAAGAGATGGATGAAGCATCATCTGTAGTGACATAATCAATCGAGTGAATGAAATGAGTGACTTTGGATTTCAATTCGCTTTGAATAGAAATTTCTAAACATCCAGATGAGGCAATAAACGAATTATACATGTCACTAATCGCCTTGTTCATTACATTTGCATCCTGTTCATACTTTTTTTCTTTCACTTGTTCTATAACACGTGTCACTTTTTCATAGAACAATAAATTCTCAAGGGAAAACTCAGAACAGCAAAACTAGAAATGGCCATTCAAGAGGTAATGGACGTCCATCAATGTGTGAAAAATTTCCATACTCGTAACGAAAAATTCAAATACTTACTCTATAAATCAAGTTTCTACCGTCTCCAGTAACATCTGCAATGGTATCCATCAACAATTTCGTAGAGGCATCTCTTGTTCTAGAAAGGTTGGACGAAAAAAACAACTTTTTTGTGTTGGCTTTCTTTCGTTCTGAAACCAACTGAACCATCACAATAAATCCACAGGTCAATAATACGTAACTCATTTCAAACAATAGGTATAAAGTGCCGTGTACAGATAATAGTGTAATTTTAGGTATGACTCTCCAGTTTGGAATTTGAATCAATCCCACTCCAAATGTTGAAAAACCAAGTATTAAGGCAATAATGGTACTTGTAATAAATTCCAACCTGTAGGCCAATGGGTCATCGTAGCTACTGAAATATCGTATTATTCCACTGGTTGGACTGATGAAGGTTGTCGTACTTGCTTGAACTTGCTTCATATATTGAGTTTGCGCAGAGGAATTGTGATTTGAAGTCTTGTCAATTTTCATCTTGCTCTTGAAAAATTCAAACACAGGATTAAAAATCCACTTTCTATTGATGGTCAAATCAATGAATATCGTGCAAAAGCCAGGTAGTATAAATCCAATAACAAGGGAAATCATTTTCAAGTAGACAATGGCTGATAAGAAAAAATTCTTGACATCATCAGGAACAATACTCGTGTCATTTAGAATCCACACAAATACTGGAGTGGGGATATTAAATAACATGACAAGTATGACCACAACAGCTCCAAAAAATCGTACAGATGCCAATTTTGACAGAGCATATAGCTGTTCCAAGCGTTTCTTAAAATGACGTACTTTTTTCTCGTCATTGAATTTCACATCTTCCAAACCGTCTACAACTTTCACAACTCGATACAAATTTCTCACAAATAAATATCGACACATGGATATCAAATACAGAACTGCCAATGTAATGTAAAAAGAATATTCAATTCCATCATAATTAAAAAAGTTGAAATCAGAGACACATCCAACAATGCTAAATATTAAACAAGCAACAACGCTGAGTCCTGAAATGAGTATTCTGCTCTTAATAGGTTGTTTGTTCTTGTAAAAGAGTAAAAATCCAGCAACCATCATCGAGTACAAGAATAAACACACGTGTCGAATCGCTCTCCAATAATTATAAAATTCCATTGGGGATATACTGTAGAGACTGACATAATAATCACAATTCATGTCATAATAATCTTTGGAAAAATCCACTTCATGTGCCAAATAAAACACTTCTGGATTTTGACTGGTAATGAGTGATGCAAAAAACTTGGCTTGCTCTGATGGTGAGGTTATGTTTTTAAGAAAGTTTGCCGAGTGATGAGAAACAAAAAACACCACAAATTTCAATGAAGAAGCGTCATTCTCATCATTACTTTGTGGATCTAAGTAAGTAGAAGTGTTCGACCTTGTCAAAATACTATTCAATCTCTTCTCATAGGTAATGTAACACCCTCCAGTTTGAAGCAATGCATGATAATAGCTGCAATAACTCTGTGCCTTTTTTGTGTTGTTGTTGGCAGAAACAATTCTAGTTTTTTTGAAAAGTGGTAACAAGGCCACGTCATCTCCGTCATTACAAATTGCATCAGGATAATTGGTGTTATTATTGGCTACATCATTGGGAATAATTATTTCGGTAATGGTTGAACCTGTCACATTTTGCAAATACGGTTGTTGTGTCACGTTATTTCGGGAAAGATAGAACGTTGGCAGTCCATCCATGTAAGAAGTATGTAACGTGATGCGCGATTGGTTAAGAAAATGAATCATCTTAATACTCGACGTGCTATCCAATTCTTGATTGAAAAAGTATTGATATTGATCTCCCAGCTCATCCATTTCGTTTTTTAACAATTTTTTCAATTCCAAACTTGTCACACTCTTGGCAAATGCAAAAAGTTTAGGATAGGTATAAATATTAGATGGAGTTTCTCCAATGACAAGTCTCATTCGAATAATTGGTCCCTTTGACGCTTCTTTGTTATTACTGAGAGGTGTGTAATTTGAAAACGATTGCTCGTCCAAAAATTTCCACTGCAGAATCGCTCGTCCTTGCCCAGTTTGAGGAAATACTCGACAATGTGTAAATTTCTCATCCAGCGTATAAAAGGTACTATTGTCCGTATAGTGATCATTATTTGCTTGTAACATGTTGAGAGAATTGAATATTGAAGGAAAGCCACTTTGACGTGAGTTGAATGGCCTTGCATTAAGCCATAATATGTAGGAATTCCAAATCCATGAAATTAATGAAGAAGAAAAACGCTGTGAATGAAATTCACCTCCATGTCGAGAATGAATCAACATCGATTGATTTAGGAGGGAAAAGAGACTTATTGAAATGGCACCTATCATGAGTATCAACAAAATTAAAGTGGAAATAATCATGATTAATCCAATTATGAAAGCGAGGGAGCAAGATTGTGGAAAAGACTTGTTGAATTTTTTCAATGTTTCAAGCATGGTTGTTGCTATTGACGGCAGAAATGATGGTTGTCGTGATGGAATAGGTCTAGAGGATCCTTGGGAAGGATGTATGGAGGTGTTGTTGCCACTTGTTGTGAACATGCCTGTCAATGTTCCAAAAGGCGTATTATTTGAGAGCGTGTGAATGTCAGTGAAATTGAGTTCGCTGAGCAGGTCGTTGTCGTTGTTGTGTTTGTTCGTGTACGTGTTGCCGGTGGTTGTTGTCGAGGAGGTATTGGAGGAGGATTTTAATTTTAGAGTTGGTGTTCTTGTTGTCGGAGCAGAAGAAGGTAATGTTGTAGGCGTTCGTGGAAAGTTTCCACTGGCAAGATCTTGATTCGTGTGCACATCGTGATCATTAATCCGTGTGCTGTTGCTGATGATGGTGTTGTTGTTGTTGGTGTTGGTGTTATGAGTGATTGGAGTGTTCGTTGCAACTAACAGCATGGTGTCATGATGCCTTGACATTTTTTGTTTCAGAAACGGACTATTAAACTCAGCGCTGGCACGTTCGAATTGTGTGAATCATGATTGAAAGAACGCGCGAGTTTCTTGTCTTGATATTAAAAATCGAGAATGGAAGGATTTTGAAACTGTGTGAATTTCATCTCAGAAATGAAAGAGGAATTCCTCTCCTTTCATTCTCAATACATTTCCGTTTTGCAAATCGCTAAGTTTTATAGATGATAAAAAAAGAATGGCGAGGACTTGGTCACTAGATCTTTGTATACACTACCCAAACACTGAATGTCCATGGACTTGATACAATGTATTACAATCATTCCTCTTCTATTAATTTGGAACGGAAAACAAAAATAAATATTTATCCTTTTAAAAGGTCTTGGATTATTGCAAAATTGGTGAATGGAACATTCTAGAGAATAAAGGATGGTCATACCTCCCTGATGGCAAAAGAAGGTGCATGAGCGTGGACCCATTGTTGTTGTTGTGGCATACAACTGGCACAACTTGCACAACTTGCACTGTATTGTTGGCCAGCTTGCATTTTCAATTCAATGAAATTTAACCAAATTAATCATTCTCCAAATAAATTCAATTTCCAAAATTCTCAAGCAAGATATTTCACAATCAACAAAACCAACCATAAGCACACACAACCACTCAACATTTTCAATAAAACAATACAACACAAGCTGTGTACCATGGTCTTTAAACCCATCTCTCAGTTTATAAATTCTCATCCGACGAGCAACAACATCAGATCATCCCGCAATGTTACCTCCGTGTTGGGACGTCTTCTCTTTGATCAATCTTACATGAAACGAGGAGGCAATGTTGCATTCTATTCGACCCACAACAATGTATTGAATACCACCTCGACTGAATCTGCTACTAGTACGGATACTTCATCAACCACTGCTGCTCATCATCATAAAAAGAAGAAACATCTTCATCATCGACCTCATGGCGAACATAAAACCGTTCCAGAGGAGCAAGCTGCAAGTGGTGTTGATACTGGTAACGCTGCAAGTGATGCTGGTACCAGCAGTGCCTTTTCAAGTGCTTCATACCTCTCTAAACAATATGATGACTCTACTGAGGACGATGTCAATGCTGAAAAAAGCTCTGAAGCATTACCATGGGATAGAGAAAGAGAGAGCAAGATACTTGGAAAGAAAGCAAATGAAATTGATGAAATTAAATGGAATGAAGCAGAGGATAAACCTCACTCGAGCATCTACAAGAAGGCTGAAGAAGTGTTCGTTCTAAAAAAGGAATTTCATATCATGGAAAATAAGATTAATAGAGATACTCAGGAAAAAGGTCTGAAGGATGATAGACAACATAACGAATCTGGTGCTTCTGTTTAACATTACAATCTTTGCCAATTGATATATATCTTCACTCTTGTGAGACTTGTTTTTTCTCGTATTGTTATTGTTTGGATGGTTGTTTCAAGTATTCGATTCAATGCGGAGGTTCAAATCCATTGCAATTCTTTCATTCGATCTGTTGAGAGGTTTGAACCATATGGTTTGAATATAGTTGTTGCTTAAATTGTAAATAAATATACTTTTTGATTCGTGTTTCTTATATCGAAAATGTTGTGATCATCCATATCAAGAAACAACCTCCAAATTTCAAACATGAAATAATATCGCGCTAAGAGCCATTATTCGAATAATAATAATTATATGTTACAATTCGTGTAGAAGTGAGCTCTTATGGGGTTACTCCTTCTGACCACTCTGTTGAATAGTATTACTTCTCTTGTGTGGTGAATAATATTCATCATCTAAATTAATATTCATATTGTTCACTACTGTTTGCCTTAATATATCTTGTTGAGTAACGACTTGATCTCCATCGACATAGGTTTTTGCCACGCCTTGTCCCATAGCCTTCCAAATACTTCTGAAGGCCGTTTGGTTACGAACTCGAGGTTGTGGCGGAGTGTTATTATTCACCAATGCCACATCTGCACTATTGGCACTCGACTCAGGAATGTAATACGAAGAGCCAAAACGTTTCATTAAGGTCGATGAGTGGGTTGAAAAATTGTCCTCGTCCATACCCGCTCCTGAAGCAATACTGTTTGCCAAATCGTCGTCTCGACCAATTAATTGATGACTCAACACATTGGAGGTCTCTAAATTCATGACTCGTCTCACTTGTTCATTGCTGAAAATGGTGTTATTAGAATCCAAGAAGAATCGCATGTCCCAATCTTCAAAATAGGAACAATCTCGTCTGAAATTATTACATCCTAACCAACTTCGTATGGTGTACCATACTACTTTGTACATGACCAAATAAAAGTAGAGTGAATATAAAAAGAGGGGAATGTAGGAAATTAAAATTCGAATGGGAATTAATCGATTCAATCGAATGGAATAACACACTGCTATAATGATGGTGCAGAATATGACAAGCACAAGCATGATCACTTCAATCTTGGTGTCTTTGTAAGCTCTTCGAATATTAATGGTTAGGATAGAAATGAGCAATAGTAAAATCACATAAAATCCAACGAGAGCAACAAAGATGGAAAAGCCTCCTGTACTGAAGGTACAAGATGCATCTGGGTGAACAAACGTATTATGATCGAGCACGGTTGAAACAATACAGCAAATGACAACTGGCACCATCAAGAAGAGAAACCACAAAAAGGTTGGAATTTTTCGCTTGATATTGTACTTGACCTGTTGTTGAACATTATTGTTTGTGTAATATTGTTGTAATTAACCCAATAATTCATTTCCAATCAATTCCATTCAAGAGTACATGTTTTTGTCAAAATTAGTAAAAACAAATCAAGTTCAACAATCAAAGTTCAAAAAATCCAATACAATGAATGGTACAAGTATTGGACAAAAACTCACCATGACATTAAACAAGATAAATATCGTGAGTAATCTCACAATAATACAACAGATCCATCCCATCAAGGACAGTAATAGTAACCAAATATTCACCAAAACACACAAATGTGGATGATTCGTGATGATCGTATTGGTATAGGCATAGGAAATGAAAGCAACAGTGCCAAACACGACACTGGTTGCCATCATTTTCGGTTGTTTGCTTCTCACTGCTCGAAATCGATGATTCAACAAGACACAGAACGCGAAGAAAATATTCACCACACAAATTAATAATCCAATCGAGAAGAAGGTAATGTCATAGGGAGATACAGGTTGGACCGTTAAATTGAACACATTGACAGGAAATTTGCTGCCATTCGTGACATGAACGTTATATACAGAATTGTGGTCTTGTTGAGAGGTTGAAAGATCGGTTTTGGGTATTTCAAAAAGCGACACGGTGGTGTCGAGAGGGTTCCATCGATGGTGTGGATCTTTGTTGTTGTTAAAAATGGAATTTACAAGGAGTGAGAAGAGTGAATGAGTTAGTGGTGATGATGATGATGATATCATTTTCTTGTGATGAACTCGGTATTGATTGTCAACAATTGATGATGACTATGAGGATAATAAATGTTGAGTGTGAGATCACAAGGGCGTTGATGACATCGATTTTTTTGTTGGCAAATTTAAAAAAATTGAAACAAGACAACGAGAGAGTTTTTTTGGTGTACCAAGCAAACTTTCCTCGTTCCATCCGTGTGTACGATTCTATCATCATCCTCATCAACCCGATACCACACACATGAGTATCACGTTTCAACAACAACAATAACCACAATATTTTAAATCTGTATTGGCCAGTAACAAATTCGAATTGGAACTCTATCATCATCAAATTTACAATTATTTATTGCCAATATCATTATCATCATTAATTATTCACCCCAATCACCAAAGCAATGTCAAAAAACAATAATAGTCCCTCAACCACTCCCAATTTTGGCTCGGGAAGTACTGCCACACAACAACATCACAACAACAACCTCACAGGAGTAGAACACATTCAATTTAGTGAACAAGTCGACAAGGCTCTAGAGGAAGTACTTCCACACAAGGATCCATTCGATACAAGTCTTTTTGATCCCATCGTTTACATCAATACAAATTTTCCCAATGAGCAAGCATTGAATGAAAAACTTGAGTCCTATATCATCAAAGTGAAAAAGAAGATTCAACGCGTGGATGAAGATATTTTGGCTGCTGTTCGTAAACAAAGCTCTGCCGGTGTGCAAGCAAGAAAAGATTTGGAAGAAGCCCGAGACACCATTCAAAGTCTATTCAAAAAGATTCATGAAATTAAATCAAAGGCAGAACAATCTGAACAAATGGTACAAAACATCACTAAAGATATCAAATCACTCGATTACGGAAAAAGAAATCTCACCGTAACCATCACAACACTCAAAAGACTTCACATGTTGGTGTCAGCAGTGGACAAACTCACTCTCTATACTCAAAAGAAACAGTACAAGCAAGTGGCCGAGCTTATGGAAGCTGTCAATGAATTACTGCAAAGTTTTGAAAAGTATAGAAACAGCATTCCTAAAGTTCAAAACTTGTTTTCTCGATTTGAGAGTGTTAAAAAAACACTGCGAGAACAACTCTTCCAAGATTTTAAAAGTTTGGATGCACACAAGAATTCTGGACGTGAAAATGTACAACAATTACTCTCAGAGGCATGTTTAGCTGTTGATTCTCTTGGTGATGCAGTGCGAACTGAACTCATTTCACAATTTGTTAAATCGAGAGCTCTCCATGTTTACGATATGACGTTCAGAGAAGGCAAGGAGGAAAGCAAATTAGAAAGAATTGCCGATCGTTACAAATGGTTACTCAAAGTGTTAAAAACGTATCAAGAACAATTCGGAGACATTTTCCCAGATTATTGGTGTGTTCCACAGGAAATTACAATAGAATTCAGTTTAATGACTAGAGAAGCCATCGTTAGAATGCTTCAAAATGGTAAAGACCTCTCGGGTAAAACTCTATACTCGGTCATTCTTTCAACAATCAAATTTGAACGTGACATGCAAGAACGATTCTACGATCCAGATGAAGCAGAAATTCTTGTCGACATTCAACAACAAAAGAAACTTTTAGAACAAGAAGAAAAGGCATTGAAAGAGCTATCAATGAAAGTTGAAAAAGGCAGTCCAGAATCTGATGAAATCCTCAAAAAACAAATCAAAATTACTCTCAAACGTCGTGAACTTGAAAAACAAGAGCAAGAATTTACAAAAACTTCTAGTTTGGATTCTCTTCTGAAAGGAGGCGCAGAAGGAGCTATTGCAGCAGAAAAACAAAAAAAGAAACCAAAATTCAAGTTTAATTTAATTGGTTTTATCAGCAGCTGTTTTGAAGAATACATGAATGTCTACATTGAATATGAGGAAGAATCTATGAGAGAAACACTTGCTAAAATTATTCAAAAAGAAACTTGGGACATGAATAGTGAATATAGCAGCTCTCAAGATCTCTTCATGTACATTGTGGAGTCTATGAAATCATGCAGTGCACTTTCCAAGAAGAGAACTCTATTTGAATTGGTAGAAAAAGTGTTCAAGAAATATCTCAACAATTATGCTGACATTTTGATGCACAAATTACCCAAGATACAATCCATTGCACAGCCAACAACTGTTGCCACCACTGGAGCATCGACTACCTCTGGTACTACAGCATCGCAAGGTGCTTCCTCATTGATGAGTAGATTGGGTATGGGAAATATCTTGAATACCAATGAAATAGTTACAACGGATAAGAAGGCCAAGCTCACCGAGAAGGAGGAAATGCTTGTTTTCTATATCATCAATAGCGCTGACTATTGTCAGCAAAATATTGAAATGGTTGAGGAAGAGTTGAGAGAGACACTTCAAGAACCATACTGTGACCAAGTGGATTTATCAGATGAACAAGGCAAATTTTACCTTCTTCTCAAGAGTGGTGTTGAGGTACTTGTAAATAACCTTATGAATGTCATGGAGAAACAATTTACAGAAATGTTATCCATTTCATGGGCTCATGTGGACACTGTGGGAGATCAATCCAATCACATTTCTGTAATTATGCAAACTCTCAAAGATGCCATTCCATTCTTGGCCAGATTCCTCCCAACTACACACTTCAAATTCTTTTGTGATAACTTTATTCTGTCCTTCATGTCCACATTGACTTCATGCATTTACAAGTGTAAAAAATTCTCACCCATGGGAGCCCAACAAATGCTGTACGATGTAAGCTGCTTGACCAAGTTTTGTTTGAGAGAATTAATCATTATTGGAGATCCCAATCGGTTTGATAAGGACGATGTTGCTAGCTTCTCAAAGAAGGTTGACATCAAGGCTCAAAAGATTGAATGTATTTTACGTACCATTTTGCAACCCAATGATTTTTTGGTAGGCACTTATTTACAATATGCAGGATCTGATCACAGTGTTGCTGAGCTCACAAAGATTTTAGAATTGAAAGACTTGCAAAAGAATGAAAAGCAACAAATACTTGAAAATTATCAGAAGGAGGTTAAGAAGCGACAACAAGGGTCACAACAAGAACAAAACAATTCCACATCATCCTCTTCCACCACCGCCACTAGCGGTACTCCTGGAACAACCTCTTTGACCATTGGAACTGCTACAAAGAAGATGGAGCAAGTGGTCTCTTCTAGTATGAGCTTTATTAAGAAATTCAACCTTAACAATTAAATGAATTTCTATGAATGAAATGAATCAAAGATTCTTTTTGCTGGCTTAATCAAAAAATAAACGCAACATGTCTGATTGGACTCCCATTTCCCAAGATCAAAGATTGAAAAAGAAGATACTTACTCCAGCTCGCTCGGATGAGCAACCACCAATTGGATCAAAGGTTTCTGTTCATTATACTGGGTATGTACTTGTGGTAGACATGATTCTGATGTGATCATCATCACAATTGTTGTATTATTTTGGTATTTTCATGTGATCATCATCAATCGTCCAGAACATTAACCAATGGCAAAAAGTTTGATTCCTCTCTCGATAGAGGACAACCATTCGTCTTTACTTTGGGCAAAGGAGGTATGTTTTGAGTTTGCAATTCTTTCTGATTGTAATCAATGATTTTCATTGTTATGGCCTGTGATGTGCGATGCTGAATATTTCAACCAAATGAATCATCAACGCTCATCAACTACCCATCATCAACCACCCATAATATGAATTTTGCAGAGGTGATTCGTGGTTGGGATATTGGAGTTAAATCAATGAAAAAGGGTGAAAAGTCATACTTTGAAATTCCTTCAGATTATGCATACGGAAACACTGAAATCCCTGGCCTCATTCCAGCAAATTCAACATTGATGTTTGAAATCGAGCTGTTGTCATGGAAGTAAATAATAATTTATTGTTTTGAAAATATTAATTAGAAAAACTCCAAATACAAAAAAATGTTTCAATTCATTGGTAGAAGAGCCTTGTCGGTCTCACAAACAACACTTTCATCCTTGAACCGTTCTGCTTCATCATCTCTTGCTCTACGTACAATAGGAAACACAAGCCTACGTTCCTATTCCGCATCAACTAGTGTAGATCAGCAGCAGTCCAAAGCACCAACATCGGAGCAAACATCATCCGTTTCTCCCCAAGCAAACTCATCAGAAACAACCCCCAACACAACAACTAATGCAATCAACACTACTACCACAACAGTAGAAAACCCATCGGAAGCAAAACCTCCAAGATATAACCTTGGTTCTGGCAAATCATATAATGGTATTCCAATTCATACTCCACCCAATCAATTCTCAAAGAGAAGTGGCTTCTTTAGTACATTATTCAGATACACAATATACTTTTTCTTGTTCTTTTGGATTTTCAGTGGATATCCAATTCACACAGTGTCTAGCTTTATTTATCGATTAATGCATGGAGAGCCAGAAGAAGAAAAAGACGATCAATAATTGATTCTAGAGAGTGACTCAAATCTAACGAAGGGGTGTTTATAAATTGATTTATAATTTTTGGATAAAATCTCAATGATTTATAATTCATATATGTGGGTAAATGTTATTCCCATTCATCAATGAGGGGCAAAGTTAGTTTGCAAAGATCCACTGTCCTAAAGTTGTGGAATTTGTCGAATTGAAATGGATCAAGTTGATAAACAATACACTTCATGTCACAAAATTCTCATAAAATCAACCACCAATTCTTCTTTCTCTTTGCTAACTGTGAAATGTTGGTTCTCTGTTGTGAAAATCCACACAGTAAATTTGAGCTATCCATCAGAATGGGAGTCCGAGTCGCCATCTGACACACTTCTTGAAAATAAGGCAACCCACGTACATAGAGAACAAGCACAACAAATTGACCCAAAAACTGCTAAGAACACTCCAAACATGTAATATCTCTCGTACAACTCGGATGACGGTTCAACAATGGATACCTATGAATTCCAAAAGGAGGTTCAAAAATTATTGACATGTTAAATTATATTTCAGATAGAATACGTGTTAAATGATGTGAAAATGTTACAATACAACTTGGGTGTGACTAACAAGCGTTACTAAAATTTTAAGATGACCTACCATAGTTTCATTCTTATTGGAATAACACAATACAGTATCATTCACTTTCAGAGAACGAAAAGGTTCAATGGTAATGTCATACGCTGGTGTAGTCATTAAGCTTTTATATGTTCCTGTCATTCCTGCATGAGTTGAAAACGAAGAAGCTGCTTCATCCTGGTCACGAATTCTAGAACTTTCATGCAACAAGCTCATAACTTTGTTGTTCTGGTGTTCCACAATTACTTGCTCCTCATTTAAATGTTGCCAATGCATTCCACTCATCACTCGATCACTTCTCCTCCTCTCCTCATTTCTACTTTGAAACTTTCGAGTTTGATTAAATCCCACTCGAAAATAACACACTCGTGTATACTTGATCACAAAACAATTCTGCCAAATGGCTTCAATTCGACAGCCACCAGGAATTTCCACAGTAATTGCATTTACATCAACAATTGAAGTGGGTCCATCACGAATATAACCAAAATATAATCCACACAAGACGAGCATGGGTATTCCAATCGATGCAAAGAAAATCATTCCTGCAAAACAAAAGATCACCTTGTTTCTAAATTCCGTTTTCGATGGTGTGGTATGTTGATATAAAGTATTCGGAAAGAGTAACGTAAAGGAAGAATATTGAGAGGATCGATGACTGGAGTAGTTTGCCTCTTCTTCTTCATTATTGGAATCATTCCTCTGATGATGATCATCATGAGAAGAAATTAAATCTATATTTGTATTTTGATGATGATGACCCGATGATGAGCCTTCCTCTCGCACCCGAACACTAAATCTCACTCGTCGTGAACCACCACCTGATCTCGTCCTTCCAATGGATTCTTCATGATGATGATTATTGTCTGATGATGAAGGTGTTTGTGGATGATCCAAAGGATGATGAACATGTTGATCGTTATTGGTAGTAGGAGTAGTTTGAGTTTGAGCGGTGTTGAGAATCATAGAATTTGCTAATTCCGATGGATTAAAGGCACCACTTCCGAAAAACATTTTTTTGAGTTGAATTGGATTCTGGTTGTTCAGAGAGGATTGTGCTGCGTTTTGAATTTGGGATCGTTTTGATAAATACCCAAATGACATGCAATAGTTCAAAACGGTACTGCTTGACAAGATGATGTCACTTGTCCAACACATTAAAAAAAACATGCTTCAGAATACCAACTCTTATGCGCAACAAGAAGAAGTCTCTCTTGAAGAAGAATTCTTGTCTGCTTCTTTCAAAGTGATTGTCCGCTTGGAATTCTCATCTTCTCTTCCTTCCGAAAAAGTAATTCTCAAATTGAAACCAAACACTTCCTATCAAACATTGGTCCAAGAATTATTCAATGTTTTTCATCAAATTCCATCCTCTTCCTATTTCCAAATCAAATATTTCGATGAAGATGCTGAGAGTGAAGTGTGCATTCGAAATGATGAACAAGTTTCATGTTTTCTCGAACAATACAAAGATCCGAATGTACTGAAAGAACACAAACAACTTGTATTTTGTATTTTCGATTCGTCAACAACGAACTTTCCGTTACCAATCAATGATCTGCCAGTAACAAGACAGAACTCTCTACATCCTTTGCATGGAATTCCATCTCAGAATTCGATTTCAGAATTCCCAAATTCGAATCCTCATTCATCTAGCAACGTGATTACCTCTCAAGATCTTGAGCTGGTAAAAAAGAAATTCATTCAAAGAGGTTGTGTCTCTCACAAGATCATTACACAAGAGAGTTCAGTAGATGGGCCTTCATTCGTTGAATTTCTGTGCATCCATTCGCAAGGTGCCTCTCCTAATTGGCCCAATGAAAGACTTGTGAAAGTATTGAAATTAGAAAATGTCGACAAGTCCAATCAAATTATGAAAGAGCTTAAAAATTTGAAAAGTCAATTGTATCAACAACAGCCGCTTAACCGATCCATTGTTAGCATCATGGATGTCTTTCGGGTAGGCAATGAAGATTCAAGATTGGTGGCCATTGAAATGGAATATTTGAAACATAATTTATGGAGCAAAGTTATTCAAAAACGAATGCTATTGACTGAGAAAATGTTGTTTGATATCGTAAAGCAAACGTGTCAAGCATTGGAATTTTTGGATCAACAATGCATTCAAAGGTAAGTCTTTCATGACAGATGAATATATTCACAAGTGAACTTGTTTGTTCGTTGCAATGAAATTTAGAGAAATTAATCCCCATAACATGTATTTACGGAGCTTGGATTTTAGTGACGAAACATTGAACATAGCTATTGTTCCTAAGGGAAATTTGAGTGAAAATTGCTTGGTAGCAAACATCTCCAGAGAGAAGCAGTATTATCAAGCACCAGAAAATCTTACTACCAACAAACATCACAATAGTTTGGCAAGTGACATTTTCTCACTGGGTGCCGTTTTATATCAACTCATAACCTTAGACATGGAAACATTGTTACCACCAGCTGTCAACTCTCTTAGTTCAACACATAACATTCAAGAGATCATCAAAATTCAATCCAAAATTCCCTACTCTAACTCACTATATTCTCTCATTTCACACATGTTAACAGAATCTCCTCAAGAACGAATAAGCATGACACAACTTGTTTCAGATTTTCCAAACACTCCAAACGCAGACATGTACTATACCATTGGTTGTCATTTCTTCTCACTCAAACATTACACCCATGCCAAAACTTGTTTCGTCAAAGCTGCTAACCATGGACATGTTCTTGCTTTAAACAGACTTGGAGTTTTATATTGTGAGGGACTGGGAGTTGCACAACAGTTCAGAACAGCCCTTTTGTATTTCCAAAAAGCAGCTTCCAAAGGAAATGCAAAAGCACAATTCAATGTTGGATTGTGTTACGAAACAGGACGTGGTGTGCTGGGAAGAGAATGTGATTATCAAAACGCAGAGAAGTATTATTTGGCAGCTGCACAACAAAATCATGTCCAAGCTCAAGTGAATCTTGGATTATTATATTTGGAAAACAAATTGAGTTGCAACAATTCTAAATTCAATGCTCACTATTGGTTGAAGAAAGCAGCGACTCAACATCAAAATCTCATAGCTCAACATGAGATTGGTTTCATGTACTTTAAAGACCACTATTACTCAAAAGCTTTGAAATGGCTGACTCGCTCTGCTCTTCAAGGATATGCCAAGGCACAAAATGATTTAGGTCTCATGTATGCTCTAGGTAAAGGAGTGGACAAGGATTTCACACAAGCGTTTGAATGGTTTGAAAAGGCAGCTAATCAAAACTTTGCCGTAGCTCAATATAATTTAGGAGTCATGTATGAGAAGGGAGATGGAGTTCAACAAGATGAAACTCAAGCACGGAAGTGGTATCGAAAAGCAGCTCAACAAGATCATAAAGGAGCGTTTCGCAAGTTGGGAGGTTTGGATATTAATATATGGACTGATGGAGTGAAGAAAGCGCTTTTACATGGTCAATTGTTAAGTATATTTATTTGTACACCTATTTTCAATGAATCGAGTTATCAGGCATGTCGAGACTGATCATGATTGGGTAGTGTCAATAAAACCTTAGATGGCAAGATGTCAGTTGTCCACTTTGACAAACACATCAAAAAAAAACACATGCTTCAAGACACCAATTTCATCCAGTTGTCGGAAGAGGACACCACCCACATCTCTTCAGCGCCACAACAAGAAGAAGTCTCTCTTGAAGAAGAATTCTTGTCTTCTTCTTCTTTCAAAGTGATTGTCCGCTTGGAATTCTCATCTTCTCTTCCTTCCGAAAAAGTAATTCTCAAATTGAAACCAAACACTTCCTATCAAACATTGGTCCAAGAATTATTCAATGTTTTTCATCAAATTCCATCCTCTTCCTATTTCCAAATCAAATATTTCGATGAAGATGCTGAGAGTGAAGTGTGCATTCGAAATGATGAACAAGTTTCATGTTTTCTCGAACAATACAAAGATCCGAATGTACTGAAAGAACACAAACAACTTGTGTTTTGTATTTTCCATCAAGCTGCAACCACTACCACTACTACGACATTGAGACCGAACGTTGTACGAGCAACTCCTGCATTCATTACTATTCCTCATGATCCAACGCAATCTCAGACCACTTCTGTGATGATTACTTCCCAAAATCTCGAAATGGTAAAAACAGAATTCTTTCGAAAAGGTTGTGTCTCGTTGAATCAAATGACTACACCACAGGAACATAGACAACAACAAGAGGGACGTTCAAGAGCTGGAGCTACATATGACATGGTAGAGTTATTGTGTGTCTTTTCGAGAGGAGACAGCTCCACATCTACTTCGAATGCACGACAACAAAAAAGACGAGGAAAATTATTGAAATTTCAAAATTCAGCAACGGCCAATCAATTGCTAAAAGATGTTGAGACTTTGAGAAATCAATTAAGTCAATATCATCCACAACAGAATGCAAGTCCAATTGTCAGAATCAGGAATGCTGTTCCAGTGGGTGGCGAAGATTCGAGATTGGTGGTCATTGAAATGGAATATTTGAAACATAATTTATGGAACAAAGTTATTCAAAAACGAATTATTTGGCCAGAGAAAATGATATTTGATATTGTAAAGCAAACATGTCAAGCTTTGGAATTTTTGGATCAACAATGCATTCAACGGTAAGGAATACTACTTTAAGGAATGATTACGAAATGACTTTTCTTTTTTGAAATTTCCAGAGAAATTAATACATACAATATTTATTTACGTAGTTTTGATATTCAGAATGAAACAGTTGAAATTGCCATCGTTCCCAAGATCAATTCAACCATTTGCCCAGATTGTTTGGAAGAGTATCATTCTATTAGAGAGAAACAAAGTTATCAAGCTCCAGAAATGCTTATCCCTTTAGAACAATCCGAAAATCGTATAGAAAGTTGCACTTTTGCGTTGGGGGTTGTTTTATATCAAATCTTGACATTTGACACGGAAACATCATGGCCAACTCTTGTTCAAGAGCTGAATTCAGCTTCCACGATTCAAGAATACATCAAATCGAGAACAAAAATTCCATATTCTGATTCATTGCTGAACTTGGTTTCTGGAATGATAGCTCACGAAAGACCGTCCATTCCACAACTGTTAGAACTCGTTTCAAACATTACTTCAACACAAAATGCAGATGTATATTTTGAAATTGCCAATCAATGCATGTCTGTCAAAGATTATTCCAATGCCAAACGATATTTCAACAAGTCAGCTCAACATGGAAACGTGGGTGCTCTCTTGAAACTTGGAATGATGTACGAAAAAGGCACAGGTGTTGCTCAAAACTTCAAAACAGCAATGGAATTATTCAAGCAAGCAGCAGATCAAGGAAATGCAAAAGCTCAATTTAAAGTAGGTACATGCTACGAAAATGGTCATGGATCAGAGCATGGCATTGATTATAGAATGGCAAAAAAATATTATTTGAAAGCAGCACAACAAAATTATGTCAAGGCTCAACTCAATCTCGGATTACTGTATTGGCAGAACAAATTGAAGAGCAGAACTAGAAAAGACAAAGCTTATTATTGGTTTAAAGCAGCGAGAGAACATCCATATGCACAATATAACCTTGGAGGCATGTTCTATCGAGATCAATATTATTCAAAAGCAGTGAAATGTTTTCTCCGGTCTGCAAAACAAGGTTGTAAGGAAGCTCAAAATAATTTGGGACTCATGTATCTCAACGGAACTGGTGTGAAAAAAGATTTCACACAAGCATTCGAATGGTTAGAAAAGGCAGCCCATCAAGGTTGTCCAACTGCCCAATTCAACTTGGGCCTCTTGTATGAGAAAGGAGATGGAGTTCAACAAGATTTAAAACAAGCCAATGAGTGGTATCAAAAAGCAGCTCAGCACAACAATGCTCAACATCTTCCATACGGAGATGATATGTTGCATGGGCTTGCCAATACCGTCAAGACCTCACTATTGCGTGGTTTTAATACCGTACGGAATTGGTGCTTTTCATGTTTGGAAGTAAGGGACATCTAATGTCTTCTAAAGAAGATAAAAATCAAGTGATCTACCTTTGTTTATATGGTAACATGGGGTTTTCTTCTTTTCACGTGGTTATCTCTATTGGCAGAGAAAGTTACATGGGAGAGAGGTGTTTACTTACTTTCATGTTGTTTAGAATACCAATTGTCGTCGAGGTCAATACTTTCCATTTCTCTTCGAAAGACACCAAAAAAAATGTCTTCGTCTCATCAACAACACCACCCGCAGCAACATCAGCAACAACACCACCAACATCCAAATTCTCACTTGTCCATATTTCGGAGGCAACATGCTAGAGAATTTCATCAAGACCATTTTTCGAGTAGTGATGGGATGGCTAGTCCAATGAGTCAGTCATCGGATTTGGATGAGGAAGGAATATCGGATCAACATTCAGGTTCCGATGTGGTTGTAGATCATGATAGGCGTTATGAAGAAGAAGAAGAGGATGATGATGATGAGGAATATCATGATGGACTCGACGAAAATGATCAAATACAGGACTCGTCTTCTCTCGTTGTGAATATTGCTCATAAAAGCATGAACGTTGATGATGAAATTGATATGGATCCAGAAAAATCAGCCCTCTCACTTCCAGATAATGACTCCCTGATCATTTCTACTACTTTTAATTCAGAGACACCACCATTAAAAAAGCAAGCTAGAAAAAGCCCTGCAGTCGTTGTGGACGATCACGTGTTAGGAGAAACTCCCTTCTTTCAGGAACATATTTATTACGACGAAGATGAAAAGGAGCCGATTGAAAAAGTGTCAAACTGTTGTCCATGCATTTGTGAATCGTTACCAAGAGGTATGCGCTCAAGAATGGAATATTGTGGAAAGAAATTGTGTGCTCCAAGAATTTTGGTGAGCATGTCAACGCTCGTTTTTTCTGTGAGTGTTGGAATCATGTTGTTATTGAGCTGTGGAATTTTTATAGGAATGAAATTAATTGACTATCCGAAAATGAATTTAGATCCCAATTCATTATCATACATTCATAGAAATTGTTGCATTGTGGAAAGTGTTTTTGAGGATTTTTCACAACAAGAGATTATTCACTATGAAATGACAGTGAAATTTCCAGTGTTGGGCTTTCTAAATATGTCTCTTGAGGAATCTGCGCAAAGAGGTTATAATTTAAAATGTGAATTAAATTCACATTCTATATTGCGAGTCATGAAACATGTTCGATATTCAGGACCCAGAGTATTTTATAACCATTCGATCGTAGATTGTTTTACGAATAGAGCAGAAACAGAACTAACGTTATTGGAACCATACAGTGCCATGTATCAACTGTTTCAAACGATTGGAATTTTTTCAGGTATTATGGCCTTATGCATGTTTTGCTTTGGTTTTTGTGGTTTTGTGTCATGCTGTTTTGTGTTACGAAAGAAGAGAAGGAAAAAGAACAGTAGTACTTCTACTTTTCGACAACTTTGCTGTCTCTGTTGGAAATAAAGACGATTTACAAGTCTGTGGAGATACAGAACAACTTCATAAAATTTTCCAATTGTGCATTGAAGCGAGAACAATCGATTAATATGATTGCACAAAAAATGTCTGAACAACAACGCGTGGCAGAGGAACAGCCCCATCACAGCAGTTGCTTATCGTGCCCACGATTACATAGGAAATGTTCAAAATCGTTACCTTCGTGCTTGTATTGCATCAAGAGAGGCTTTAAATGTGTGTATGATGATGGACATAAGAAGAGAAGCAGCAACAACAACAATGCAACACCACTGATTTTTGTAACCGATCATTTGACGTTTCATCAATCGGTGGATCAACAACATGTCCAAACTGAAAAAGTATCAATGATTCATCAATCGAAATTTGTCCCGAGCACAATGAGAAATTATCGTCAGCATCCATATTCAAATTTATTATCACCTTGCAACAAGAATGATGATCATGTGATGAATCAAAAAAAAATGACAGCCTCACCAACTGGAAACAGTATGGTACAACATCAATTGAATGTTCGATTTACTGCATCACAAGCACTAGATATTTATTATAACACTATATCATTGGGGTTTCCAATGTACGAAAGGCAGAGATTGGAGCAAGCTCTTGAGTTTCAACTTGAAACATGTTTTATTGAAGATCAAACATTTTCTGTGACTTGTGAACTGGAGAAAGATGTTGCTGTTTTGCAAACATTGCAAGCAGTCTGTTTACAACAATTGGGAATGCGTGAAATTTCAGATCAGTTATTCATGGTTGGAAAGCAAATTATTGGAAAGTATTATGATGAAGTGGATTCCATTGGAGTTGTAGTTGCTATGAAATTTATCGCAGAGTATTTACTTGGAAATGGAGAACAAACAAAATCACGAGCCATGTACTCGACCGTGCGGGCAAAATTAGAACCATTAATGATGGAATGTAGACAACATGCTTCTACATGGTTTTCATCGACTTGTGTTGAAAATAATGCAACCTCCTACAACCAATGGCATGACATTAAGCCGCAATTTTTTACTGCATATATCATTGAATCTCAAATTCGTCTGGATGACCTCTATTTTTTGGAAGACATGTGTCCAGATACGTTTATATTTGATGAATTTACAAGTCTTGGAAATGGAAGAATTTCCCTTGCCAAGATCCATGCAACCTCTTGTAGAGATATGTCATTCGAATTGTATCATGAACTAATGATGATCCTTCAAACCTTTGTTTCATTCTCTGATGTTATTATGGGCATGAGGAATCAAAAACATTCCTTGTTGTACGTGGTAGCTTCTATGGTTGCGAAACAGCTTCATTTGGAAATTTTAACGAATTGTAAAGTGAAAAACGAGAAAGAAATATTACGAGTGGCGAGAGAAACGATTGAGCTCACGAAACATCAGTTTTTTAGCATGTTGCCATGCTACGCTACGAAAGCAGTTGTGTTGGCCTGTTCATTGAGGGTTCAATATTTTCCTCAACTTGTTCGTACTGATAATCTACAAGATGACTTGAATGCTTTAAAATTGCTTTCGACACGATATAGACTCATTCACAACGAATGCAGTCAGTTAATCAAAACGATTGAAGCTCTAATAATTTTTCAGCACCAACAACAACAACATGCATCCAGTAGCCATTCAGAGCTTGTGAATTTTCTTTCTTTCAGCTACCATGACATTGGAGCTGCATTTGATGCCAACCTAATTTTATCATCAACAACAATTCAAGATGATTCAAGAAGTGACCATCCAGAATATGACAGTGCAATTTCTCTGGAAACTTCTAATTTTTCCAAGGCACTTGCAACGTTTTCTCGATACAAGGACCAGATCAAGCAATTCGCTCATGGTCTCGAACAATTAGAAATCGTTCTTGAGGGATTTTCCGAACAAACACGCATTCGAAATGCTCAATCAGATTCCACCAATGACCAGTTGGAAGATTTAAAACAAGCAGAAATTAATTTAGTGAACAGTCTTATTCAAGTGGCCAAACGCAATGGTGATGTGAAGGGATTGTTAGAAGTCGAAATTTTGAAAAAGCAAGATCTTTTTATGGGGAATGTTCAGAATCATTCTCAACTTTGATGATTTTAAATGATCAATTACATTCATGACATTTCAAACGTGTCGGTTGAAGAAATGGAACATTTTTCAACGAGTTTTCATCTGTATTGTGATTACTGTAAAGAATGGATACAAAAGGAGTGTATATTAATATGACACAGTTCAATATTTTTGTGAATCAAACAACAAATGAAATTGTTGGTTTAATGCGATTTTTTTCAGTTTGCATGAAAAAAATGGGAAAGCGCAAAGCCTTGGATTCTGTTGCTGGCTCAAAATTGCCTCCTCAAGGTGCAAAAGAGAAACAATCAAAAAAGCTGAAATTTTCAAAAATGATGAACGCACAACAAGAGCATGATGAGTTCCGAACGAACGCTGTAACATGTCTGTTAGTGGATGACCCTTTGATGGGGGACCGGAATTTGTTTGAAATGTTTAAAAACAATATCAATAGAAAACACATCACTGTGGCCAATACTATCTACGAACGTTCGGCCATACCTGACAGTAGAAAGGTGCTGGCCGATGCTACTTTGAGTTGTTTGGAAATGGTTACACTACTCGATCCAATTATGGATGAAAACAGCACTGATGGAAAATGCTCTAGTTTGCTGTTGACCAGTGATCGAGAGAACAAGCGATTTTTAGGAATCCATATTGATGATGACGAGTGCAAAAAAGTCTTAGAAATTATCACTATTCCTCATGCTCCAACGTTATTTTGTGTGTACAATAGTGCAACTGTGGACAAGACATGTTCTTCGCTTCTCCAATTTATCATTTTCGCATCTTCAAAACCATTTGTGGCTATGATACCTCTTAATCAACCATCTCATTCATCCGTTCGCAACAAAGTTATATGGAAAACAGAAACAATGAGTACAGTCAACTGCATGGCTGTCTCTCATCAACGAAAGCTCTTATTTCTACGTCAATCACTGTCATCAAGAATAGATATCATGAACGCAGATACCGCAGAAAGGCTTATGGTTTTTCAAATATTTCCTCACTTTCCACCAAAATTTTCACATTTCGTTTGGGACGAGGAAAAGGACCAATTATTATTGAATGAATATGATGCTTTAGCAATACTGAAGTTTTCTTCCCCAACAAACACTACCAGTAACAAAATGGGCCCTCTCACTGGCCAAGTGACAATTCATACACTGCCAGATTGCCCAATAATTACACCTGGAGCAAGAATAATGCCTATCAATATGAATGGTGTATATGTTTTACTTCTTCCTTGTGGAAAGGGCATTCAAGTTTATAACTTACAAACATGGGAACACATAACTACCCTTTCCATACAGGGAGAAAGTTTGTGCTTGAGACCTATGAATGATGATGATTACTTTCGTCAATTCGTAATTACTGATTTCACAAAAACTAATCATATTCGTAGCGAAAGTGTTCGATTATCCTTAAACAACATTTGCTTTCCTTTTAATGATACTATTTACAACATTGTAAAAAAGTTGAATGGAAAATTACCAGCTGTGATTGAAACTACAAAAGACGTAAAAGGGAGATCGATTCGTTTGCCGTATTGTATTGCAACATTTTTAGGAATTATATGGGAACAAGAAACAGATTTTCATGTAGATATGTCAGACTGGAGACCAGCTGATGACTATGCTGTTTTATTTCCAAACTCATTGCCAAATGAAGATGGTGATAGAGGTATACAGATTTGCGAATGGCTTGATAATAACTCGGATTCATTGTTAATTATTGAGGGTGTTAGTGATGTGGTGTGCGTAAAATTGAGCGAAGTTTTTGAGTATGAGTTGTTTACGCGAGGTTGTGAAGGTGATTTTCCATTATATATAATTGAAGAAGATGAAGGTACAACAGTTAAAACTACATTTAGAACGCTACTTGAAAGAATTTCTGTAGTTAAAGCAGTCTCAACAACAATACAAAACAAAGAAGTTCAATTTGACCTGAATTTTGATAACATTTTGAAAGAATTTATCAAAACTGGATCAAATTATTACAACCCTTCTTCAGGAGAGCTTAGAAAGGATGTTTTAACAGAATGTTATGCCAAACTTTGCAAAAATGAACCCCCTCCAACGACATCACATTGTTTTGGCATTTCTTGTGAGCAAATGTTAGCATTGATTTTTACATTAGGTGACAGAGACTCTTTTATACCTACGAGCAGCTTCCAAATTTACAACGAGTTTGTAGATGATAGAAAAATTGACGAAAAACGATGTAGGCGTCCCTTTAACAATTATGTCGTTTGGAATGGCATTCAACACGACCAGAGAGATGTATTGGTTTTATATTATTATTTGAGCATTGTGCCTGATGCAACAACTAAATTGAAGCCTTATCAAAAAGGAATATCTAGACACTGATCATTAAGCTGCCAACACCACATCCAAGTCGTTCTTATCAACACTCAATCGAATAGGTTTCATGAGACCGAGAAGTATCAACTGTCGGTAGTACCAATTCCATAGACATTGCTTCATTTGATAAATAGCCAATAGTGTCTCAAAATAAATTTGATCTGCTTTTTCCAAAGATTTTTGCTTCAAGTATCTCCAAAGAGAAAAACTTGAAGAGTTGGAGGCGAGGACTGCAATTTCTTTGTGCTCCTTATTATAAATACCAACCGTAGCCACTCTTGCGTAAATGACATATCTGTTCACTGGAACTCCCATCGATTGATTGACATATCTTAGTAAATTATTTGTTCTCATAATTAATAACATTTCTGATGGCATGTTACGAATCATTTGTTGAAATTTGTCCATTCTATGTTCAATAATTCCTTTAAAAAAACGCTCAAATTCTGCTTTCGTTCCATGAGTAAATAGTCCAACACCGGTCTTGTCATCATAGCCTCTCATCAAAATGATGGAAGCATAAAGTTGATAATCCTCAATTCCAAGATCTTGACAGTATGTTTTCACAAAAACATTATCGTTCAACACCAATGCTCTCCAAAACTTGGCAAAATTAATCGTAAAATCATGAGAAAGGTGCTGATAAAGTCCATGATCTAAAAGTACAACCTGAACTCTATTCTTGTGCGAAGGATGTGCTCGAATGAGAATATTTCCAGGATGTGGATCCGTGTGTAGGAATGAATGCAAGAAAATCATTTTAGCAAATACATGAAAGGTGATAGAAGCGGCTTCTGTGATTCCACGTTCACCAAAGCGTTGTCTCAAAGCTTCAGTGTTACTTATTTTCACACCATTAATAAACTCCATGGTGAGAAGGCGTTTTGATGATAATGAGGAAATTACTTTTGGAATGTAAAGCTGTTGTTTCATACCTTCTTCTTCTCGAGCAAACAATAAAGTAATCTTCTCAGCATTATGTTTCTCAATTCTAAAATCCAATTCTTGATTTAGTGTCTCGTCCAACATGGAACCCATCCATGAAATATTATAGTGTGGAAAGAAGAAGTGAATGATGGATAAGGCAACCCCTTTTGCTATCATGTCGCCCTTGTAATAGTATGAAATGGATGGGTACTGAACTTTGACAGCAACTTCAGCACCATCTAAACTAGTTCCCTCCAATTCAGAAACGGCTCCTTTCCGAAGTTTGGCTCTGTGAACTTGAGCTAAACTAGCAGCTGCAATTGGATGTGCTTCGAAATGTTCAAATAGTTCATCAAAACTCTTGCCACAACTCAACAATTCTTCGTCATGAAACATTAATTTGATTTCTTCCATTGTTGCTTCACAAGGAACCTGATCTTGCAATACTTTCAGAGTGTCAGTCCAAGCATCAGGAAGAAAATTGGTCATTGAACTCATGTATTGTCCAATTTTCACAAAGATGCCACCCAATTCAATAAAGAGTGATAAAAACTTTTCAGCGTTTCTCTTGTGTGTTTGATAAATGATGGATGTTGTTTCATCGTTGGTTTCTATTGGAAATGAGGTGGTATTTCCGTCCACGCTCGAATTTGTGTGATATATGTTTTTTTCATTCTCATTCGTATTTACAAGCATTGCCAGTCGTTGTTCATCTTTGGTCACTTGTTCCTTCCATTCCTTTGAATTGTAATGCTTGTAATAGTCCCATAAACAAGATACTCCTACACTAGCAACCCGTGAGAAACGATACAATCCTTCTGCAAGTTGAACAACGATCGCCAAATAATGAAATAGTAAATATTCTAATTGTTGAGTGAGAGAAAATTGGTCTGAATGAAACAATACATCGGAAATATTGGTTTGAGAATAGTGCAGTAAAAAGTTTCGTATTCTTGGTAGATACGGCCTTATGTGTGGATGTAATGTTTTGTAAATCTCTGATTTCACTTCCGTGTTGATTAAGACAAGGATGGAAATGGTAAGGATCAAGGATTTGAACCAAAATTTTGAATTTGCTGACTTGGACTTGTTGGTGGTATCATCATTATTCGTAGATTGATTCTTTTGTTTCATTTCGGAATCTGTTAATCTCGTGTTCGTCGTCAAAATATTATTCCTAGCTTTTAAAGAGTTATTGACCTGATCATTGTCTGTAGCAAATTTCCTGATCTGGCAGTGACTGTTGTTCCATAATAACGTCCTCCGACTAGTATTGGCATGGAGCATGCTTTCATCAAGCCTAATGAACCTACAAGTCTTTGAATATTGTTGAAAAGGAGAGTCATTTCTTTGAAGAGCTTCTCCTCTCCGACACGACCATAACCCTTTTCTGAAAGCACCAAGTTGTTTCATTTTTCAAAGCACTTGAAGCGCTCGACAAACTCTCTGTACTTGAAATGCCATGATTTTGCAACAAAACTTCAAGTACAGATGATAGTGGTACCAACTTTGAATTTCAAGTATGATGATGAAAACATTCGTATGTGTACGTACGGATGAATACTCGAATAATAATAGTCGTGTAATTAAATTGAGCAATTGGTTGGCAGCTACCAAATTGTAATTAAATTCCCACATCATCCTATACACCCGAGTAACCAATCAATATTTTCCTTCACCATTGACCATTAGCTTACAACAACGATCCTTGTTGTGTTTTCTATTAAAATGGCAATTTCCTTTTTTTTCTATTTTCTTAATGCGAGCAATAGATAACACGGAATGCTATATCTCAGCTTAGAATTAACATTTAAGATTCATGCGCAACGTGCAAACACGCATCTCTTCAGCGGATGATTGCTCTACACTCGCTTGCTGGTCAATGTTTTTTCATTACACACACGCACTCCACACTCTAAAAGTCACTCAACATCGTTATCATTCATGCATTCACATAAAATCTCGCATTATCATTGGTAACATTAAGACGTTTTAAGCCATACTTTCAGGCTGTTGCAGCCGTCTTCAAACAAGCCAAATCCAAGGCAAAAAAATTCACACAACAACCAACATTGAAACTTGGAGCATTGCGTGAATACATCACAACAACTACTCGAATACATAACACTACCAGCATTTAACCCACCATCAGTTCTCACTCACACAGTAAGCATTCACGACGCACTTCATACCAATCCATCAAACATTCTTCTCTCTGAAACCACAACCTTTCGCTGATCAATCAACACCTCTCGCCATGAATCCCATTCAAGCAACATCTTTAAAGTTTCCACAAGAAACAACTCCCAACAACACTATGGAAAAGTCGCCCAGTGATCATCACTCGTCAACACAACCACAGGTATTTAACATTGCGACCAATTCGTATGTGTTTAGTAACGGTCATCAACAAGGTGATTCCATGTTAGTCTCCTCTCCACCTCCATCTTGCTCGTCATCGTCCTCGCAACCACCTGGCTTTACGTTTGTAGACATGACAAGAGATGTTGCCTTCAAGATCAAGTACGAAGGACACAAGTGCCTTAAAGTGAATAAGCAATTCAGAAATAATGAAACCTTTCAGAACAACTTTTTCATTTTCAAGAGTGGAAATGAGCAAACACCAAATGGTGAAGCCATGCTAATGGATGGTAACAGTGTTGGTGACATGATGATTACTGAAAATAGTCAAGATGCCATCACAACACCACACTCGTCTGGAAACCATCATAGTTTCGAAACTGTGATGAAACCGATCGATTTCACTCATTGCAATCCCTCTACTAACAGTATGTCTTCTCCAATAAGGCATTCAGGGCCTTCACATCGAGGAAGAAGAGCTTCTGTGTGTAGCATGGAAAATCATTCACACTTGAGTAGTGGCACCACGACTACTCCAACCGTCACTCCAACCACTTCTACAGCTTCCAATTGTTTCTTTCATTTCCAAACTACTCCTATTCATCCTCATGGAAAGAGTCTGGATACAAGCGTTTCATCACAATTAGATTCAAGTCACTCTCCAAATGGAAAAGGTAAAATCGCCAGAGCCACTGCAAGAAGAAGAAAATCAACGATTGGCTTTGTTGATATTTCATCATCGTCGAGTGTCGTTGGAGCAGCTGAGAAACCACCATCATTGTCGTCAACCACTTCCCAAGCGGCACTCCTGAATGAGGTCGAACAGTTGGACATTAATCAAACTGTCCAATCGAAAAAGAAAAAGAAGAGAAGAAATAGTAAGAGTGCACCAGCGGATGAAACCTCTCCAACAGCCACAGCATTGAATTCAGGAACAAGCGCTGCTACAGAAAATAATGGCAAGAAGAAGAGAAAGAGAGGTTCTTCAAGCAATTCAAAGAAGAGAAATTCCAAAAAGAATCATTCTCCAGAGTTAAATGCTGCACAGAATACCACCATGGATCCATCTTTGATGAATGGAGAGGACAGTAACACTGTTTCTGGTCCATTGACCTCAGATTCGTCTCCTCATGCCATACCAGCATTATTGACTCCACCTGATATGAATAGCTTCAATCAATTATTGATTTATGCAGCCTTAAATCAATACTTGCAGCAACAACCTGAGGTTGGTCACGAATTGATCAAACATTTGGCAGTTTTGAATTGTCAACCACTCGCTGGACAAGCAGTGCAAACTCCTCAATCACAACCTTCCTCGAGTAATAACAATAACTCTTATGAATGTGACTTGAACTTTGATGAGATTGACCAGTTGCTCGATGGTTTTCCACAGCTTACCGATCCAAATCCTCCCACAAACACAGACCAATCAACAACTGCTAACGTTAATGATGGACGCCTTCTACTGGCTTCTACAAGTACTACCAACCAGCAACAAGATTTGAACAATACGGATATCACCATGACTGTAGTCGATCCTGTAACTCTTCAGGTACAAAATCATGATCAAGATGGTTCTTCTCAACAGCATACTCTCCTCATGATGCCACAAGACAACACAAATCAGCAAGTTGACGCATCTTCCACCACTCTTGCTGCTTCAGACGACCTTAACGTTTTGGATTCGACACATCAATCAAGTGCTGCAAGTCCACTTACAGGAGAATTTCTACTCGATCCTAACTTTGAATGGAATTGTATGGATAGTGGCAGAGGTGAATTCAATGACACATTTGCTGTTGACGGCAGTAGTAGTCATTCAGGTCTTGCTTCTCATTCAGAAGGAGGATCTTGTGCATCAACACATAACAATACCTCCTCCATGTTGGACGATACATTCGAGAATATGTTGTTGTCTCCATGCTCGGATGTCTCCTCTGGACAATTACCAATCAAAGATCATGATTCTCTCCAAAATTCGTTTTATCCTTTCCAGAATCAAGCAAATTCACCACTATTTGCATCATCAGCAAGTTCTGCTTCCTCTAACAAGCAAGAGCAGTCCCCAGATGTTGCAAGGAGAGCCGAATATTCTGCAGTTTTTAAAGAACATATTGACCAGTAATCTCTCAAATAAATTACTTGTAATGTGTGTTCCTTTTCATAATTGCAAGAAATATGATTAAATATATTCAAATATCAGTCATTAGTCAAATTCGAAATTTTAGCAAACTGTTGACTTCCAACAAATGTCAAATAGGGAGGGCAAATCGCTTCATTATTCGAAACGAACATTTTACCATCTTGCCAATAACCTTGCTTCACAAAACCAGCAACAACTCTGCAATAGAATAGATGATGATTGGGACATGTTCTTTCCAATTCTTTCTCAATGACACAGCATAAATGAGCACAGCATTCCGAAAAGCAGTAAAATGAACCATGTTTTTCAACGTGGTGTGTCACGAGTGAGAGTGGTTTTCGTGGTGAATGATGAGTCTGCTCATGCTTAACGTCATCTAAACAATTGACAAACTTTTCAAACTTGTCAATGGAGCTTCCGCTGCATCCACCAATGGCAAGAACTGTGTCTGCAAGTGCAGTGGTCGGTACGCTGAGAGCAAATTTCATGCTAGGTAGCACTAATGACGCTGAATGTCTTCCAGTGTTCATGGAGCACACAAAATGGCCACTATTATCCACAGGAGTGAGCCAAGTGATGGTCATAATATTCCGTTGATCGTTGAATGAACTTGTCAACAGGCAAACAGGATTTGTATATAAAAGTCTTGAGAGTAAATTTGCAGGAACTACGGAAATAAATTTGTTTTTCTCAGAGTTTCCAATGATTGCCTCATGAAGTAAAGAGTGATCATTAAGAATGTCACATTTTAGAATGAGCTTGGCCTGTCCATCTGTTACAATTTTCAACACAAAAAGCCACGAACCAATAATTACAATCATGTAATTTCCATCCTTTGTTACACAGAAAATGCGTAAATTAGATTCGCTTTCAACCATCGTGTCGATACAGTGTTGAATTCCATTCAGGCATTGCGTCAATTTTCGAGTTTTTTGATGATAGAAAATAAAGTTTTCACGATTTGTAAAATGTAACAGAGCGACATCTTCGAGCTCTAATTTGTAAACGTCTTCGACATGGGAAGTGTTCAATGAAATCACATGAGCAAGCTTGTTTTTGAAATGAGTTACAATTAAATTGTTCATCGTATGGATACATGTTATGGAAATATCTTGTTGAGCAAACTGTTCATCTACAGCCATTTTTTGTAGTGTAATAGCGGTGTCATTTTTGTTGAGCTTAAAAAAGAGTAATGATTGGCTTGAAGTTAAAGTGCATAACATCTGTGATCCATCATGCAAGGCTAAAATTGAAAAATCGAGAACTAATTCTGACGATTCTATATCTGGTAACGGCATGCAAGCTACGAGTTTGTCTAAATTTTTTTCATGCCATATCCATACATGATTATCCGTAGTAATTGCCACAAGGTATTTCTCTGTTACTTTCTTTTTGATGGCCGTTGTAGTAGTGAGAATGTCCAATCCAACTATTGATTTTGTGGGAAGTAAGCTGGTGTCAGGAACTATTTCAATAAGTGTGTTTTCAATCTCAATGTCAGTTGAAGGCAACTGTGGAGTACAAGCATATTGTAAATTAATTTTGAAAGCAATAATTGATGATTTTGCTTTTCCAAATTTTGAAATTACTAATAAAGTAAATGAGTGAATCGTCATCATGGAGGGGAAAGTGGTACCTTCAAATGTATTTTTCCCACTCGAAAACGAATCGTTCGTTTGTCTCTGTTTGTGGTGTCGGGATGAAACATTTTCAAGTACCATCATGCCATCTATTGATGACAATCCTTTCAGAAGTTCAGTGAATTTGAAAATCTTCACCTTGTTATTTTCAATCCGATGATCTGTATGGTGATCATGAGTCAAAAACAATTTGAGAGAGCCATCCCCATATCCGAGAAAAGTGAAAAGTAACCTTCTCAATCCATTCTTTGAAATTATACTTTTATACTCTCCTTCCAAAACCTCACCATGATGGTGTTGTTGTTCGTCATTTGGCACGAACAACTTGGATGATGGTAATAGTGCTGAATGACCGAAACTTGCTCCGAAAGGTCTATACACGATGACGCAAGAAGGATTTGCCTTTTTCATTTTTTTCGTTGCTCTCAAATTTCAAACCATTTCAAGAATTTGAAAAAAACGTTGAATTCCAAAGATCAAACTTGTTGATTTTTGGACCAGGGTCATGCTCCATTCACAGGCAATTCTAGGCATTCAACATCATGGACTAAAGAATGCATGCATTACCAAACGTAAATTCACAAATCCTTTTCTCATCACTTTCCTTTATGTGCTATGCATCAGCCAAGATGATGCTCAACTTTTGTGGAACAAGTCCAAACATGTACTGTTGAATGAAAAGATGTGCAGAGTGTTTGGGTAGCAGTTAGAAAGTTTCAAGGTGATCATCTCAATACAAAAAAACAACAACCTCATTCTTGTCAACTCTTGTGTCAAGTATTTTGAGCATCAGCTCTTCAACAATTGTTGCTCACTGAGACTGTGTTACTCGCTAACGAATCGCGTGCATCAGCAGTTTCTCTTGTGACACTTTTTACCGCCATTATTTTCATAGATTGTAAGATCCCAAACGCAACGTTGAAATTTTCAGCACACAAAACAAAGTCAATATTACAACGAGAGAACAATATTCTTCAATACTGCCATCATCAGTAACATCAATTTCCGTCTCATCGTCAACATTTTCCTCCATTGAGAATGTTTTTCAGAAAGAACAAATCAAGTGGTTCCAATCAAACCACAACTAAATCCAAGTCTTCTACCTCTACCACCAACAAATCAACAACCACCAACACCGCCACGTCTACCTCCACTTCTACCCTAAATTCTCCTCCTTTCCTCGCCACAGAAATGAATTTGGCAGATTCCAACATGTCCACAACGACATCAGAACGGCCAAGCATGGACATTTTTCTGGCTCATCGTCAACAGCACAACAACCAGACCGTAGAATCAAGCACTCAAGATCAACAGAGTAGTCATACTGAAACGAACGTGCCCCGAAATCGTAACTCTCTTCGTCTCTCTATTGGACACTTCTTTAAGGATAAGCTCAACAAGATTCGTCACTCTCTGAATCGAAATTCTAACCTTAATTTTGATGATATTGAAGCAGCTGTGGCTTTGGAACAACTTGGTTCGCCCTCATCTTCCACCACACATGGTTATTATACCGAGAGATGTTCCATGGATACGAGTAGAAGTAATGCCAGTAGAAATCATCATCAGAACCCCAAGCAAAGTGAGAGAGGTCGAAATCGAGCCATCTCAGATGGAGTGCATCCTAAAAAGAGACCCGTCTCGGTCACACTGCAGCAACTTCAAAGTGGAAACTATTCGGGTAGTGGCTTTATATCAGCCAATCCCTATAGCATGTCCTCCTCGTCCTCATCTGGTCGATCATTTCCATCTCCTAGACAATTTCTCAAATCCACTCTCTTCTCGAATAAGGAACAACAAGAATCGAAGGACATTAAGGTTCTCGTACTGGGTGCTACAGCTGTGGGAAAGAGTGCCCTTTGTAGTCAATATCTGAAAGGAATATTTCCATCTCAACATGTTTCCACAGTGGAGGATCAATTCAAAAAGGTGGTTGATATTGATGGTGAAACGACAAGCATTCATATTTTGGACACATGGGGTGATGTTCTCTTGCAAAACGAGTCGTCATTGCAATCGCCTCAAGATGTCTCAAATAGCACAAGCTCGTTACAAAGCTCTCAGAGCAGTACATCCAATTTAGTTGAACACCTCTCAAAACCCTCCAAAGCAATTACCTCAATTGTTGAAAATGCTTCAGCAGCAGAACAGAATCATCCTAATAGTGATTCCTTAAATAATTGCTCATTCAGTAATAATTCATCGAGTTGTAGCAGCTCGCTCGTCTCCACAACAATATTAGGTTCTTCCATGGCAGAGAGTTGCACCTTGACAGATGCATCAAGCAATACAAGCAGCAAGAATATGACCTCGTCGTCTCCTCGAAGAAATAGTTGTGTACAACTCGAAAGGGAGTTGAAAAAGTCTATCATGAATCAAATTTCTTCGTCTTCCAATGGGTCCTTCTTTGCATCCAATGTGGTCATCTTACTCATGTATTCCATTTCAGATTATTCCTCCTTTGAGAAGGTTTTACAAATCTATGAAAATCTCCAACTGTTGGCTGTCGAGTCACATTTGAAAAATTACAATGAAGAGCTTGCTAATAACTCTAAAAAGAAGGGCTCCCTTACTAAACGTTCTCCACGATGTAAATATTATTCCTTCCAGCCCACCATCTTACTTGTGGGTACGAAACGAGATCAAGATCCATCTATTGCACGAAGTAACCTGATTCACCAGCTTACCAATTCGTCCTCTTTCACAGTACCAACAACGTCACAACAAGAACGACGACCATCCATTGTTCAACAACCACCCACCAATAATAACAACAACAACAGTTCAGACATGTATGGCTTCTATTACGGCTTTGGATTAAGCAATGAAGACAAAACTCAATTCATTCACTCTCTTCCAGCACGCATTCCAATCACCAAGTCCAATAAGCGACGACCTTCCATCTATTCACAATACGAGTATGCCATGTGTGGATGTACAGAGACAGAGAGACAAGTCACATTCGAAGAAGGAGAGCAATTAGCAGCTACCATCGGTGAGAATTGCTACTTTATGGAAATTTCAAATCAAAACCCATTGGAAGTGGAACAAGTATTTCTGCAAGCCGTTCGAAAAGTGAGAGAACGCATGACTCAACTCTCCAACTCGGAATTTGCTCGGGCAGCTCGAGCTCAACCCATTTCATACAGAACTCCATTATCGGAATGTGTTTCGGTGTCGTCATCGAGAGCATCCTCTGCAGCCACTCCGTATGATGAGGACACATGGAATGCCCTTAATGCTACGCAACAGCAGCAACCAGTGAGTAGCAGTGGTAATCATAGTCAGCAGCCTATCATCACTCGAAAAGAAGTTCCGAGACTTCTCTCACCCACATCGGACAGCAAAGAAGCGAGAGACGAAAAGCAAAGAAGACGAAGAAAAGATATCAAAGTATTGGAAAATTGTGCTGCATTAACGGATGAATTAATAAATTACATGTAAATAATAATTGTCGTTGCGTAAAGTCAAAGGATATATTTTCAATGAGTATTTCTGTTTCGTCGTCATGATGATCCTGCTGTTACTTACATGAATTTATTGTCAGGGTGAAAAACCTAGAAATTGGATGGGTATCCGATGGATGGTTAAATAATATCATGAAATATATTGTTGATGGAATGGTTATTAATTGATAAAAGCAGCGCTCAATATATTGTTATTTCTGCACAATGTGTAGAAAATTATTTTAAATCATATTAATCATGATGATGATAATTATTCTTCATCTAAATGAGTACTTTTGTGTTCTTTCAACTTCTTTCTTTCTGCCAATAACCTCATCTTCTTGTTTACATCATCCGCAATAATTTGATCCGAAACCAGAGTTGAACGTCCAATGTCAGCACCACTTGCTTCATGTCCTGCACGAGGTGAAAATAATGTCAAGTATGAAACAAAAAGAATAGATGCCACAAGAAAAGGTCGTCTTCCAGTGACTCGACTCTTCGGAAAGATGAAATCAAAAGTTGCTTTGAGAAAGGAGGACATTTTTTTCTTCAAACAAGAATTTTTATTTTGATTGGGAGTGCACGAATTAGAGAAGAAAATTCACATCTTTTTGTCCAACAATACCTGAGATGAAGAGAAAGGTGGCGCTTCATTCTTCACATTAGAACAGTTTGAACACATCAAATTTAATAGTGAATCTTTGCAATAATATCTGTACCTTGGTATTGAGGCAATTGCAAATTCAATTCTGTTTGAAGAGAGGGTGGAATAAATCTTCCACCAACATAATGAACACCCTTAAAATATTGAGCACACAATTTCGGAGCAGTCAGTGAAATTAACACGTCACAATAGAGACCTCCATTCTGTAGATTTTCCTCAACATTGGAATTGTTGACATCCCATCCTGAGGGAATATCAATACAAATCATTGGCACCTTTTGCTGTTTGGCTTTCTCATTTAACGTTTCAATAATTTGTTTGTAAGGTTCCCGAATTCCACTTTTGGCAGAAAAAGAAAACCCGAATATTCCATCAAGAATGAATTTGAAATTTTCAAAAGTATGACTGTAGTGTTCTAATAATTCTTGTATGGATTTAAATATTGGAATTTCCAATTGTTTGCATTGTGTTAATAATCGAAGATATAACTCATTGGTTGTTTCTTTGGGATACAAAATTACAGGTGAGTATCCAAAATGTTTCAAATGTCGTGCTGCCACGAGACCGTCTCCTCCATTGTTTCCTGGACCACATACAACTTGTTTCATAACGAAAAATCGTTATATTTTTGAGTATAGACATCAAAACACCTACTCAAACAAGAATTGTTGGAAGCGTCATTTGGAGGAGCATAATCAAAACATGCATGAGCCACAGACATTCCTATTATGTTATTAAGCCAATTTTCCATCCAACAAAATTATTCATAATTCAAAATTATGCCCAGTGTAATTGCAACAATTAAATTCAAATAATTCAAAATTATTAATCCATCGTTAATCATGTATCAATACATGCCTGCCATTTCCATCAACTGATCAATTGAAAATCCATGTACATTCTTATCCATGAGCAGTTGATCAATTTTAATAGCCTCTTCCGACGTTAAAAATTGTTTCTTCAATGACATTTCTTTCATTCCTAAATTCAAATCAACCCTTGTATTCAAACTGAATGAATATTTTCTCGATAATTGAAACAATCGGGCCGTAATTAAATTCTTCTTCTTTTGGAATGCAATAATTTTTTTCATTTATTGCCATTCTCATCCCCATTCCATGACGAGATTAACAAACAGCGAAACACTTATCACTTCACAGGAATAAGAAATCTTTTGGAATCTTTTCCATTCCCAACCATGTCGCTTTTCCTTGATTTTTAAAAATCTTGAAAAAAATCAAAATCTCTCATCACACGCAAACCTCGAAATTCAAATCTCATACCAACGCGCGTTTCTACATACATCATCATTATTCTGAGCAGCACGACACATTATGAGTATTCTTACTCGCACACCAAACACTTCCCGAGAACGTTCTCTTTCCTCTCTTTCACAAAATTCACAAAATTATGGATCTATTGGAAGTCAAGATGATTCGAATGTGTTTCATTCCATTCCGGTTGTTAATGATGATGACAATAACAAACAAATTATTTCACATCATTTGAATGCTCCGATTAATCATTATGCGGTTCAAAGTATGATGGATGACAGACGACAGATGAGTCGTGGATCGAGTATTAATAATAATAATGAATATTATGTGTATCATTCGAAAGATAATGCAAAAAATGGAATGAAATCACGAAATCCAATGGTGAAAGTTTTGTCCTTCTTTTACACCTTGACTAGCAATATTGGAATTGTTTTGACATTTGGCAGTTTGTTAAGATTTCCATACATTTCACACAAATTTCATGGAGGTGCCTTCATCATTCCATATTTTCTCTTATTAGCAATTATTGGACTGCCTTTAATTATTCTCGATTACTCACTTGGTTACATTTCTGGAAAGAATTTTTTGTTTTCATTGGCGAGATGGAATCGACGATCGAGTGGAATTGGAATGGCCTCATGCATTCTTGGAAGCGTGATTATTTCATCGTATTATTCTGTAATTACTTCATGGCTTGGAGTTTATTTTGGAAATATATTTTCAGGTAAGTGTGTGAAATGTTTTTGTCACACATTTATTCATGGTCAACTTGTAAATTTTTTTGTAATTTATTTCCAAATATGATATACAATTCACTCATATTCATGACACACAGATCCCATGCCTTGGTCTGGAACTCCTGAACATTTTTTCAAATCTCAAATTTTAAAAATTAGTACCAACTGGTATGACATGAGTGGATTTCTTTCGTGGCCTGTCTTGGTCGCTCTCGCTTCCTTTTGGTTTCTAAGTTATTGGTTTCTATTTTTGGAATCTGTCAGTAAGATTGTGAGATGGTTTGCAGCTGTGTTTAGTTCCATCTATGTCTTGATGTTATTAGTGATTTTGATTCGAGTCTTGTTTGAAGTTGGATCTGGAATTGGAATTTTACAATTTTTAAAACCAGATTGGATGTTGTAAGTTGATTGGTTTGAAATGTTTTAATGTTTTGGATGAATGTTGTTTGGAAAACGAATATTTTTGGTCAACTACTTTTTATTTCTTTAAATTCTTGAAAAGATTGGCCAAGGGTGATTTATGGTTAGGTGCATTTGGTCAAATATGTTTTACCTAGTAGGTTTTAAAATTTTTAATTTCAAATTCTAAATGACACGTTGAAAAATCCAAATTTGTCAAATCATTTACCACACGAAACTCTAATTCACAAATTTTCAAAGTGGAATTTCCAATGGTTATCTTACCATGTATTCCTCTCAATTCAAAAATGGAAATAAGGACATTGTTCTCAACTCTTTCATGATACTCTTTGCAGGAATTCTCGTTTCAGTCATTAGTGGAGTTTCTTACTATGCCGTTTTAGGTTATTTAGCTGTCACTAGCAAAACTCCAGATGAAATCAATTCTCATTTTCATGCTGGAATTGGTTCTCCAATTTTTGTCATGATCGAAGCAGCAACGAATCTTTTCCCAATTCCACACATGTTCACAGTGATTTTAATATTTTCATTGATTTTTGTGGGTTTTAATAGCACACTCTATTTTTCAGAAGCTTTGATTGATTGTGTGAAAAATTTAATTCCACGAAGAAATACTCGACGATTTGTCATTACATTTGTGGTGTGTGGAATTTCATTTTTCTTTGGAATTCCATTTACATTATCGAATGGTTATTATATTTTGGAAATTGTGGATCATTATGTTGGAAATTATGGAATGGGATTGATTGCCTTAATGGAATGTCTCGTTATTGGATACTTTTCATCGAATCCAGAAGGAGGAGCCATCAAAATTTCACCTCTCATGAATAACCAAAATGGAATAGACCATGTATCATCGAATCGTCTTCAACCAAACTCGGAATCTTCATTGACACTTTTCAAATTTATTCGAAAACGATTTTCCAAATTCTCTCAACACAAATCTTGGAATAATTTTAAGGGAATTATTTGCTTTTCAGTGGATTCATTCCGAGAGAGAATTGAACGAGACACAACCATTGGTCCATTTCTCATTTGGAGTCTTGTTGTGAAATATTTAACACCTCTCAGTTTATTTGTATTTTTAATTTGGAATTTAGTAACAGAATCCATTCATCCATTTTCAACATTTAAGGATCCATCCAAATATGATGTCTTGTCTCTTGTATTGGGCTGGCTTTTGGTGTTGTCATGTCTTGTTATTTTTGCAATTTTTGCAATTTGGCCGTCTGTGGAAGAAAATGAAGAAGTTGGAGGTGATGACATGAAAGAATTTGTGAGTTCCTTTTCGAAGGAGGATTTAAAACAACCATTGAATATTAATTCTGGAGAAGACTCGACGGAGGCATTGGCTGCTGCAGCTATTGATGAAGATCAAGTGTGAGTTTGATTTGAGAATGAATTGCTTCCTATTTATTGTGAAACATTTGTATGGCACCAATGGTTGATGTTAACAATTTACGGAACAAGGACTCTAGGTTGATTGTAACATACAAGAACTCGGGGATTTTCCTCATGAAATTAACAATGACATTCTAAATAGTTTTCTCTTGTTTGTTTCTTGTATGAATTGACAGAATTTCCAAATTCAAGGAATCTCCTTTTTTGAATTTCCAATTCAAGATGTTTCCTAAATCTGAAAAATCCAACTGTTCAAAACGACAACCTTCCTCACATGTGTTGCATTGCACCAAGCATCCACTCTGTACCTTCACAATAGAAATAAATTCCCTCAAAAAAATCTTCACACTTTTTGTAACAATATCTTCACTCCAAATTTCCAACAAACCATCAATCATAACAACAACAACTACTCCAATACAAAATGGACGGACTTTCCTACCTTGAAAACGATCATGTCTGGCTTCGTGATCGCTTCTCTCAATTCCGCAATGAAACCAATTGGACCCTTCGTCGCGACATTATTAAGGACATTATAACCTTTGTGTGTCAACACACATCTGCTGAGGAACGATACTTGTACGAATTGATCACGAAAAAGTTTGATAATGGTAAATTCCTCTACGACAAGGAATTGGTCGATAATCAAGTAGCAAAAGAAATTATGCAATTCTTGTTGGACAATCTTGATGTCTTGACCACTGGCAACTTTACTTATCGTGACTCGTTTTTCCAAGAATGTGAAAAACTCTTCTCCGGCCTTGAAGATCACATGAAAGAAGAAGAGAATATCATTTTCCCTAAATTGAGAGAACAACTCTCTTCCAATGAACTCTCTCAATTGTATCGTGATTTGGAATGGGCAAAACAAAACGCTCCAACCATGCCTCATCCTCGAGCTCCAGTCACTGGCGCCAAGTTGTTGCATCCAGTCACTGGTCTTGTGGATACTGTGACTGAACAAATTACTGGAACTAGTCGTAATCAATAAGATGCAATCGATTGAGTGAGTGGTGATGGATCGTTAATTGAGATTTGAAATGGATCCAATGGTTCCATTGTTGTAACAATGCAAAATAAATGTGATTTCCCAAAGTTGTGATTTGTTAAAATAGTATAGATCATCCTTTTGAAATCAATGTTTTCTTGTGGGGTTATGAGTCAACGTTCGAGTATCGAATGTCATTGTTGTTGAGTTGTTGTGTTTCAAAAGCAGCATCTCATTAGAGAGTATGATGATCCATGTGAATTCCTCTCTGTGCATGAATGGAGTTCAATTTTTTAGACTTTCAAAGAGAAAAACGGTTCATAAGGATCACGACACCAATGGACGAGTGAGCTTAAATGTTGTTTGTGCACAACATAATATATATATTATCAACAACACTGATTAAGTTCAACATTGACCTCTCAATGACCTAGTATCGTTTGAAAAAGACCATGACGGATTAGAAATAATTCTTCTTCTTGGTTCGAATATCATATTCTTCCTCATCACTCTGTTCGTCATTCTTTTCCATTTCCACATGTTTGAAATGTTGTTCTCCAACCAAATGTCTTGGAACTCCTCTCCACTTTTTATATTGCCATGCTAAACAACCGAGAAGGGGTAAAATCACAAATAGAATCAAGCAACTGGCTGGTAATAACGTGGCAACTGCAACAATCGATGAAGTAGTCAAGAATGATGAAATGTCCTTATAATAGTAAAATAAATCTCTCTTTCCAAATCCTACAAACCAATCTGGATGTTCCGTATTTGTGTAGCATTGCTTTTCAGTGTTCACATCAACCAGATCGTTATCGAACATGCCATTCAAGTCACCCTTCTTGAGCTCTATCCAAGTAGCAGTTGTGTTCAACTTGTAGTATTTTGGGAAGGTGTCCAATGTGACATTGGTGTATGTTTCCTCATGGAATGAATAGGTCACAATGGCATGACAATACCTCACGTCATAGGTTTGACTATTTTGCGTAACTGTTCTCTCCATTATACAATTTTCAACATTATTCGTGACATTACACGTTGTTAATTCGGTGAGCAATGGCTTTTCAGTACTCTTCTGAGAGGCCCTAATAAAGTCCCAATATAATTTTGCAAAATAAGCTCCGACACCCAAGCATGAAATGGACATTATGGTTGAAATGGCCAATACGGCGAGAGTGATAATCATTCTCCTTTTGGTGGTTATTAATTTTACCATGTTGTTCTCAGTCTGTATTCCTGAATGATGACAGTGTGTGAGGAATATATTTAATAAATTAGTAATGATGATGATGATTGTAAAAATATATTGAAGTGAATCTCAAAGATAACTCCGACGTTTTCCAATAGGTATTCACACAATGATACTATTAAATCTTATTGAAATTTAAAGAAAGAAGAGAGGATGAGGATGATCAGAACCACACACAAGACCGTTCAAAAAAAACGTTTTGCTTCCGAGAGGACACAGAACAGACGTTAACAGAATTTTTTAAAAAAGAAAGGGCTTGCAAAAAGTAGATGCTTTTCAATCATCATGGTCATGGTTATGGAACGACGAACAACCAACGTGCTGGATCAAAAACTTTTTTCGACTCGTTGGAGCCAAACCTAAGATACACTTCAGCCAAACCCGATAATTTTGGTATTGTATGAAAATTTACAAAATTGACGTGTGTACTGTAAAACACAACGATGAATAACACGGGTAAAAGGAACAGAAACGTTTCTAAGGCCTCTCTCTTCAATGAACGAACGAATGAACGAAACAATACGATTTTCGAGATGACCTCTCTCAATTTGAAGCCTAATAATCTAGATTTGGAAATTGATTTGAAGTTACTTGTTTGAATTGTTTGCTTCATTCGTACCCATCGGAATTACTCATATGAGAGCAACGATCGACGTAGTTCATGAAGGGACTCATTCTCTCGGCTTTGGAAATCCTCCTGGTCACCACTTCATAGACCAAAGCAAAGTACTGCCTAAGCATGCTGTCTACAGTGCAACGACGAATGTACTGCATGAAGAGATTCAACACCAGAAATTCCTTAAACGATATTCTCTTGCAATGAACATGTGTTTAGAAATTAATGTTCGACAAGGTGAGAACTACCAAAACAGAGCTCACGACGTTACGTCACATAAGGCAACGGTCAGGCGTATGAATCATGATGAGAACTATAATGCTTCCGATTGATGGTTGTTCTATTGGTGGTACAATCATTCGGAATGCAACATGGCTGGAGATGACACCTTTTTCATACCAAAATCCGAACATGTTTTCTTTCAATATTAGAAAGAGAGATGCAATTCTTGATTTCGAATATTCAATTCTAAAGATGGAGATGATTGTAAACAGTTACTAACTTGCGGACAAGCATTGATGTTGTTGTTTCAAACAAACAATACTCCTTTGCAACACGCAGAACGCATTGAGGTGGCTATCGTACTTAACCTCTACACCACAGTGAATAAAGTACAACAAATATTTACAGTTTCTGGAGAATTGAGTCACTCTTTTAGATCACTTTCCCTTTTTAATATTCAATTTGATTATTCTCAAGATTAAAGAGTTGCAACAGGTTAAAGAAAATTTAACCCACGCAATCTCTCTTTGCTTTGGACAGATTCGACGAACCATAACTGTTTCGTTTACGTGAATACTTGACGCATGACACCTTCAAGTAGAAACAGAAAAATACCGTTTGGCTTCTTCCTTCCATTTCCATATAATAGGCATCTGAGATAGGTACTTCGGTTCTTCGTTCATGTTTGAACGCTGCAAACTATTTTGAACATACCATGAAAGATTTCGCCTCATTCACTTTTACAGTCAAGTTACAATGACTTAAATATCAATTGCACGACTGTTCATGCATCCAAACAACAAAAGATTAGAAAAAAACAACTCATAATTCGTTCTTGAGCAACAACAACCACCTCCAACGGAATAGCATGTCCTCAATGACACTCTCTCATATGCATCACATGACCAACTCGAACGCAGTATTGATGAAGACCATGATGATGGACCATCCATTTCATTCATCTCCAACAACTTCGTACCAAACTCTTTCTCCTTTTGAGTGTAATACGTTGAGCACACACTCCTCAACATTCCCTCCCATGATTCAAAAAGTCAAATTGGATGAAATTACCATTCAAACACCAACCTTCTTGAAATTGGATATTCAAGATGTCATGCAAGCTTGGCAAGAATTGTATTGTCAACACGAAGAGGACCATGACGATGAACAACAACTCCCTTCTGAGATCATGATGGACCAAGAACAATAAGAGTGACAATTTCGAGAGAAGATCTATTAAATTCCTCTCTCACAGAGAAGCATCAGTCACGTCAGTCGCCACAAGAGAAAGTGAGTACTGACCTTGCGCACGTGATATTGAATTCGTTGTTGGTCCTTTCGAAAGAGGAGGATGAACGAATCCTTTCCCGGCGTCGCACGAGCGAAAAGATCAAATAAAGTTGTAAAATCAAAATTGATCCTTGGTTACCAGAAAAAATTTGCTTTGACCACCAACAATTGACTTGAACCTGTACTACTACTGGACTGAACTCGTACAGATGATATCATATTCCTCTCTTCAAAATCATGATGATGAATATCAAGAAACATCCTTGCTTCACCATCACTTCATTCATTGAATGTTTTTTATAAATTCAACAAAAAAAAATGTCGGAAGCAGCAAATCCCTACAAACAAGCGGCCAAAGCCATCAAAGCAAAAGGTCTTTTGAAACTCAAGTTTTATTGCCAAATGTGCCAAAAGCAATGTCGGGATGCGGCTGGATTTAAGGCTCATACCTTGAGTGAGAGTCATCATCGGCAAATGCAAGTGTTCCGAGCCAATCCATCCCGATTTATTAATCAATTCAGTGAGGAATTTAAAAAAGGATTTTTAGATATTTTGAGGACTAGGCATGCCAAGAAAAAGGTACAAGCATTGAAAGTGTATAATGAATATATTAATGATCGACATCATGTACATATGAATTCAACACGTTGGACCACACTCAGTTCGTTTGTAAAATATTTGGGAAAAATCGGAGTTTGTTATGTGGAGTATGATGAAGAAAAGGACACGTGGTTGATTCAATATTTGGGAGAAACAAATACCTATAATCCGAGTGGTGCCTCATCATCGAATACTGAAAATGATGAAGTGTTGGATGAGAAGAGAAAATTTGAGTTGTACGAAAGACAATTTCAAGCGTTGAAAGAACTCGAAGAGCAAGCCGATCAAATCATCAAAGAAGGAGATGACACTGAACAACATGTTACATCATCTTCGGAAACAAAACAGCATAAAAAACCTTCATTTTCAGGTTTTGCACTAACAAGTAAGAAAAGCTCGTCACAAACGACCTCAGACAACTCTGTAAAAGAGGATGACACCAATTGCAATGCAGCCAAACGGAATAGTAGTGCAATACAAGAGCAAGTTCCAATAGATCGTGACGAATCAGAGTATCAAAATGAATCGGAAATCACCGCATCAGACAATAATATTCAATCATCGATGGAACCAGCTAAAAAGAAGAAAAAGACTAGAACAGATGACAATGAAGACGATACTGGACTTTCAAGTGGCTGGCTTAAAACAGGAATTGTTGTGAAAATTATTGATGAAGCTTCCGAATTTTATAACAAGAAAGGACTTGTAATTAAAACTCTCAAGAAAAAGAGACAAGCTCAAGTAGAATTACTAGATAATCCTGGACAAATTATTGAAGTTTATCAAGATAATTTGCAAACAGTCATTCCCAAAATTGGAGGAAAAGTCACCGTTCTTAAACATGAAACCATGAGAGGAAAAACTGCCACTCTATTGGCTGTAGATTTTGATAAGGGATGTGCCACTGTACAATTAGATGGTGTTTTGGGAGAAAATCAACTCGTACTCAATTATGACGAATTTTCGAAATTATTTTAAAATAAGGGTGAGAACTGTCCAATTCATCTCATACTTATTTTGACATTCCATGGAATTCATGAATGTTCTTACATGTTAATCGATTCACCCCTGAGGACGCATTCTAAACAAGAATGGTCAACGCGCCAATACCATCATCAACAATTGTTGTCAAACTCGGAGTGATAAAATTGTTGTAGCAACAGCAACGGAGAATTTCACAAACAAAAAAATACAATTGAATAAGAACAACAAGTTTGACATTTCATCATCATCATGATTAGTACACAAATCAAGGACAAGATCATTCTCTATGGCAATCACATCAGCCAACCTTCACGATCCGTCATGTGGTTCATGATGCTCAATAACATTCCATTCGAATTTAAATTAATTCGATTAGAGAAATTGGATCATCGCTCCAAATCCTATGAAAAGATCAATCCGATGAAACAAATTCCCTCATTGACCATCATTCCCATTGAAAATTCGAATCCGAAAGATTCTTCTTCACACCACAATGGTGAAGAAACCATTTTCGAAAGTCAAGCCATATTATTGCACTTGTTTCATCGATATCGAAAGTTGTGTCAAATTCCTGGACATTGGTATCCGGATCCTCATTCACACTTGACGGAACATACCAAAGTGAACATGTATTTGGGTTATCATAATTCACAATTGAGACCTGCAGTGGGTGGATTGGCTTTTGCTGTATCCATTGGGCCCAATGCTTTTGGAATGGCCAAAGATGAAACCAATATTCGACAATTGGAAAAGAAAACACACATGGTCTTGAAACAATTGGATACATTTTGGATGGCTCCATCGGAAGATGTTTCTTCTTCGTCTGCTGGTGGTAATGCTCGCTATTTGTGTGGACAAGCTAAAATTTCAATTGCTGACTTGTTGTGTTATAATGAGCTCATGCAATTGTCATTAATGTCCAATGCTTCTGTATTGTGGGAATCTGAAATGTTCAAGTCGTATCCAAATGTTTGCAAATGGCTTCAACTCATGTCGAAAACTCCAGAGCATGATAAGGTATTTAAATTTTTGAACATTTTGAAGGAAAAATCATCGAATGAGCGTACTTCTAAACTTTAATTGTGAGTGATATGGGAATGTTTAGGATGAAACAAATCATGTGACAACGATTTTTGAAAATGATGATGAAACGTGTAAATTTTACAAATATTAAAACGATTATGAATAATAATTTTCTTTAAGGTTAAATATTTACAATTTTATTTATCGACACATCTTGTCGACACAACTCACTCAATTTCATTGTGAGCTTCACTCCACTTCGTCAGACTCCTCCTCCTCATCTTCCTGATCCGATCCATCAACATAAATGGAATTACTCGCCGAAGAGGTTGTAGGTACTCGTTTCCTTGAGTAAATGGACCCATCGACAAGCTTTCCCATGTTATATTCACGTCTTTGAAATGGCGAACCATCTGCATAAAACTCTGTTCGAACTCCATGCAATTTACCTTCAAAGTATGTAGCTTCACAATTCAAATGATGTTCCTTTGTGTTAAAAAATCTGTCCTTACAAGTATACGATCTGCAAATGCCATGAAATTTTCCTTCTTTATAGTTAATCCATTCCATTACTTGCTCGTCTACTCCAAAATATAAAATCTTGAGTCCATCATATTTGCCATTCTTGTAATGACATTCTACATCTTTGGCAATTACTTTTCTTCCATTTTCATTATACATGACTTTGTATTCAATTAGTTTTCCATCAAGTTTGTCATTCTTATAGGAACACGATCTTTCAATGGCATCTTTTCGATGCGAGAAATATTTCACAAACGATCCTTCTTTTTTTCCAAAAGCAAAATGTCCCACTTGCATAACCTCTCCTGATTTAAAGTAATCAATGGCCTCTCCATGCTTTTTTCCGTCCTTATAACAGAGTTGTGATTTGATATGACCTTTACATATTTCTTTCAAGGCATCATTCACGAGTTGAGGAGCTTCTGGTTTTGAAATATAGTCTTGGATTTTTTCTGAAAGTTTTAACACTTGATTATCGGTATGAATCACAAGCATGGGACCTTGTTTGTATCCGAGAATGTATTGAACAATGGAAATTTGCGTTTTTTTGTGCGATATCACTAATTTGTTGTGTATGAGATTCATTCTTTTCGTGTGTTGAGAAATGAAATAATCACTATTTTGAAAATTGTACCAATCTTTGCATACTTGTCTTTGAAAATAAATTGCAAAGCCATTCCAATATATTGTGAACACGTCATGTTACAAAATTGTCATCAATGATGGAATGTGATTCGGTTTTCACAACATTAAAAGATTTTCTTCATTGATGGTATGCCTCCAACACGTACCTGCAAATATTTAAATCCTTTCCCCTTAAGAATGGAAACATGCTATCCAAAAACGCAATCAACAAGTAGAATGGAACCATCTTAATTTTCTTCTTGGAGGCTTGTAAATAGGTCTGATCAAATTCTTCATTTTCGGAAATGCAATCATTTAATAGATCAAGACTTCTCTTTCCTTCTCGTGTTTTTTCTGTGAAAGAATTTTCAATATCTTGTTCTCCTCTTTGATTTACTACATTAGAATGATGATTACTGTTGCATTGAGTGAGGTTGCATTGAGACATTTTTTTCTTGGTTTACAAAAAAACGAAATTTTTCGGTCTCGAACGGATTGAGTCCATCAATTATAATTTGCAAATTAATTGATGATTTAAAGACATGATGATGATGCAAATGAATCTTTTTTAAATTATAATTATTGATTGATATACAACTCATTGAATCAACTGAAAATATAATACTTTTCTAATTCGTCAATCATAATCACCAACAAGAATTAAAAAGCACACCATCGGAATGTCATCAAGTAACAAAAAGAACGACCCCTCTTCGGGATACACTCCATTACATCGGGAAGGATGCCTTGCTTTTGTTGATCTCTTTCTCAACTTCTTAACCGATTTGGAAAAAGAAGGTAGATTCCAACATCGGGATTTATTAATCTCTAAATTTCTCTCACGATTGAATGTGGTTGAAACTCGGAATTTGATGGATGCGTATGGTATGGTCAATCCAGCCATTGGTACACTCATACTTAATCATAAACGAAAATTTGAAGCAGAACAGCCTTCGTTGGCTACTCAACGGGAAGATGCAGAACAATTACGAAAATTCATTGCCTCACAACCTGTGAAAACGGCACAACAACCTGTGAGGAAAGGAGCAGATCAGGAAGAAGAGATCTCTGATGATGAAGTTTTGGAAATTGTGGACGAGGGAATTGATTCTCCTCAAACAGCAAAGAAAAGGAAACAATGATTTGAAATGGTGATGATTGGAGAGCTCTACTCCAAGAACTGCATTGGGATTTTGATGAGAAACGAACCTTTCTCCATGTGGCAATTAATGCCAAGATCAACATGTTCAATTTTGTTTGAGATCATTTCACAGATTTGATTGCATTCAAAAAAAGAAGAACAATTCAAAATGTTGATCAAGTCAAAGATTTATACAGCAATTTATGTTGAATTCATCATAGATCTGATTCAATTACAAAGCATTGATATTGAAATCAATTTAATTTCTCTTTTGAACCTTCTTCAACTTTCTCAACAATCTTTGTGGGAACTTGATGTTAGCTCTTCTGCATCTTCTGGTTCTTCTAATTCTTCTGATTTTTCTGCATCTCTTTTGGAGCTTCAACTTTTTCAAGATCTTACGGACCTTCTTTGGAAGGTGTTTCTTTGGATTGTATCTCTTTCCGAGCTTCTTCTTGAGTCTCAACAACTTCTTGACAATCTTGTTGAGCTTCTTAGCAGCCTTCTTCTTCAAAACAATCTTTCTTCTGGCAGCTCTCTTCTTGGCAGCCTTTTTAGCAGCCTTCTTTGCAGCCTTCTTGGCCTTCTTCAACTTCTTTTGGAGCTTCTTGAGTTGCTTCTTGAGCTTTTTAGCAGCCTTCTTGGCAGCTCTCTTCTTGGCAGCCTTCTTGGCCTTCTTGGTAGCTCTTCTTCCTCTTCTTGCTCTTCTGCACTTTCTTCTTGGTGCTCTTCTTCTTCTAACAATAACTCTTCTCTTGGCAACCTTCTTGGCCTTCTTAACAGCCTTCTTTGCCTTCTTGACTTGCTTCTTAGCCTTCTTGATAGCCTTCTTTGCAGCCTTCTTAACCTTCTTCAACTTCTTTTGAAGCTTCTTGGTAGCTTTCTTCACAGCCTTCTTAACAGCCTTCTTGGTAGCTCTTCTCACAAATCGACGACATCTCTTAACCAATGATCTTCTCTTGGCAAGTTTACGAGCACGTCTTCTCAAGGAAGCTCTTCTTCTCAAAGCAGCACGTCTTTTCAATGCTCTTCTTCTCTTTGCCAATCGGCGAGCTCTCTTCAAAGCACGTCTAGCAGCACGTCTGGCACGACGACGAGCCAACTTTCTAGCCTTTCTTGCTCTCTTGGAAGCACGTCTAGCACAACGTCTAGCAGCACGTCTAATCTTCTTGGCTTGTCTACGAGCTCTCTTCAAAGCACGACGAACGGCACGACGAGCACGCTTGGACTTGACACGACGCACACGACGAGCCAATTTTCTTGATCTTCTCAAAGCTCTCTTCACAGCACGTCTATTACGACGACACTTCTTCAACAAACGTCTAATGACTGCTCGAGGTCTACGTGGAACTCTTCTCAAGAGTTTTCTGTGTTTTCGGATACAACCAGCACGACGGTTCTTCTTGACTTTCAAACCGAAACATAATGTGGAAGCAGCCAAGGTGTCTGCGCTTGCTGCGTTTGTTGTGGATGTTGCGGCGAACATGACCATGCAGAAGAGCATGGCAAGTGCCAACAAGATGACTCTGTGAAGGATGATGTGTGTGAATAAATAGTTTTTATGCAGCACACAACGGGAGAGAGATGATAATACTGAGGGAATCAGTGAGAGAGCAGCATCACACGGGTTTTGTTGCTTGATTCATGTAAAGCGCGTAGTAGAGTGAGGCCTCTTTATGTTCGTCGTGTCACTGGTCAAATGTCAGACGGTATGAACCTGATGGAACGAATAGGTTTGGAAATGGAACGCGAAACGGTGACCCAAATACAAAGGATGAACAAGATGACACTGTCTCGGCATTTGCAGACTTGAAATGATCGAATCATCATCTTCCAGAGTCATGTTGTTTTAGATGAAGTTGTGTTATTCATTCCTTTCACACATTTCAAAGATTCGTATGAGAAGCCAATGAACGACCGTTGTCATGGAAGCGTTTTCAGTGAAGCACGCATAATGACCTGTTGTATGAAAGATTGCAGTGAAAGCTCGGTGAGAGTTCATGTTGAATTGTTGTTCAACAATTCCTTGTTGGTTCATGAGGATGTTCTCTCTCGATGAACAATGAACCCAATCAAATTGGCGGGCGCGTTTTTCTGAGAGACCCGGGATCGAATCCTCAAATTGTAATTGTGAATTGGGCATGAAAAAGTGAATTGAGGTAAAAAATTCAATTTTGATTTCACTATTCAGAATACTGAAACCAATGAAACCCAAAAAAGTCGTTCATGATGAATTGTGTTGAATGATATTGAATTCTTTGCATCTTTTAGGGAGAAATTCGTTTCTAATTTCACAATGCTACTCGATCGAAACATGAAATATTGCGTGTTGAATATTAATACTAATCGATGAGGATGAACTGTCCTTTCACCAATTCAAAAGGACTAAGTTAAGGTTTATCATTACCAAAGTGAATAGAACTAATCTCTGTAAAAGACCTTCCATTCAGCAGATTATGAGCGTAACAATCTCCTTCCAAAATGGAAGTTGTTACGTACTATTTCTTCAATCTGTCATTCTGTCATTCTGAACTTTGTGATGGAGAACTAATATTTACCACACAACGAACAGTACTGGATTCAAATATCAGGATGCAAACTTTGCAAGATGCAAACTACAATTTTCGCCATTATTTGACGGCTATTTTGAATCATTCCATTCCATAATGTGTGTTCTTAATTACTACCTCTTTAATAACAGAACAGCACCATGAAGTCGTTGGGTTTCCAAAATTCTATCGATTTACGGTAGAAGAAAATCCAATTTTCGAAATGTCTAAATTAGGAAAGATGGTTTCTTGACAACTGGCTGCTGTCTCAAGCATCACTTCTCTCTCAGAAAATCCTGGCCAAAAACATGAAATTTGGAAAGTATTCTTTGAATCAGCCGCATGATTTTCTTCTTCTACATCTCTCAACCATTATCTTCAAGATAAAAAACAACAACAACCACAAAAGATTCGAACTTATGATAACAAGGATGCATATCATCTCTCCATTCACGGCTCTGCCAAAATGCTCCTTCCGGCTCTTGATAGCTGTCGTCATGACTTGTATCATCTGTTCTTGTCAGATACAAGCTCAATACGCATCCTTCAACTCGGTCGTGTTTCCAATTCTCAATGCCAACATGTTTAAACCACTACAAGTCAAGAATTTCATTTACCTTCCTCCCTTTGATTCTCCAACCGTTGATTTTTGTCAAAATGTGGAGCAACAAAACGCAACTGTCAAATTAATGGTTTCTGCCAAAAGTCAGTCCTCATTTCCAACGTACAATATGAGAATGTTGAATTGTATGGATTACTTTTGCTCGAATCCTTTGAATACTGCAAATATGACGGCACGGTTGTACGGAAATGAATTGTTTCGAACTGAGGTAAGTTTTTGAGATATCCATTTCCTTTTTGAGAGTATTGAATTTTGTGATCATCCTTACATGTGTGCATCAATATCATGATATTCTCAACTAGTTCTCCTTCGTTTTCAATCATTGCTTCTTGTGTGATTCTTCAAGCGCTATTCAATTTCGTCAAACCATTTCTGTCACTAACACACATGTCCAAACTTTCCAACAACATTGAGTACTGTTGTCAACATGATGAATTCTCATTGTCTCAATGCCATCGGAATTACCAGTGGTGCCTCTAACTTGACTCTCTCATCTAGCTCTTATTCCAAAGATGGTAAAGGAATTCATTTTGGAATTATGGACGCCAGATATTACGAACCTCTTCCACCCAGCATTTATTCCCTCACTCTCTCCAAAGTCATTCCAAAAGATCCATCCAAAGACACTCTCTCCTATTTCATGAATTTATACTTCCCTCTCACTAACAAGTCTCTTTTTGATGCAAATTCATTGCCCATGTTTTGTCATTGTGGTGCCACGAATGATTATGCGTATCGATGTTACGATGTGAATCATGCATTTCTAGCACCGTACAAGTATTATGCTACGTGTATCATTTTCCTTGTAGTGACCATTGTTACGAGTGTGATCTTTGTGTTGGGAGTGATCATTCCTCGTTGTTCGTATGGTTATGGCATCTTGTCGAAAAATCGAAAATATCAAAAGGAAGAAGCGTTCTATTTTGGGAGTACGAGTTATGGACCTCGTCAATATTTACGTGCCATTTTCTTACTCACGTTGGGAGATATTAAGGCTCATAGTATCTTTTGGAATTCCATTCTTTTGGTGTTTGAATACTTGACACAAATTTTCTCATTCACACGAAACTTTTCCATACCTATTTTGAAATTTGTCATTGACGATGTTGGAGGAACCATGAGAGCTTTTGTTTTCATTAGTCTCGGACTCTGTTTCTGTTGTATGGTCATTCACTGGAGTCATACCTTGGATTTGATTAATAAGGGAAAATCAAAAGGACTTCTTTCATGGTGGAATACCGCAATTACCATCTTCTTTTACATCTTTTTTCTTTGCTTTGTCATTGCTGGAATTATTTCATTGGTAGTGACTCAACAGACGAGTATCTTTTTCCAAGTTCTCTCCATCTTTTACTTTTCTTTGAGTATTCTCTTCTGTGTGGCTTTTACCATTGCTGGAATTACCATTTTAGTGAAAATGAGAAAGACACGAATGGGGTCTGCAGGTGTTTTGAGTGTGAAATTAACCAAATCGACCATGATTTTGAACGTTTCCAATTTTCTTCTCGCCATCATTGCTGCACTAAGTTTTGCAACGTATTATCAAGGTTGGGACATTTTCACAGTCGAATTGGGTTTGTTGAGATCCTCCTCGTATGACATCTTGTTACTGTTTGCCTCGAATTGTGTCATTTACATCTTGTATTCGAGTGTTGAAAGTGAGGGAATTTATGGAAAGAAAGTGAGTGAGAATATTCATCAATGGTTGAATTGTGAATGTTTTGGACGAATTGTTGAAACTGAACCCAAGATGATGCATTCTGCTCCATCGGCTGGTCACTTGTCACAACGACCTGAACTCAAGGATAAACAGGTCGAGAGAGTGAAATCACTCAATCATGGTTCAACGCCAAATGTCATGAATTCACCACCACATTCTTCACCATCATCGAGTACAGGTTTAATGGAATTGAATGTCTCTGGGGATGAAATGAATATTACTTCACCTTCTTCTCCTTCTGTTTAGTCGTGGTGGTGATGATTCGTGTGAGTGAGAGTGTGCTCTTGTCAAGGAAAATATTTCATGCTACAAGTGGTGGATTGGCTTCACTTTGAATGTTGAAAACACCAAATGACCATGATGATGGTGGGTAGGTGTAGAGAAGAAGATTGTAATGCATGTACTGTTGATGAATTTGTCGAATTCCATCCTATTCTTGTTTCTTGACTTGTGTTTTTTCTAATGCATCTTATTTCAATCAAATCTTAAATTCAGATTTTAAAATTCATCATCAATTTAAATAAAATTCAAAAAAAAATGATGAAAGGTCCTACATCATCATCATCATTCTTGATGAGCCTGAACTTGAGGAATTTTTGGGGTACTACAGCCACGAATAGCTTGAAGTTTGTGTCGCCCACGCAGCAACGAGCTTACAGGATATGGATGAATAATTCTATGAAGAACAAGTCTTCAAATTTTTTAATGTCCATCATGATGATTCATCCCGAGCAAAAGAATAGCCTTTTTGCACTCTCTAATATCAACGAGTCATCATTATCCTATCACACATTTCATGGAAATATGAACAGTGTTGAAAACAATGATGCATCTGCTTCTCAAGGTATCCAGCAACAACAACAACACTCGATAAAGACTATTTCGGAACACATGAAGCAAGTTTTACAAAGCTCTCAATCAAAAAGCGAGTCTGTTTGGCCAAATTATGCAAAAGAAATCAATAGTATTTTTTCGCATTTTGAAAAGTTTGAATTATCGGAAGCTTTGCAACAATTAACAAATTTAAACGAGGCACTATTTCGACAAGATTCGAATTTATTTTCAGAGGAAATGCAGGCAGTTCGAATGGTTTATCTATATATTTCATTTCTGGACCAAATATATTCCAAGAAAGATGGCGAGCATGATTTACCCCTTTTCAATGAATTTTTGGATCCAAGATGTTTTGAGTTTGATTATTTCAAACACGAAGTTGCTGTTGACATCCTTCAAAAATACATTACAGAGCATGTAGAAAAGATCAATGAAGGAAAAACACCAGAGTTTGTCACGCTCAAGCGAAAGCTTGCCTGGGTTAAATTTTATCAGAACCACCTTCTCAGCGCTATCAATGATGTTAAGGAAGCATTGGCTGTTGCTCGAGTAGTTTTTGGAAAAACTTCTGTCGAGGCATGCTATTGTTATTCTGATTTGGCATCGCTTTATGTTGCAGCTGATAACCTCTCAGCAAGTGAAAAATGTGCCAAGATTGTCATTTCATTGCTTCCTCAAAAACCAAACAAAACTCCATACTTGGAAGAGAAAATTGCAATGGCCATGGTTGCACTCAGTGAATCAGTGAGAGAAAGCAACGCTGAAGAATGCGTCAAACTCAACACAAGCGCCATTAAAATCATTGAGAACGTCTATGGACGAAGAAACAAGAAGTGGATTGATTGTGTCTATTCTCTGATTAGTAACTATGATGGAATTGCTGCAAACAAGAAAGAACAAGATGAAGCACTCGGTGAAGAATACACCCGAAAAGCAGACACTCTCTACAATTTAGTTGGAGAAATGTTGACAAAGAATGCCTTTTCCAACATTCTGCTCTTACCGCTCCGGCAAAGCACCACTGATGAAGAGACGTATGATGAAGACTTGTTATTGAGATTGTACATGAGAAGAAAGTACCCATTACCACTTGCTATTCATGCTCTTTTTGGTGCCGCTCGAATTGTGTTAAATGGAGAGGCACCAGTCAAATCCATTGAACTCTATGAAAAAGCTCTCACGTATTTTTCAAAAGAGTACACCGAAGATGAATTCCTTATTGAAAGAGAATTTGCAAGCTCTCAACTTGCTTGTATTTATGCTCTGACAGGTCAAGCTGACAAAGGACAAATTCTGTTAAAAGAGTGTATGAAACGTATTGCAAGCTCCATTGGTACCGACAACAAATTCTATTCTGATATTGCAAGTTATGAAGGTTTAGTAAGTACTGACTCACCAAATCTGGCTGCAGCTGGTCTGAATATGGCAGGTCTTACGGACGCAGATCCCAGTGGCAAAACTCCAGAGCAAATGAAAGAGGAGTTGGAACGTCTTGGTTTCGATGTGGACTCTTTCACAAACATGATGGAGAATGCCATGAAATCAGGCGGACGAAATATGGATGAGAAGGAGCTCTTTAAAATGATGGCTGGAGCAATGTCCAAGTCACACAGTGACAAGAAGAGCAAAGCCGATACAGAATCTCCTCAATCAAGTCCTTCAAAATCAAAACATAGTAGTAAGAAAAAGTGAAACCGAGTTCGATGAACTAACTTGAATAAATTGTATTCGTGCTTTACCAAGATCATGAGCTTTCTTGTTTTACTTTGCAATTACTTCGTTTTCTTTAAGGACTCGTTATGAACACAGAACAGAGTATGGATCTGATTTTTCTATTGAAAAAGAACCATTTTGAAAGATCATTTTAATTATTGCTCATGAGTTTGATTGGAAGGATGAAAGCACAAATGAAGACAGACTTCATTGTAAGCATGGCTTCTGTTATCGGATTGGAACATTACTTGGTTGAAACAATTCTCATTTTCTTATAGTAACGCTCATCTCCTTTTCTTTTCTCGAGGGCATAAGTTTGGAATTACCGCCTCAAAGAAAAATGGAAGCAGAATCTACTTTGCCAACCATTTCAGAGAGAATGCGTTGGGAAGCTATTAAGGAGGATGGCGAGGATGCTTATGAGTTGGAAATTTCTGAAGAAGAAGAATTGGAAGAAGGAAACATCTCCCTCTCTTACTCAACATGTATTGAAGATTCCATCCGACTTGAAAATAGTTTGGATTCATTTGCAAGAGAAAATAATTTGGAGAAGTGCTCCGTATTATTCAAATTATGTTGTTCCGTATACATAGTTCCGTTTAACTGATGTTGAATGATTTGATTCTATCCTCATTAAAGAAAAAACGAGATTTCATATTTAAGCGCGATAAAGATTTTGATTTCGTTAAAGGACAGCTTCAGGAAGCAAGCACCATTAAGGAGGAGTTCAAATCCATTGAAGAGACTGTCATGACCAATCACAATCCCTTTGCTTTTATCAAGGAAAATATTCTCTTTCTTGGAGATGAAAACAAGAAGAACAAAATGTGGGAATCTGCCAATCAAGTTGTAACATCATATTTCTTTCAACTACTCTTCTACAGATCTAAGAATTTCAAGACTGGAGGGTAAGTCCATTCATGAACACAGTTGCTAATTCTGAACAATTTTTCAGCCTTGAAGAATTGCATGAGCTTAAAGAAATGATCAACTCTCTGAAGAACATTAATTCCAACGCTGGAACAGAACAAGCCAAAAAACTGAAGATGAACAAAACTGCTCAACCTGATTTTTATTCAACTTTCAACGTTGATGGTGAATCCAACCATTGGCTGGTTTCCTTAGTTGTAGAGTTTCAAAGAAAAGGTTTGAAACCAAATCAAGACCATAAGGATACATGATGTTCAAAGATTTTACACCCAACTGTCTTTTACTGAGGGCTCGAGTGATTTATTTGCTCCAGAAACGAATTATACCAAAGATCTTTGTCAAAGAATTCCAAAATGTGAAGTTTCCAAGTATTTTGACTCCTTTATCCAAGACATCTACAAATATCCCTTTTCGTCATTCGCTCAAGCCGTTTCTTTCATTGAGTCGCTGTACAACGCTTTTACTTTGGGAAAAGAAACCTTTGTTTCAGATCTAAACCAACAGATGGTTATTTGGTTTTGTGCCAAAAATGATATTCTAAAAATTACTGGTGCTGATCAACGTTGTAAAGGTGTTGTCGCAGCATTTCGGATTGGGAATGAAGCCCACTTAAAGTTTTACACTATCACACCCAATGGCTTGTCTTGGGAAGAAATTTTGCAGCACAACAAACCTGATGGTTGTAATGACGATCAAGACCAAATGGAAGGTGACGATGATTCTTTCATCCAAAGAAAGACCAATAGACCAACAACATCGAACAATTCTTCCAGTCCCAGAAGTGAAAACCGCCAACAGGATGCTCTTTTGAATATTTTAAAACTTGTTGGTGTTCAAAGATGCTCAAACGAGTTCATATTTCATCACATGATGGAATTACTTTTTGTACTCTCGCCTGGTGTAAGGAATTAAGTCAGGAAGTATTTGTGAAGATTACCTCTCGAAAGGAGAATGTAGAGGTGATGAATAAGGTGAAATCTTTAGAACATGAAGGAATATGTAAGATTTACAGATATGAAGTGATTGATTCTTGTTACAGTGCTCGGCTTTTTATCACCAATTTTATACACTACTTGAAATGGATGAGAGCAAGATTAATGTTTGCGAACTTTATGTCACAATTCAAGAGAAGCTTGTTCCAATATCAGAATCAAAGTTAGATTTTTCAAGTATGCTCGAGCAAACTTTGGACGTTGTTGAGTTTCTTCACTCCAACAATATTGTTCATTCTGATCTTTCATTGAACAATTTCATGATTAGACCTGCAAACCATGGAAGCCCGAAATCAAGGATTGTATTGATTGATTTTAATAATAGTTTTTTAAAGAAGGAGTGTGGATGTATACTCTACACTGGTACAGAATTACAACTTTTTAAATTTCCATATACTCATCCAAGAAAGGAGTGGAGAGGAAGTGTTTTACGTGATACTTATGCCTTGGGTATTGTCGTTGCAGAGAGGGCCCTTTCAAACCTGCAGCCGCAGCAAACAGCCGAAAAGGACGGCTGCCAGCTCCTGCTGACTTCCCAAACTTTGTGGAAATCCAGAATCCTCCAGAATCCGGATGTTTATGGATTTTGGCGGTTGTTTTTGGCTTTTTTAAAAATAAAAATGAAACACAACAACAACAATTACGGACAAGCCTTGGCATGTTATCCTTGCACGAAATGAATTCAAATGTGGAGCTAGACACCATCAGACATCAATTCAGTAATGATTATTGTTGCTTCTCATCACCAGAACATATTAATTATATTGTTATTGGTGAATTTGAAAGAGCATGTCACACATTTGCCATGCTTTCAGATGCTGAATATAAAGCTCCAACCATTCATACTCTATTGTTTAATTTGAATATACCTGGTATTGAAGTTTTACTTACAAAAGAATTCAAATTGAAACAATATTCGAATAATGACATTGTGGAATTTGATAAATTGGAGCAGCAACGGAACAGAACACATCAACCACACAACTTGCTACAAATTTCAAAAACAAACAATCCAACACACATATCACTATTGGAGGAATTACCTATCACAAACAACAAATTGAAAAACCAGAAGCAAATGACTCTCAATTCCGAATATTTAAGCATTGGTGATTATGTTCTCCAATTAGATGAAAAATATCATGTCTACATCTGCCAAATTAAGCAAATCAAACAGTGGACAAAAAGGAATAAGAAGAACAAAAACCTTTGCCTGGATGGACGTTTCTAAAGATTTTACGCAATATTTTAAGAACCGTCATTGTGGAGAACGGTTTTTTAGTCAGCAAAATAAACTGATCACCTGATCGAAATCCTATCTCAGCCGCAAAAATCCTGTTTCAACCGGATGCCAAAGGATTCTGTTGATTGCATCTGAAAATAATTTCGGCAGCGAGGACTATCCTGGCTGAATGGCTGTTTGCTGTGGCTGCAGGTTTGAAAGGGCCCTCGTTGCAGAAATGCTTAAGGTGTTCCATTTCAAGGAAAAGAGATTTCGATTCTATAGCTCATCTTTGGAAGAAGCAAGAATTCAAGTACTTGATTATTTAAAAAAAGTCAAGAATCAAAACATAAACTTTGAATCCATGTTCAAGTTCGTAGATACGCTTTTGAACATTAAAGAAAAGCTGTCCTTTTTGCATGAGGCAAGAAAAATATTGACAGAGGGAGACTTGAATAGGTCAAGAAAAGAAAATCCCTTGAATCCAAAAGTCAACAGTATGGATGACAAAGAAAATCAGATTGAAGAATTGTAAAGAAATTAAACAGTAACATTCACAGTAATTTGGCCAATTGATGAACTATAAGCATATATGAGGTATCTCTCAAGAGAGAAATGTCCAATACAAGGCTTCTGCTAAATTTAAAATTGTTTTTGTGTTTTGGTGGATCAGAACGCTTTAAGATCAGGGATCAATGTAGCCATAGTACAAACTGTTGTTGAGTTGACCAAGCAGCACTGTACTGACATCTGAATAACTTGTTGAGGATTATAGTCATTAATTGAGAACGACTCAATGTTAAACAATCCCAATATAGAAAGCAAAACCTACGGATTGGAAATGTTCTTAATACTTGCTATTTGTTGACTTTGAAGAATCTTGTTCTGATAGCTGTTATGCCTAAATGTGTAAACACAGCTAATCCAAAAGGCAAATATGACAGCAGTGTCATCAAGAAGCTGACCAACGTGTTTTGAAAAAACAATCTTCCATCTTTTGATACGGTGATGAATTTTTCAACTCTTTTTTCTTTGACGAGGATTTTGACATGTCAAGAATATTTCTAAAATTGACTCTCCAAACATGAAACAACCTTGCGTTTATCGCCAATATTAAAGTTTGATGTCGAATTAAACATTGTATTCAGCTTTCCCTCCATAACAGTCCAACAACGCCATGACTCTGTTTCATTTCTGTTCATCAAGAAAACAACCACCACCTAAAAAAAACCCTCACACCACCTCTCTCGATTTGTTGGGTTCATCGGTCGCGTCTGATCACTGAAATTCGTTGTTAGTCAATTATAATTGTTCAACAGCAAGAAGTGTATACGGATCAAATTTTGAATTCACGGAAATACATTATCAGTGAATTGTTGTTCTATATTTTCATCTCTTGATCTCATCCTAAATAGATCCCTCCGAACAAAATGGCCTTTGCTTGTTGGAAGACTCTGAAGAGGCACTTTATAACGGTGATTATTTTGTTTATCACCTTTTTGTTACTCGCTTTTGAATTTGTTAGTATCATGTTGTTGTTATGAATTTTAATATTCCCTTCTTCGTGTTGATGATGATGAACAATTTATAATTTACAATTTTAATTATTATTTTGATATGATGGCTTTAATGATTGGAATGATATGGATCTATGTGGTTGTATATTTATATTGGATGATGTGTTTTGATTGATGAACTATATGTGCTGTCTCAAATAATTAATGGAATATCATATTGTATTTCAATTACAACAAATGGATCATGCTACAACGATATAATTTTGCAATTTTACCCTGAATGATGGTGCCACCATGAATTATTACAGGCTGTTCCATTTATATTTAGAGGAATGTTTTGTCCTACCAATACAACAGAAGAAGTGTGCACGAATGGAATGTTTTATCTTCATATGTGTCCATGTAAGTAGGAAATGGCATGTGTTCATGTTGTTAGGTTCTAATAAGTGTCACGAAAATTTTGACCTAATGGAAAATTCATCATCACGTGATGATGTCACAATGGAACTTGGTACTGATCCATGGATGTTCGTTTTTTATCATGATCTTTGCACTCTCAATTCACTGATCCAGTCTTTATTGTGTCCTCACTGACATTATTGGCACTCATTATTGGTCTCTGCCAAAAGGTTGTTGGTATCATTCTCGATATTATTGCAGCCTTATTGCACGTTGGTGTTCTAGTGTATTACATTTTGTTTGTGATTAAGGGATCACAATATACGGTTGCCATGGCTGGAAGCAGCAGTCTCATTCTTCAAATTGTTCCTTGTGTTGCCTTAGCTTTGTGTACCATTGCATGCTTTGTTTGCATGTTTGATTGTTGCAGACATGTGTATGCCACTCGATTCAGTGGAAGTGGATCTAAGGGTGTCAGCGGTACTGGAGATTCCTCAACCGATTACGTCCCATTGCAAGGATCCAAACACATTGACTCTGACAGCGACGATTCGGATTAGACGATTGAATAGATTGAATAGTGAATTTTGTCATGCCAATATTGCAATAATTTATCCACCATTTATATTTCTCAGTGTTATTTAATGAATCATTGTTAATAATTATTTTGATCAAGTTTTCATTGTATTTATTATTCTTTCCTTAGTAAAAATAAGTGTTGGCGAATACCATATCATGCATGATTCTTTGTGAATTTCGTGTAGGAAATCGATTTACTAGCACTTATATCTTGAAATTCAAGAATCGTTTAAGTTTCTTCTTATCTCCCCTGCACGTCACAAAGACTGTCTTGCCCAATCTGTTAAGTCTCTTTCTGTTCTTAGACCAAGCATGGTGACGTTTACCAGCTTGATGTCTTTTTATCTTACCAGAAGCAGTAACTCTAAAACGTTTCTTGGCAGAGGATTTGGTCTTTAATTTCTTCACTCCGGTTACGAGCTTGTTATGACGAACAATTCTTCTGAAACGAATATTAGATTGGTTAAAGATTGAAGGTCCGAATGAGAGAGCTCCATTCAGCAGTGATGATGATTGTTTCAAAGCAACAAAAGGATTAGAAGCCATTGCGTTCATCATGAGAGTATCGCTATAGCTCTTCAAAAGACTTGTTGCAGCGCTTCTCTTGGTGAAAGAGGCTGTTTCCGAATTTTGTTATTATTATTATTTGGTAAAAAGAAGAGTATCATCCAAATCATCATCATTGTAATAATTTCCAAAGTATTGTGAGTTGGAATGAAAGTTATAACCAATTCAAATATCCAGCACACCCAAATGTATTTCAAAAAGATATTGAATCATCATCATCCGAAATCATCATTTAAAAAACATTCCGCATCCATCCCAACCCCAGTAAATATCAATAATTATTATGAACATTATTAAATTCATACAAGGAATAAAATCCCTATCATCAGAAGAGAAAAAATAATTTCAAACAAACACCTACACCTCACCAAAGACTGCGAAATAACTCCCAAAAAGCGATTCATATTTTTTTTTCAAAATACCGTTCCAGGCATTCATGAATTGGACCTTCCACAGAGGTGAATTCACATCGTTCAAGCAAAATTCTTTAATTTCGAAACAAAGAAAGCCTTAAGTGGCTCGCACTTTCAACAACGAATCGTACTTACAGAGTTCACTTGAAATTTTACTCTTATTTGTAAACAGGGTTCAATATTTTTGTAACATTCCAAGACGAAGTGCTAGAAACTTCAAAGACACTTTGAGATTAAATTGTTTCAAATACATTTAGAATCCTGTGTGAAAGAATTGCTGCTTTCTTTTCGAAAGGTGTGTCGACCTTCACTTGTCACCAAAAATTACAAAAACAAAGGGTTCACCAGTTGTTGTTCCATTAAAACCTTCATTGTGGACACAAGTGAATGCGAGCACAAATGCATGGGCCAACCAAATGTTGGCATTAGAACCAATGTCGTGAATTTTAATAGTACTGGATGTCCTAACAAGGATTGAAGGTCACAAGAAAAGTATCCACACGCCTTTGGATATTGGTATTTTGATTGAAATGGGCTGACAGTAAGGAAATTATGGCAAACTTATTGGCCATGCCCTATAATAATTCATTATGGAGTTCCATGTATCCAGAATTGACTCGAATTTTAGATGAGAATCCAATGGCACCTGTTGGCAATAAGGTTCAATGGAATTTAGTCACAACATCCTCTGCAAAAACTCAAATTTCACAACCCAATATTCAAATCTATTCCACCTATGCCAATAATACGTTTGATGTGCCTTCTTCGATTTTTGTGGATCCTTCAATTATGAATTTCAATTTAATTTCTGGAAATGTGTATGAAAATCAATGGGCATTGTATCATTTTACAAAAATTCCATTTGATGACATTGGTTTGTTGAAAAATGGAAATCCAACACCAAGTGTGTCAGTGAAGCCAATGAGGAGTGCACAAAATTCAACCAAAAATCCACGTGCTTCTGTTTCAATGGCCACTTGCAAGAATGAGATGAAACTATTATTATGGTTCGTCATGGTCATAACATTAGGGTTCATGAGTCATTTCCTTTAAGTAGGATTGCATGTGGAATAATTCGTTTCGAATTTGTGTGAATTGTCATTTGGTTGTTCATTACAAAAAAAAATGGGACAACATGCTTCTGGGTCGTCGTTATCGATAACGGAAAAGAAGCCTAATTTTTTAGTGGCTGGAACGAATTCGGAATGTAGGTGAAAGGATGATTTTTTGTCATTGTTTTTTTGGTGGTTAAATGGAAGAGGATTTTGATGAATTACAAATGTATTGGATGATGATCAATTTTTGATTTTTTTTTCATCAACTTATTCATCATATGAAAATTAATAATAATAATAGATCAATTCGGAATTGGAGCATCAAAATTTACTGCTCTCCAAGAGGCTACCTTGTTTGCCAATGAAAATATTGTCAAGGTTGCATGTGGACCAAATTTTACCTTTGTTTTAACCGATGAAAATGTGTTATATGGAACAGGTTCTAATATTTATGGAGTTTTAGGATTGGGTCCTCAACATCATGAAAATCAAACAGGTTTTATTCGAATTCCAATATCGTTTCATATTCAAAATATTTATTGTTGTCGATCGATGGCTGTCATTGTGTCAGATGGTTACTCTGTCGTGAACAGTAGTTCATCATCTTCTGAGGATATTGCCGGTGGAAATGCTTCTTCCATGACTGTGAATAACGAAAGATTCACTGCACAGCCACCACGGCAAATGTTTTATTGGAGTGGAGGAGAATTGTCAGTATCAGGCTCACCAATTGTGAATCAATTTTCACCCATTGTGGATTGGAATTTAACCATTAAGGAACAAGTGAAATTTATGGATGCTCATCCAACTTCAACATTTTTCATTATTGTGACAGGTGTGTATGCATTTATGAATATCATTGTGTAGGATGACTCTCTTGTGATATTTACCATTTTATGATTTTATTTAATATATGAACGACGTCAACAATGTATGGTCATTGTCAACAATTTGAATACGACAGAATCGAACAAAATTTATTTTTCTGGAGTGAATGGAAGCGGTCAATTTGGAAATGGAGAAGAACGACGGTCATTTAAATCACTCTATTTTCTTCCGCCTGCATTATTTCCTTCCTACAATGGAGTACGAATGGTGGCATGTGGCGCAAATCACACGGTCATTGTAACAGATAATCACGAACTGTATACTAGTGGAAATAACAAATTTTATCAATTAGGTCACTCGAATGCAACTTCAACCAATACTTTTCAGAAACCAAATGTAAATTTTCAAGGACAATCGATTCGAATGGTAAAATGTGGAGAGAATTTTACAATTGTATATTTAGAAAGTGAGTTTTTTCTTGAATGCCACAACTTGGGATTACAACATCAATTCTTTATTTTGAAATAATTGATCACTCATTATACAATGAAAAACAACAAATTCCATCGAAAAAACAACCAAATCTAGATGGAGATTTATATGCTTGTGGAAACAATTCTTATGGTCAACTCATGAATGGTAAATTTCACGAGAAAATCACCTTTCACAAAGTACTCTCACATAAGAACATTGTCTCTCTGAATTGTGGCGATAATTTCACAGTATTTATTTCTTCAGATTTCAAAATTCACAGAGCAGGATGTAACTCTCATGGTGAATTATTCACAGAAGGATCCTCACAATCATTCTCTTCCAAAATCATTTCAAGTTCAGTCAATAGATCATACAAATTATTTGGAATTTCTTGTTCGAAAGGTTATGTCATCTTGTATCGGCAATATGGAAATTATTTTGGAGAAGTATTGTTTCATCCCAAATGGAAATATTACTCATTTGTGGTGAGAGCACCGAGAAGAGCGAAACCATTGGTCTCTCCTCCACGTCAGCAACGACATGACAACAAACCATCGAATGCAGCAGTCGTGTCAGCACCACCACCACCACTACTCGTATTTATTCCTTCCAATCAAGAAAACTTTCATCGATATCTCATGTATCGATCGATTCATGATCATTTTCATTTAATGAAACAAGAAATTATTCCGTTCCTGAAAAATAGTGAACAAGAAGAAGAAAATATTGGCAAGAAACTATTTTCTGACATTTCCATCCTGTTGTTTCAACCCATACAGCAAGATTCATCGATGAATGATTAAATAATTACTACTTTTGATTTTCAAACAATTCACATCAATGAGTCATTTATTGAATGTCACACTTCTTTTCTTTTTGATAACAACATCCATACCTTGCATTAATGGCCGATCGATAAGCTTGGTTAAAGCATTGTAGCAAACCTGCTTGTGTCAGAGAAGAAAAACTCGTCAATGCCACCACATGAGGAAATTCATGCAGAGCTTGTTCCAATGCTGTGTGAGGAGATCCATCCCATGACAAGTGATCGATCAAATCGAACTTGCTGTAAGCCACTACAATTGGAGTGAAAGGATGAGACAATACTAATTTTCGTAACGATGGGAAAAGTTCATGTTGCAATTCTTGTTCTCGAAGAGAATATGTTTTAGAAGTGGATGTTGTGAAAAGTCTTGTCGAGTCATGAACGAAAATTATAGCGTCTGGCTCGTCTTTGTTTTGGTTCACCACCTCGAGATGATCTTTTTGTCTGGTTGGTTGTGAATCGACATTCTTTTTGGTTAATATATTCAATTCAGTCATTGAAACGGCACTCACACTGACTTGTACCACCAATCCATCGATCATGATATTCCCATGTTGAGTGAGTTCAAAATCATTTTCACCTCCAAACACGTTTGTGAAATAACTTCTCAACATTTCTCGTTTTCCACATTGTTTCTGACCATAAACATCAATTTTCAATTCCAATGTGAGTAAAGAAATTAATTCTACTCCAATGTCATAATCTTCACTCGAATTTGATGGTGCTGAAAATTTCCAATAATTATTTCGTAAATGTTCAATTTCTAATTTCAAAAATTGATAATATAATTCAAAAAGTGAAGGCTGTTCGGAATGGACAACAAAATGACCTTGAAATTTGTTTAAAATTTTCAATTTAACATTTTGGAATGTAGTCATTCGATCCTCTTGATGATCGTCAAGAATTTCAAAAATGTCAAATGCCAATAATCGATACCATTCCATCATTTGTTTGTGATCCGAAGCATTGTAAATCCACCAAGTTTTTGTGCGAGATTTTTGGAAAGTTAATTTCTTCATTGTGCTCAGATAAGAAGCAGCCTTTCGATACACACGACAAGATCGAGATTTAAATAATTCAAATCCAAAGTGATCCAGTAATGTCAAAATGACAGGTGACAGTGCAGTAATGCCCTGTTTCTTGTTGTGGACCTCTTGCTGAAAAAATCCAAAACACATACGATATCTATCGCCATGATCCATAAATTTAACAATTTCATTATTCACAACATCGGAATGAGAAGAGAGAAGTGTCGCGACAATGTGTGGAAACATGTGATCGATTCCTGCCGTTGTCAAGGACATTTTTTTAATCATTTAGAAAAATTAACGAGCTCCAATTCCCTCATTATGAAGAAATGAGTTGTTATGTTGGAAAAACATAAAGCACTTTTGATTCCAGATGAGAAGTTTTATTAATATCTATAATAACGATAACATGTGGCCTTGCATCTTTCAACTTTAGAAGTAAATAGTTCATTAAACATTCCTCCATATTTTTCATAACATTCGTTATAGCAACCAGCAAGTGAGACAGGTGCATCAGCAAGTAATCTGTTGCCATTGTTTCTAGAACGTACGAAATCGACGGCGGCACGTCCAAAAGTATGGTATGGTGCGTAGTAGTAGTCAGAGAGTTCTTCAACTGTCAATTCTCTTAAAGCTTGTCTGATCATTCTTCTTGTGGTTCTTCTGTTGTTAAATTCCTTCTGACGAGTTCTTGAATCAACTTGGCGAGCTTGACAGAAGAGTCTCTTGGTTGAGTAATTGTCAAGTCTTGATGTTGTTGTTCTTCCGCACACACAGCAGCAACAGCAAATGTCAATAACACAAGGAAGACAATAATAACGGAGAGTTTCATATTTTTAAGATTGTTGTGACGAGTGGAACGATTTTACAAACAACAATTTAATGGATTGAGAAAGGTTACACAATACAAGTGGTTGTTCAAGGTTTGTTCATGAATTGAAATAGTTCCAGGTTGAGTTCTGGGATTGCAACGTCCTCTGTTCACAATGTTGCATGAAAATGTTGCAGGATTTTTAGAATTCAAAAAAGATCTGAATGAACATCTGGTAGGAGGATTTAGAGTGAAACTTTAAACACCATCCAAATTGAAGTTACATGGAATTCAAAAGTTTAATGATTGATGCTTTCCCCATGCAACAAACTGAACAGTCCATGCAACAAACTGAATCCATAAATAAAAGCTTGGCCTCAATAGGAGTTCCCTTAGAAGAACACTTACTTTCATCATTGGTTTTTCCAAGTAACATGATCATAACAACAACAAAAAATGTCCACCAGTAACAACAACAAACTTGAATATTCAAGCCTTTCCAATCATCAGTGCCAACCTTTAGAGTCCAAGAATAACACAGCAACATCTTTGGAATTCTCCAATGCAGGATATATCAATGGATCTTTTCTCGATTTGGAATCCATGAAGAGGTATCGAAACAATTCTTCAACCGATTATCCATTTTGAATTTCAAACACGATTGTATATCGGATTCACTACAAACATTATTCTCTCAATTTAAAGAGTTGTTAAAGGAACATGAGGAACAACAATTTTCAAAATCAACAGCAAGGAAGATATTTGAAAAGTGCGGGTTTCCTTCAAGCAATAAGGTAGATATTCTTATTGCTCGCTCTCGTCTGATCAGCGTACTGAGGCCGTTTGCGTTGTGTGCTCATCATTCTGAGAAGGGTGGAAGCAAAATGGAATTATCCAGAACTCTGTACCGTTCATTGCTTGACCTAAGTGCGTTATTTCCTTCCAAATTAAAGACTGATGGGTATGTATTTAAAAATATGAAATTCAAGAGGCTTGTTCAAGTTTTGAAGGAATATAAAAACAAACAAGCTTGTAAAAATAGATGAATCGTTGGAAGAGGAAATGGAAAACGAGATTTCTCAATTGAAACCTGATCGATTTGTCCAATATCAATGGAACGCTGTTTCCAACCAAAGAAAGTCTGACCCAATGAAAATGATACGAGTGGTGGAAGAGGACAGCTATGAAGGTAATAATGCAGATTTTATGAAATTGGTGAAAGAACTACGAGTATTACATTGCAAGAACATAAGAGCTTTATTAATTGATGAAAAACAAAGTTTTCATGAAACATTCGCAACGTATGGGCTACTAGTTACTAAAAGTTGTGTGGAAATAATGGCAATCACAGCTGTGCTAAACCAAGATACCAACCATGACCGAATTTATTATAACCTTCATTATATTGGTTCATTTGATTGGGCGAAGAAAGATTCCGAAACATCAAGCTTGGAATTGTGTGCAATGTTATTGGCCATTTGCATATTTGTGCTGATGAACAACAACAGATTGAAGATTTTGTAAGACAGCGAAAGAATACACAATTTGGCTCATTGGCCACAAGAAAAAGACTTCACATTCAACTTTTGCCAGACGATGAAATTGTCCTTACGAGTAATTCATGTTATGAAATTAAGGGAACTGTACAGACTTGTGAAGATACAAATGAGTCATTGGAGGGCAAACAGGTTGTCTTGGTGAAATCAAGATCCACTTCGTTCTACTTGACCATATTTAATTCTGAGCTCATCATCTCTCAATGCAAACCACCTTTTTCGATATTTCTCAAAGACGTTAACTCGTGTAAGGTTTTCCGAGAATCCTCACTCCTTGCAACACCAAAGAATTTTGAGGTCTCTTTATGTGGTCAATGTTTGACAAAACTTCTGTCATCTCTAACACCGGAAAGCAAGAAACGAATTGTGATTGAGTTGCTTTGTGAAACTCAATTCATTCATTCGAGAAATATTATTCACAACGACATCAAGCTGGATAACGTTGTCATTTATACGGACAAGAAACAACTGCAATATTCAAAATATATTGATTTTGAGCTGTCTAAAAGGTTTGACAAGTACAATATGAACGAAGAAGTGTGTACTGATAACAACGCAGAGACATTATTTTCAGGATCGGGCACTCCTGGATATTATCCTCCAGAAAAATTAGCCGTCATGAATGACAGAAATACTGTTGACCTTAGATACTCGTTAACTCCAAAATCCGACATTTATTCATTAGGAATTGTGCTCTTAGAAATTCTTACTGGCAACAGTGTAAATGATTCTTATTCAATTGAAGATGCATTCACAACACTCTCACGAGACCATGATTTTGCAAGTATGCACGGAATAATTTCATGTATGATTCATCCAGATAAATCAAAACGCCCAACGGCAAGCATGATTCTTCAAACTCTCATTCAAGAGAAGGGATGGGATTTAAAACTGGCACACGAAGGCTGGAAGAAGGCACGAACTTCATTGACTGAAGATTTCTGGAAAACTCATGGTGTGCTAGAAAGGGATTTGTTCGATGATGCAATCAACAACGTCACTTTGGAGCAACTTGTACAAGTCACAACCACTTCCGAGTCATCAGAAGAAAACAAGAAACGAAACAATCACCCTACAGTAGATGTCACAGCAAACAAGAAATGGAAACATGCTAGCAACAAATAATAGGAGCCACAGATGGTCTTCTTAATGTCGGGTTCAGTTATGTTATCCTCAGAACAGGTTAGCTCAATAAATTCCGTTTGAAAAGATTCGACATTAACGTCGTAAATTAAACTCAAATTTCAAAATCTGTGACGTTTGGATATTTCGTGGTCGACCGAATGCAGTTCAAGAATTATATGACATTATTTGATTTCAGAGTTACTTTCTTATCTGGATTACGTGAATAGTCAATCTTAACACCATTTACCTAAACAGCCATCAAAAATTATTCTTACCATTACTCTCGAATCAAGTCAAAGCCAAGGGCTTCTGCCATTGAAAACAAGCTCACTTTCTTTGGTCCAGGTTCCAAAGTCTCAGAACCCTCAGAGTTAGTAGAAATTCGCTTTCGTTTCTTGTCTCCACTACAATCCAAATCTTGTTGTTCGGATTGAACCTTTCCATGCAAGAAAAAGTGATGATTTGCATGAGGACTTTCTGTGCATGTATTACTGCTGTCACTACTGTGATCTGATGAATCAATATCATTGAAACACTTCTCACAAAGATAACACTGATCACAATTCTGACACACAAACAAGGCTCCCTTAATTTTTGCTTCGCAAGTACTGCACGAAAGCTGAAACGAAGGAGTTACGGGTATGGCCAACGTTGCAGCAGAAGTAATCATATCCATTACATTGTGGTTGACATGGCCCTGCACTTGCGGTGGTGAAAAAAAACAATCATGGCACAGATGAAAGGGAGAGGCATTCACATCGGTGCAGTGCTCCTTGACGAAACAACTTTCTGCACTAATTAAATTCCAACACGAGTCGCATACTAGGGCATGAGAGCGTCTTTGAGCGATCAATTGTTCTCGTATTTCATCATAGATTGGATCAATGAGTGCCCTTAGAAGGTGTTTGGATCCTGTAATTTCCCGTTGTTTGACCTTGTGTGCTCTAAGAAGAGTCTTAAAACAACCAATGTGATAAAACCAATTTTGCATATATTCGTGATATGAATCCTCAAAAGACATGCATCCTCTATGCTCATCGGTAATGGAATGATGGCAAGAACGACATTTGGCTCTATTACTCCTTGATACTTCCACGGAATAGGAAGCCTGATTAGGCTTATCTTCAGAATCACTCTCCTGTGTTTGGTATTCAAGAATCACGCATTGACTCGCCAACGTAATAAACTCTCTCTTCTTGTTGGAATCCAATTGTTCAATATCAGAGGCAGAGCAATGATTAAACTGTTGATGAACCGTATTCTCACAGTGGTAGCGAATGCAAAGCCTCATCCACAGAGAGCAATCATTTAAAAGCGATGAAGAATCTTGATTCAAACTTGCACCAGAAATTGCCGCAGAATTCGGCATTCCAAAGTATTGCTTGTTACATTCCGATAACTTGATCAAGGTTACAATATCTAAAAAATCAACAATATAGGAAACCAGTTCTGGCATTCGGAAAAGCATGTCTTGCAAGAAGGCAGGTCTGTAGGTGAGAGGTATTTTCATTTTTTTCTTCTGTTTTAGGGAAAGTTTGGATTATTAGATTCGTCTGTTTTCATAAGCAACATCTTTTTTTACTGCAAATTCAGCAGAAAACAGTTTTCCGCGGAAAACAAAAGAAAACTCTGAATTTTATAAATTCTCTATTATTTCAATTTATTTTCTATGTACATGAGAGAGTTGTGAAAAAGAATCTTTTAAAGTATTTACAACTTAGGGTTCGTGAGGAATATTATCACACGATAAGGAGTTAGTGTTCGTAATGGAAAAGTAGCATGTGGTTATTAATCATTAGCATGCCATGGGAGAGATGGGATGATGACATCTTGTCACCAACTTTCTGACCACCACGAGGTGAAGATGACTGGGGTGAAGAATGGTGTTCAGGTGAGGTTGCTTCACCATCCGAAATAGTATTGACAAGCTTTGGTTTTAACTTGTTCAGAATGGGTTCTGCATTCTGTAAACATTGACTATACAGATCCGAATAGGTCAAGCCGCGAGTGGATGAGGAAATTTCTTCGAGAAGTTGAGGGGTTTGTGTGACTTTTTGGCTTGAATAATGGAAATCATGTTCATTCGCTCCGAAAGGTCTGCATTGTAGAATGGATATGTGTTCCAGAGATGTCACTTCATCCATTTCCTCTTCTTCACCATGCATGAAAATATGAATAGGAACCCCCTCATCATAGTCATACATGGTTTCAATCACTAACTTGTTCATACATTTGGAAATGGAGCCTGGTTCAAGTTTTTGTGATCTCTCATAAATGAATAAGGTCTCTGAAGTCACCAACACTCGCTGTTGTTTACTGTTGGAAGTGTCACATCCAACTGTAACGTCTTGGTCATAATCAAAGTCGTCTTGACGAACAATAATATAGTCATCCTCGATGGCTTGACGAATCACCTTGCCAATAAATCGAATAGGCATTCGACTATTGGCTGAACGGTGGGAATTAAGGCCCAGAAAATTATCGTATGCCTTCAAGACATACTTTACATGTTCTGAATCTTCATTTCCAAACCAGAAGGGGATTTCGATAGGGCTTGCTTCGAAATCATGTTCTTCGTGGCTACCACTGGTAGCATCTTCATGTGTAAATAAGTGGTCTTCTTCATCATCGGTGTAGTAGTCGTCGTCTTCATCTTCCTCGTCTTCATCGAGAAAGGCAGTGGCACGGAAATAGCTTTTATGAAGGTCACAGTCGCTATCCACGTCTTCGTCGTCATCGTCAAACGATTGTTCATCGGCATCATCGTCATAGTCACAATCACTACTATCGTCTGACATTTCAAATGAGTCTGTCCTCATTAAGACGTCTCCTTTCCTTTGTCTGCTTCTGATGGCACAGAGGAGCAATATGGATTAATGGAGCTCTCTTGGTTGTCGTTTCTGTGGTCCTTGGGGCCACAAAAGACAAATGGTTGTTGTAAATTCATCATTTCGTTAATCGTTAAATCAATACTATTTTGTTCTCTACTTGATGGCGCGGCAGCACAAGTCAAAATCTTTGTATCCTGGTGAGTGATGTTCTTGTAAAGAATGGCAAACTTGTCGTTCGTTGTCGTAATGGTTGTTGTTCCAGCAAACATGGTTGATTGAGTGAAAGAGGTTGTTGTTGTTGGTAATGAAAGGGAACATGGAAAATATTGTGGTTGTTGGGAGTGAGTGGGATGTAGTTGGTTTGTAGAGTTTTGATGAACACTAATTTTTCTTCAAACAAACTGCAATAAATTTTCTTTCAATTTCTTGAATTGGCTAATTGGTAATGATTTAAAATTCTTGTTTTCGATTCAATAACTTTAAACGCAAATCTACTTGTATGGATGGGAGTTAAAATGGTCGCTACAACTATTACGAGGCTTTGATGAAACTATAATCAATAAATAGAATTCTTCTAAATTTGGGTGATATGAAAGAGGTTACAACTAGAATATAAAATTCTCTTCTTCAAAATACGTGATATTCGGAATGGGCTATATCTGCAATGATCTATTATTACTAATAGGCTACTATGAATTGATGGTATATTGCGTTGGCAATGTGATGATGAAGGTCTATTTCTTTTTAATTGTTGTTGTCTGATGATGGAACAAAATGCGTCCGTAAATTATTTTGAAATTGCTTGAATTATTTTTGGTTTCAAGTTCCCACAACAGCAATGGGAACTCTTTAGGGGCGTGAAACGTTTTTTAATTCGAATTTCAAAATACAATTCGTTGTATGAATGAAACCAAGAGGGCACTGAGGTTCTTCACGAAAATGATAGCAACCAACAATACAGGTCAATGGTACAATTTGGGTAATTTTGAAAAGCACATTGTCAATTTTCATAACTTGTTTCACATTTACTTTACAGAGACCTAATTTGGCCAATTTACAAGATCCTTAATACATCTGAATAATTATTGAATAATCACAAAAATTTGTTTGTTCTTCCTCTACAAACAATCACAGTTTGTAGAGTTCTCCTCCTTCAAATCATGAACTTCTGGAAATGGTTTGAAATATTGTGCATTCACTTGTTCCTGTGTCAATACGAATGGATAGCCCTCACCCTCAATCAATTCAGCCGTAACATGTTGCTCTGTACCATTATTGGTCTCACTCTTCTCGTTGTTGCGTAAAACCAACTTGTATAAACCAAATTTTCCATTTCGATATTCATTTGAAAATCCATCGTCCAGATACAATAAATTTTGACTGGAATCACTGATAACAGCACTGTTCGTATTTTCACTTCCAAACACATGATATTGAATTGGACTTGTCAATGTATCATAAATGCTTTGCTTGCTTTCAGCTCTCATTGGAATTATACTTCCGGCCTTAACAAGAACAATGCTCTTATCCCAAGTAATTTCAGTAAATTCCACTACTTGTCCTCCTTCAAAGTGACGAGATGGATTGAAAAAGTCGTAAAATCCACCAGGATGCGGTGGTAAGTAGACTTTTCTTGAGGTTGCTCCCTTTTCTAAAATTGGAGCTACCAACAAGGATGGTCCAACAAAGAGCTGTGTATTCTCAAATTCTGAATTGTAGCAATCGGAGTCATGTGGGAATTCCAACCACAGTGGTCGAATGAGAGGAACATATTCCTTATTGGAATTCGTTGCATACTGGATATAGGTATACAAGTAGGGTGCCAATCTGTGCACGTGTGAGATAAATTCAAAAGAACGATTGTTTGTGATGCATCACAAGTTCAAGATTATTTCATGCTTTCAAAAAACACATACCTATAACGTAATTTGATAAACATTCGACATGCCTTTTCACATTCCTCACCAAATGCCCAAGCATTTTGTTCGAGAGTATCCTTGGTGGAGTGAGATCTAAAGAATGGATAACACAGGGCTCCCAATGCAATCCATCGAGCATAGAGTTCAGGATTACAATCTCCAACAAATCCTCCCACATCAGCACCAACCATCACTTGACCTACCAAAGACATGTTCAACAACATGGCAATACTCAGTTTCATATCATCGAACGTAGAGTTGTTATCACCACTCCAAGACCATGCATATTTCTGCACACCAGAGTAGCCACTACGTGTGAGAAGGAAGGGTCTTTCATTGGGTTTCACTTGCACGAGACCTTCGTGTGAAGCACGGGCCATAAGTTGTCCATATGCGTTATGAACGAAACGATGTAAAATGTTGAGAGTGGTACCATTACGAAGAGAAACGTTGTGATCCACGGCCAGTGTGAATGTTTTAAATGTTCCATCATTGAAAACAGCTGGCTCATTCCTACATTTTGGTATTCATTCAGTCAGATTGATTATTCATATGTTGATATGTTGTGAATAAATTTTTGAATAAAAATAAATTTTCAAACAATTAGTGACACTTACATGTCGTTCCAAAATGCATGAATGCCTCGATCCATCAAATCTTGATAATACTTTCCCCACCATTTTCTCACTCTCTCATTGAAATAATCTGGGAAACAACATCTAAATGGCCATACTTGTTCCACGTAGGTCTCTCCCTTCAATTGACACCATACATGCTCTTGAGTTCCTTCAGCATAGACTTTGTACTGTTCTGGCTCGGTTTGGCTCTTTGAAATTCCAGGATCAATAATGGCCACAAATCGTTGTCTATTGTCCAATAATAAATGATTGGCAAGAGCAGCAGGTTTTGGAAAATGTTGCTTTGAAATTGTGAAACATTCAAATTGATTCATATAGTCAATATCCAAATAGAAAACGTCACATGGAATGTCATGTTGAATAAATCCATCTGAAATCTCTCTCACCTTCGCTTCTGGATAGTAACTCCAACGACATTGTTGAAAACCGAGTGCGTACATGGGTGGAAGCCAAGTTCTTCCTGTAAAATTTTTGTGTGAAAATTGTTGAATAAGTGAGAGGGGTGTTTCTCCAACAAACAAATACATGGACATGGTTCCATATCTCTCAATAGAATTTTTAACAATTTTCTCCTCAGTCTCAGGTTTGAAAAGAGTCAAATCCCATTCTTGTCTACTAACAGTGTCTACAAAAATAGCAGGATTCAATGAAGAGCTAGAATTAGTAGCTGGTCCACAGAACATGAGAAATGGAGTAGATTGATACAATGGATCAGAATTAAATGAATATCCAAAATGGTCGTAATTCCACATTAACCATTTTCTGCCGTCTTTTGACAAGTGGCCACTCTTCTCTCCAAATCCATAAACTTTTTCTTTGTTCAATGGTGAGAATGCCATCAATGTTTCATACAAACTCTGATTTTCAAAGGTATAGTCTCCCGAATACTTGGAATTTGCATCCTTATTTTGAATGGGAATTGAATGAGTCACAAATTTGTGTGAAAATGTGAGAGATTTCACTAAAACAGAGCCATCATCCTCCTTATTTTCTATCAAATCTAGAGAAAATACAGAGCTATTACTATTCTCCTGGCTTGATGGTTGGGTACCCTGATGATCAATTATTCGAATAAAAGTTTTTCCGTGACCTCCTTTGACTCGCACATCCCAATACCATTTACAATGTTCCACCTTCTCCTCATCACCCTGAACACAAGCACTCGATGGAACTAATTCCAGAGTCAAAGCCGATGAAACTAATTCTTGTTCCTTCTCAATCGCAAACGAATCTAACGTGAGATGAGATTCATCGGGATCGTTCACTTCCAATCTCCACATGAAATCAGACAATGCCAATAACGAGACTTGTACCAAAGGCTGTGTGGGTTGTTGTTGTGATTGCTGGTCCAGCACCGATGAAGAGATAATTACCACACGAGAAGCATCATGTGAAAGAGAAACTGTCAGTGGTGTGGAAGCCATTTTTTTGTTCCAGAAAACTGACCTTTTGATTACAATCAAACGGATTAGTACTGATTTAAATCACCACAACAACAAACCTCAGTGGTGATATCTTACTTTTGAAACGGGTTAATGTTTATAGCTCATGACAATGTTTATCAAAATCTACCTTTAAATTGTCTTGTGAGTTAGCGGGGAGGGGGATCGAGAGCGTAGCTTCCATCGACTCAATCAGCAAGCTAAATTCCATTTTGGGTCTAACTTTATTCGTCGATCTGAGCCAAAGAGTTCTCGGTAATTGAGGACATGGATGTCGAGACTTTAATTATACACAATTATTGTGCATTATACTTGCATTGAGGAAAGTTTGGCAGGTCACATTAGTATCTTGCTGCATTTTGATTTCGAGATGTTGATCTCTTGCTGTTGACGATCATTAAGATGAAAAAAACTCATGTGTAAATCTGCTTGGACCAGTTTGATTAACAAGGAAAAATAATAGAAATTCATATAACGATCTACTTTAACTTCCAATAAGGTATACGTACCCTTATGTACGCGCAGTATATGATTCATTATGTAATGCCACAATTCGTGTGTTAAGATGTACAAATATAGTTAGGCCCAAAATGGAAGGCAAAAGTCTGATTGCCTACGCTCTCGATCCCCCTCCCCGTGAGTTAGGGCTCTTAAAACAACACCAAAAAAATATGCCTTCACAAGGATGAGTCATCCGGAAATCAAGATGGCCACTACCACCCATACCATGAACACGAATCGGAGAGAATCAAGATTGAAAAGAGTGATGGCACATTTATTTCCTTCAAGAATGATGATCCAGACACAAGAGAATGATAGTACAACCAAAGCAATGAATAGTTCCCGAAAACAACCATCATCACCATCAAACAATCGTTTAGATGGTACAGATGTACCACTATCAAAATCATCAAACATGAAAACAACTACTTCTTGGTCCATTCTGTCATCACTTTTGCAATACTTATTGAAATCTAATTTATTATTCCGAGCATGCCAAATTGATGAAAAACAATTCAAAATTCAGCAAGATTTTGAAAACTTGAATGCAACTCCTCTTTTGAAGGATATCAACATGTCCAAAATTATTCACAGTGATAATCATGATCATCATGGAAATACAGAGAACCTCTTTGTCCATCACGCTCCCGGTACAGATGAGAAGAGAGGCTTAGTAACAGCTGCAGCTGGTAACCCAACAGCAACACGTACCGCAAGTAACAACAACAACAATACAACACCTACAGCAACAACCACTCGCTCGGATCCAACTTCTCATCCCGGGATTATCAACAAGTTCATTAGAAGTTTTCAAGGAAATCCACCACTCTCGACGGACTCCATTCAAGCATTCAACAATATTCTCTTTTTAGTGAATTCAATTCCTCCTTCTGTGAATAGTGTCAGTATTTTTGACATCATGTTAAGAAGTTCAAAATTGGATTCAGATTTACTTCCGTTTTTGGCTCAAGTTAAAATTCCAAAAAGTGCACTCGGTGGGACAGATTACAAAACCTTCATTAGTACATTGTCTCGAGTGCAAATGTATTTACCAAGTTGGTATTACAATTCGTTAGTATTGGCCAAAGCCCTTGGAGATTTTGACTCCATTCTCCTGTATTGCGCTCAACGTTTTGCAAGAGAAATCAAAATTCAAAAAGCCATCACAGGAGCTCTCATTTATCCTGCAATTATGACTACCATAGGTCTATTGGGAATTACTTTATTATTGACACGAATTTTACCTCAGAATATTGCAATTTTTGAGAGTATGGGCCTCACAGTACCCTCGTTCTTGCAGTGGACAAATTATCTTGTTCGAAGTGTTCAATATCACTGGTTGGCACTTCTCTATATCATTCCCTCGACCATGTCATCCGAATACCTGCCATTCAAATCATTTCTCAGGTGGCAATACATCAAAATGCACACTCCTTTGGGTAATTTGAAATTTTTGCAAGACAAGGCCACTCTCTTACATACATTGTCTCTTCTCGACAAGGAGCAAATTACTTCAAAACTACTCATTGTTTGCTCGAATATTAGTTCAAATCCAATTCTACAGCACATGGTCGAGAGTATGGCAAGTTTGGCCAAGTATGGTGCTGGTGCAGATGACGTTTTGGCATACATGTTAAAACAAAAGCACATTTTCTCGCCGTACGAAATTGCTTATTTGCAAGCTTGCTTTATGAGTGGAAAGCACAGCATTATTCAAGACGGATTGAAATATGTCTCGCAGATGATACTCAAACAATATACCCAACAGTTGCAGACATTATTGAAAATTCTAAACCCGGCCACTGTGGCCATAATTGGAGTATTGGTGATTGTGATTGCTGTGCTTGGTATTTATCCAATGATTGCCCTGACAGGAGCTGTCACTGCAAACAAGTAGTTGATTTGCTTTTAATGCCCATCATGTTGTCATATTAATTCAACCAATTCTCTCAACATGGATATCAACATTGAGAGATTTGGATTCTTGTAATGAAAGCTTTGAGCTGCACCATGTGGTTTTTATTTTGAGAAAATTTTACCGACCAAGTTGTGGAGCTTGTGAGAGGCAGAAGGATTCAGATCATGTAACAATTCCATACATTCACCTTTGTGTTTACAAACCCCTTTATCAGACACGCTCTGAAATAAATCCTTTCCAATATCATAGGCTGTTTTTTTCTGAAAAGGCTTTAATCGAGAATTGCTGCAGCAATTCTGTACCTTGAGACCCTTATTGAGAGTTTTAACTTTTAACAGCATCTTGATCGTTTCCATGGATCTGTTCAAGCATGCCCAATGCAATACAGTACCTCCATCACAGTATTCATTGCATTTCAATGCTCCTTCAGCAATTAAATACTTGAGTATTTTGGGTTTTGAAGTTGTGATGGCTTCTTGAATAAATTGAGTTTGGGAGAGAAAAGGGTTCGACTCGGTTTGTGTCCAAGCTTCCACACAGAACACACTGTCAATAAAAGTAAAATATCTAACAAGCATGTTTTTGAAAAAGGATTCTAATTGTTCAACGCTTCCAAAGCGACTGAAATCCAAATGTCCTTCATCAATGTTATGATGATGATACGATCCTCTCAAGTATTCTCTCAAAATTTCCTTTTCAACGTCTATAAAATGTATCAGCGAATGAATAATATACTGAATGACTCGTTTGTCCTCTAGTGATGCAATAAATTCAAGCTGATCAATGTCTTGCACAATATCCTGAAGCACTCGGTAGGGTTGTTTTTGACACAACTCATTGATAATATAATACTGCTTATGTTTTGCAGCGTAACCAAACATGCTTAGTCCCATTACATCCTTGACATTGAGGGATTCACAAAACGCTTCATCTCTAACCAAGACAAAGGAATCTGGACACTCCAACAAGTAGTTGAGTCGGTCCACAAAATTCACAGGTAAGTTGCCTTGAGAAACTCCAGTTGACTCTACATCTTCTGTGTACGAGTTATTAATGATGTCAATCATGTCTTTGATATTTCTTCGTTGTTTTCTGGTAAGAAGGATTTGATGAATTTTTGGAGGCACATAATGATAGTCAGCGAAGGTTGAAAAAAGCGGCCTTCTTGTCAACTGCGCACTTGATGACGCTGTCTCTGGTCTTGAAGGTGATTTTTGGGTACTGTCTCTAAATGTTTTGCAAAACACTCCTCCTGGTATGTGAATGACTTCTTCATCGTCACTACTAGCTTCCTCGTCTTCTCCTTCAGAATGAAATTCTTCCTGACCATGATTCACCATGTCCTCGCCATTCAGCTTCTCTAAAGGTTTAATTTCAGATGGTCGCACAAGTTTAAAATCAACAATTTGGTAGGTGTAATGTTTTTTCACAGGTTGAACTTTGGCATGACCATTACATGACTTGCGGCGAGGTTTTGGCATGCTGTCACAAGAATCAGCATTGTCACTTGGTACCTGCTCCTCGCTTTGGTTTGTGGAATATTTGGGAATGTCATTTGCTGGACATGAGTCCTCAATGGAGTTAGGTCTAATATTTGTTTTGGAATTGGGTGGCAGAGTCATGTGTACATAAATTGTATCCAGATATTTGAACGAATGTGACAAGTTACTTCCAACGACTACGCTGGTACAGTGAGACTTTCGTCTGTGATTGCCATGACTCACGTGCTTGTCCACAATGGGTGAGACGTCATCCTCATGTTGGATATATTCATGCTTAACTTCGAAGCCCTTCACAAACGAATCAACCTTAATCGTTACGGAAATGTATTGAGCATGATTATTGGTAATGTTTGGTATGTAATTTTCAATTTGAGAAATGTGAAGGTTTTTAGGAGTCACCTGATCGCCACCTATTGTACGTTCCAGAGATCTCTTTAATGGCTCGCTGTTGCAACGTTTTGTCATGACTGACACAGTGGGACTTCGTTTGTAAAATTGAGGTGTTGGAAAAGAGGTATGATGTTCATAATGAGGGTGGCCATGTTGTTCCTGTTGATTGCAGTTGTGTTTTGAGTGTTGCTTGGCCATTTGACTTCCACTTTCACTTGTATGAGCCTTCTGATGAATGGGAGGTAAAGTCACTGGTTTTGGGTTTTGCTCATGGAATGACGTATCCTCTCGGGAGTCATCATGATGCAAATGTTCCACAGACGGCAGATGTTCATGCGGATGAGTGTGTGAGCTTGGGTTTCTCACACCGTTTACGGAAGCACCTTGGACAACCTCAATAATCTTTCCACAACATTGTTTGAAAAGAGCATTACAGTTTGAGGAGGAATTGGGAGAGCACAGAGTTGTCTTTTGTTGGGAATTGTGTGCTCCGCTTACATGGTCTTGCTTCATGATAGGTTCAATCGGCGAGAGGTCATGATGATGATTGAAGATATTATGTACATTGGTTTGAAATGGAATGGGTTCAAGGGTGATACTTTCAAATCCTTTCATGGAAGAATTGTTGGAAGAATATTCATGGGATGATTGAGCTGAACTTGTGAGTTTAGACTTTTTTCTCTTCTTCTCCGGAGCAGATACGTTTACACCCGAAGAAGAAGATGATGATGATGAAGAATCGTTTGGATGATGTACTATCATGGTTCCTTTTTCTTCATGATAATGTTGTTGTTTGAACCAACTGGATGATGCGGAAAAGAAGCACTCGACAGACCTTCGGAAGGACGTGTATTTGTTTGAGTGCCACTAGTAGAATTCATATCGGGAAATGATCTTGGATGAGTAAGTGTGTTCAATGATGAACCAGCAAGGAGCTGCGTGTTTTTTGTTTCAATTGGTTTTTCTCGAGTATCGTGTCCCAATAGACACCTCTCAAGAGCCACCAAACGAAACACATTTTCTCCATTTTTAGAATCCTCGTTAATTTTTTCTTTTTTGTTCCTCAGACCATGGAGTATGCCATTTAATTCCTTCTTTGGAATGATATCGGCTCAAAGAGAGTTGAATGACCCTTAAAGTTGAGAGATTTCCAAGACCAAGTGTTAACGATCATTCCTTAATAAGACAAGGATACCCTTTGATGTTGCAAACTTTTAAAGTTTCACATGCACACCTTAAGGTTATCCTTTGAAATATTAGGCTCCCAAACGGACGTATCTTATTGGTGGCACTGTTCCTCATTATGCAACATAAAATATCTTCCACATGTTCCAATTTCAAGAGAAAACTAATTTGACTTGGAAAGCAATGTTGATGAATAGAACCGTCAACCTTAATCTGCTCAACTTGATGGCGGTTTCCAGAGGGCCTGACTAATCTGCAGCCTCACAGAGGTGGAAATGATTTTAAACAATATGCAAGCTTTTAAAGAAATGAAACGTTTGTTCCAAATCATTCCACTCTTTTCATTTTCACAAAAATTATTACAAAAAATGAACAAACAAAACAAACACAATCAACCACTCGTCCAGCCACGACCTCAACCAATGATCGGAATGAAGGGAATGAATTTTTCTGAATTATGTCAGGATGAGTGGTATCATATTTTGAATTTTTGGAAACAACATTCTTGTTGAACGTGTGTATGCGAGTTTCAAAACAATTTTATAAAATTTCAATACATCAAGTTCTCCACAAGATCATGATGATCAGAGTCCATGAAATCACAATATCTGACATTGTCTGAAAATATTTTGTGGAAATTTGAACTCGACATTGAATTTGCAGACATTTGAATGGATGACAATCATTCTTTTTCGGGGATGAAGGTGTTCGATTCGTTGCTGAAAGTGCTGTATTGACAAGATTGAAAATTCTCGACTTGACCACATGTAATATAAGTCAAGAAGGAGCTCGATGGCTCTCTCTCAGTAAGAATGTCAAAAATTTAACACAACTCCATATCATGTTTAACAATATTGGAGATGAAGGATTGAAATATATTGCCGATAGCCCTTATTTGTCGAATTTGACAAGTCTTAAAGCAATTCGAACGTACATTGGCGATAAGGGCATCATGGCGCTGTCACAAAGCAAAAACTTGTCTAAATTACGATTTTTATCAGTCATGGGCAATAGTATTGGAAATGAAGGTGTAAAATCTCTCATTGACGCGTGTGGAGTAAATTTTCCACACATTCATACTTTACACTTGGGAAGAAATTACATTACCGATGAAGGAGCCAAATACTTTCTTCAAAATGACTACATTTTCAAGAATTTGTTGGAATTGAATCTGAGTTACACGAAAATTCACGAAATGGAAAAGATCATACCAGAAAAACTTGTAAATTTGATGGTATTTTACTTTGGCATGAATGAAATGATCACGAGAACAAAAAACAAATGACATGTTGTGAAATAATTATTGCATGAATAATAATTTGACAATTAATAATTCAAATAAAAAATTGGATAAGGAAATTGTTTTGGCGGCTGTGCACTACTAACAAGATAGTAGAGCAAATCTGTTGTCGACTGTGAGTTTGCTAACGCATGACAAACAACAAATTTTCGAGCTCGAGTCCATCACCCTTCACCTGTCAATTTCACAAACAAAAAAAATGCGCAGCTTCTCCTTCAAATCCAACAACACGAGAAAGATTTCAGTGCAACTGAATCCCACTCGCACCGAAGACTACACACTCTCTCTCGATCAACCCATCGATGACCTCCTCAAAGAAATTGCCACTCGACACAATCTCTCTCCATCCTCCTCATCAAATTCTCTCAAAGCACCCACGACACAAACGTGCGAACTTCACGTCACCAACTTTAAATCTCGTAAAGTTGTATGGGGTACATTGGTCAAGAATTTACTCAAAGAACAATATCAAGTCACTCTCGAACCTCCTTTTATTTGAATCAGTCTGAAGCTGCCTCGTCTTCTCAAACTTCAATGACTTCTCCAGGTCGATCAGCGAGTACAATGAACAAGACATCACCTGGTAATTCGTATTCTTCATCGTCGACGAGTTCGACCAGTAATCATACGACATCTGTTCCTATCAATGCCAATTTGTCAAATATTTTGCTAGCGAATGAGTCATCCTCGACATCCACGACAGCAACTACTTCTACAGCAATGAACAGAAATGTCTCGGATTCGGTCGATCAATTGGTCGATGAAATTACACTCTCTCCAAAGAAGAAGACTGAAGGTGCGGCAACAAATTCAACAACAACAACACACCTCGTCGTCGACGGAACAACAACCCGAAAAACCAAAAGTTGGACTTCACTTGTTGTTGAATAAATTGGCCAACAAGGAGGCCAATGCTGCGTCTTCGTCAGGAACACTCGATCCTGCCACTGCCCGTGGAATGAGTATTATGAAAATTTCAACAAGTTCACCCGTCTTGTTTGGTGGTTTGTTGGAAAATCACTTTCCGAATGGAACTTCAATTTCTGTTGGAAGTATTCCACCCGTTCTTGAGAAAATGCTTTCGTATTTGAAACAAGACAGAATTCAGAGAACTCCGGGAATTTTCAGATTGACTGGATCATTGGCAGAGAAGGAACGATTTATTCAAATGTTGAATGAAGCTCAATCCAAAGGTGGTGATTTATCACCTGTTGTCTTTCCAAATTCGATTGACCCAAATATTGTGTGTAATTTATTAGTGGAATATTTTAACAAGTTGGATCGAGCATTATTTGAACCTTTTCACAGATTTGTGGAAATTAATGAAATGACTTCTGACTCGGAACGTGTGACTGCTTTGAAAAAAGTCATTGATGAAATGCATCCAATTTATAGAAATGTCATTAGAGATTTCTTTTATTTCCTTGTTCAAATTTTATTGTACAAGGAAGAGAATCGTCTCAGTGTCAAATCATTGTCTGTAGTGTTAGGACCTGCTCTCCTTCGTGGTAAATTAAAGGATGACGATGAGGCCACCAAAATTCTGGATAATAATAACAATAGCAAGAAGAATGCACCAGTGAATGCTACCACACTCATTTCCACTCGTCAATTGTCACAAAAGATGGTTGATTTTTATGTTCACACTGTTGGACAAGTCATTGAAAGTTATCATTCCGTTTTCGACGAAGACGAATTGGCTGACTTGCACAAATTACATCACAAGAAACCCAAAAAAGCAGACCCTTCCAATCCCAACAAGACACTCGATGCATTCATTCAAAAATTGCAAGAACACAAACAACGAGCTGGAAGTACCATGACGAATGTGAAACGTCACGGAGAGTCCACAACTTTTTCTGCTTCCGATGGCTTTTCAGGAAGCACACCTAGAGAACCAAAAAAGCCAACGACCAAGAATGACGAAGAATGGGAAAATATTCAAAAATCATGGATGCAATTTGTTGAAAGTTGGAAAAAGAAGTATAGTGACGAAAAACAAGCGCATGAAGACACTGCAGAAGCTGTAAAAATTACAAAACAAGAAATTGAATTTGAAAAGAAACAAATGAAGGAAGAATTGAACAAGATGAGAGATCAACTCGACGAAAAGAAACGTTTCATTCTGCAAAAAAGATCCGAATGGGAACTTCAAAAAGAACAACTTCAACTCAATTGGGAAAACGAAAAGATCGATCTCGAAAAGGAAAAATCTCTTCGATCCAAAGAAATTCAAGAGAGTCGTGAACAATTCAAGCAAACACTTGAATATTACAATGTTAAAAATTTCCAAATCGATTCCATTATGGGCGATGAAGAAGATGATGAAATTTCAAAAACAGCCACCAAAGGAGAACATTCTGGAGATGCTACTAGCGAAAGCACAACCTCACCAGCTACGAATCGAAGCGGTGCCTCTCGTTCCGTCATTGGAGGTCAGAAAATTTCTGTGGATTCACGTTTCAAAAAGAAACTTTCCGATGCCTCCGCTTCCGATAAACACAAAAAGAAGCATGACGATGATGAAGATTCGGATAGTGACGATGCCAGTGACGATGATACCACCACGACAAATACGACGACAACAACTACTTCGACGACCACTCGAAAAAGTAATGCTCTCTTCACCGATCTCGAAGACAAGACTCCACAATCCTCACTCGGAAATGCCTCTCCCTCTAAGAACATCTTCCTTCCAAAAGACAAAACTTCTCACTCGTCGTCTGAAGAGGACAATGACGATCCAGCTCACACCAAACGTTGTGCAGCTTGTAAAAAGAAAATTACAGGAGAATATATGGAAACTTCGGATGGATATTACCACAAACCATGCTTTAGTTGCTGCAATTGCTCGAAAGAAATTACAGGTCCTTTTGCTACAGTGGCTGGAAAATTCTGGTGTGCCACATGTATTCAAAACAAGAACAAGCATGTCAAGTATCAAACCAAAGATGAAAATGCAGAGAAGAAACCAACCAAACCCACTGCTGCAGCTAGTGGAGAGTTGGAATGTTCTGCCTGTAAAGAGAAAATCCTCAATAAGGCAGACATGGTTAAGGCACTCGGAAAATGTTTTCACAAACAATGTTTCTTGTGCCAGAGATGCGGCAATGAATTTGAGAATATGAAATTTTATGACTTGATGGGTGACCCAGTTTGTGCAAATTGTAAACGAAAATCGATCAAATCCAAAGTGACGAAATAAATTGTGAAACCTATTTATGAACTAAATTTATTAAGTTTCAAAATTTTATATTTATTTATTGCTTGTGCCGAGTGAACTTTGAGTGAAAAAATGAAAGAATCACCAGAATATCAATTTGTGTATTTTGCTCAGATCGGAGATCTTGCACGAATGAAACAATGCTGGGAAGAACAGAAAATTACTAACATTGATTGCTATGGATTAATGGGAGTATGTATGAAGCGGGTGATCCAATCCTTGAACAATAGTTAAAAAATTGATTTTAATATTTTCGTAATGAACATAAATATTTTCAATTATTACCCTTTCGGAATGGGTTGATCTTGTAGAAAGTAAGCATAATAAGTGTGATGCATGTATATTTTGGTTTTTAAATTTCACATAATTTACGCTTGATGAAAGAATGCACTGCATTGGGCTTGTTCTCGAGGACATGTTGAAATTGTTAAATATTTAATTCAAAACGGAGCAAATGTTAATAATTTAACGACACAGGTAAGCTAGAAAATGTTGTCTTGATCACAAATTTTAACAAGATTGCAAAATCAATTTCACACAACTGATTTCCAGTTTCGGGTAAATACAAAATGATTCATATGAAAATTCCATTCATACAAATAGTTTTTTGGTACATTTAAGCTTTCTGCTCTGAACACTGCTGCTTTTTGGGGAAATTTAAAAATTACAAAAATTCTGTTGAAACATGGAGCTGATAAATGCATTCGACAAAGTGTTCTTGATAATGGAAAGAAATCATTATTATCCGTACATGAAAGAGAGGAAGAGAAAACTCCAGAAGAAGTGGCACGATCGAAAGGATACGTTCAAGTGGCAGATTATATTGCAAATTTTAATTATGACAATTATCAAGTGAGAAAAAGATCAAAAAATGTAAGTATTCGAGTTGTGAAAATTCAAATATATACTGGATATGATATGGAAATGAATGGAACGACACAATTGTGACCTAAAGAGATTTAAGAAAAAACTTGTTTCCATTCTGTGGCTTTCCAATGAACATGATGGTTGTTTAGTGTTACATTCGACTTTTTCAGACATTTCCATTCAATGTTGGCCATTTGTGAATTTAATAACAAGTACAGAATCAGTTTCATCTTGTTTAATGAACACTACCTCAATCATGGATTCAATCCAATCTTATGAAAGTTCAAGTGCAAATTCGAACAATGAAGCAACTGTTCTGGAAGAATCAACAACATCCAGATCAGAAGAAGAAGAATCATTATCAGCTCGTTCGGGGCGACAAGAATCATCATCGCCCGTATTAACCACCTCTCCAACAACAACTCCATTCAAAAAACGAAAACTCATTCACACCAACTCGAGTGTCCGATAGAATAGAAGAAAATCAATCCCGCCATTGAAATAAACTTTTGATAAAAAATATTTAAATATTCGTAACGTTTGAATTTTTACACACAATGCCTCCAAAGAAGAAGGAAGAGGAAAAGGTTGGTTGTTATGATGATGGATTCATTGAATGCTCATTTGAAAATGATGCTGATTGGAACGGTAATGATTTTAACATTGGTTGAACAACAAACATTACAATGATCATCAATTATGTGGATGAAATAATATCATCATTTTACCAACATCATTAATTACATATGAATGTAGGGTACTGCTAAAATTACGACGTTTTTTACATTGAAGAAAAAAGGTTCTAGTAATGACAGTAGCAACAACACCAACAACACAAATTCATCATCATCAACATCTCCGAGTGTCAAACTTAAGAGTACTTCTTCTTCCGAAGATTCCAAGTGAGTATTCCATCGAATTGAATTTATTTCAAAAATTATTATTTCAAAATTATAACTAATAGAAATAAGCGAAAGAGAGATTCCAAAAGTAATTCCATTGATTTTGAATTATCTTCAGATGACGACGAAGAAGATGTGAAACTTTCCAAGACAACAACACCTACCAAACAACAATCCACTCCAACCAAGAAATCGACCAAACAGTCCGCAGCATCAACAACTGTGCAACCTCATGAACTTAGTGAAGATAGTGATTTGGATTCAAAAAAAAAGGAAACTAAAACGACAACTCCAACAAGACCCAATACTCGATCACAAAGTAAGGCAATGACACCAGAAAAGAAATCTTCTACTCCTGTCAAGACCTCATCTTCGAATTCAGAAAAGAAAACCAAATCACCTGCAAAAACCACTCCAACGAAACAATCTACAAAAAAGTCCAAAGTCATTGCCGATGATGAAGACGATGAAGACGATGATAAGGATGATGATTTTAATGAAGATATTGAAGAAACAATTCCATCCAGCAAGAAACGAAAGATGACAGTCCCTACTCCAGAAAAAAAGGTTGAGCAAAAGAAGAAAAGAATTCTACTAAGGACACGACGAAAAAATCAAATACTTCTGAAACACCAAAGAAGAAGAGCTTTTTTGACAAGAGTGCTCACGAAAACAAAACTCGAGCTAAAAATCCAGGATGTAAACAAGTACCAAAAGGAAAACCCATGTTTTTGGAAAAGAAGGCATTTGTGATTACAGGTCAAATGGAATCCTTAGATAGAGAAGAATTGGAAGATCTTATCAAACAATATGGAGGTTTTGTTCGTACCAATGTTTCTGGAAAAACTGATTATGTTATTGTGGGAGATGATCCTGGCGAAAGTAAAATGAAGAAAGCAAGAGAATGTAAAACCAAACAAATATCAGAGGATGACTTTCTTGAAATGATCAGAAAATCAAATCCTGATGGAAAATATGATGAAGATGGAGATGTTGCAATGCAAGATGCAAAGCCATCTCCAAGGGCGAAATCTGAAAAGGTGACAAAAAGTAGCAAACCTAAAACTTCTGACAATGCACTCAGTAGTGTTGTGCAAGTTTCTAAGGAAGTGGTTAAGGCACGCAACGGTGACAATGATCAACTCTGGGTTGAAAAATATAAACCCGACACTTCACAACAAATTATTGGTCACAAGCAAGAATTTAACACACTCTTAGATTGGCTCAAGAATTGGCATGAAAATTATGAAAAAGAAAGTAACAAGGCTGCTGAAACAAAAGGTAGAAAGAAAGCAGCATCATCCGATTGGAAGAGAGCTGCCTTCCTCTCAGGACCTCCAGGAATTGGTAAATCGACCACAGCTGCCATTGTTGCGCGAGAGGCCGGATTTACTCATATTATTGAAATGAACGCCAGTGATGCTCGATCGAAGAAGGCCATGAAAGAAGAAGTTGTGGAAATTTGTCTTTCAAAAAGCATTAAGGACTTTTTCGGAAAACCCAAGACAAGCAGTAGTAGCGACAAGAAGAAGCAAACCATTCTCATTATGGATGAAGTGGATGGAATGTCGAGCGGAGATCGAGGAGGTGTTGCAGAGCTCGTTCAAATTATCAAGCAAACACGTGTTCCAATTATTTGCATTGCCAATGATAGATCCAAACCAAATTTAAAAACACTCATTGCCAATTGTTTGGATGTAAAATTCAGTCGACCAAACAAGGCAACCATTGCAAAACGAATTTTAGAAATTTGCAAACAAGAGAAATTGAGTATTGACTTTAATGCAGTGGAATATTTAGTTGAATCTCTCAATAACGACATTCGAAGTGTGTTAAATAATCTTCAATTGATTAACAGATACAGTACAAAAGATCACATTGCTTACAAGGATGCCAAAGAAAATGACGTGACAAAAACGAGTACTACCGATGGAATTTTCGATGTGGTACGAGATGTCTTTGCTCCAAGCAACAAAACTTACAATGAGCGCTTAGAGGACTATCATTTCGATTCAATGCTAGTGCCACTTTTTGTAGAACAAAATTACATTAACATTCGACCCTCTGGCGTTTCAGACAAGGAACGAATGGATCGAATTGCTCTTTCTTCCGATTCCATCTCAATGGGAGACGTTGTTGGTGCGAAAATGTTTAGAAATATGCAATTTGGAAATATGAATACTCATGCCTTTTACAGTACTTTATATCCAGCTTATTTTGTGAGAGGATCTTTCCAATCCTTACGTGCCTATGATCGATATTTCCAATTCCCAATGGTTTTAGGTAAAGGAAGTACGACCACAAAGAACTATAATCTATTAAGGGCCATTCAAAAATCAACTTCTCTGAAAGCAAGTGCAGACACTAAGGAAATGTTGGATTATTTACCTCTTCTCTCTAAAACTTTATTAACACCATTATTAGAAGGAGGAAAAGACAATGTCGATGAAACCATTGAAGCCATGGATGAATATCAAATTTCCAGAGATGAATTAGAATTTATGTGTGAATTGACAACCTTTAAAGGTAAAAATGTTTCTGACACTCACAAGGATTGGTTTTCACAAGTGGACTCGAAAACCAAAACAGCACTCACCAAACAATACAATAAGGTTCACAAGGGATTCAATAAGGTCACTGCTGCCATGGCAAGTCATTCTGAAAAGGACGATGAAGAGTTGAATTCGGGTGATGAAGACGAAGAAGATGATATTCAACTTGATAAATTTGTGAGCAAGATGAAGAGTATTAACAAGTTAGAATCATTTGAAAAGAAACGAGAAAAGGCAGATAAAAAGAAGGAGAAAGCAAGTAGTAGTGGCAGTACTAAAAAAACGTCTTCGACACGAAAAGAAACCAACAAGAAGAAGAAGTAATTCGTGTTAATGACCAATGAAGTCATTCATTTCATAGATCTTTATACCTTTGACGAGTGTTGAAGAACAACGACAAATGGTGTTGGCAATTGGTCTGGTCGACCTGTGGCGGATCTGCTCGGCATGTCGACATTTTGAGAAGAGATAAATGCCTTTACTGGTTTCCAAACATGTTTTTTATGATGAAATGGTTGTGTCCGTGTCGACTATGTCAATTGTCTTGCCGTATTTCGCTCATGTCCGAATATTCGCTTTCCATCTTGACATTTGTCGAGAGCGTAGTATGACTGTATGAAGACGACGTCTTCATAATTCAACAACAGCATCCTTCAAAAAAAACAAAACCTCTCACCAACTTGTTACCAAAATGTCATCACCCACACTCGCACTCGCCTCATTCACCGTGTGCCTTCTCATGGCGCTGCTCTTCCTCTCCACTCCATCTCAACAACAACAATTCATCTCTGTGAACAAGGACTTTACCGCTGCTTTCGATGCTGCCATCCAAGAACTCGTTGTGGACAATTCTTGGATTCAATTCTACTCGGATAACATGTTTTTCGGTGTTCCTCAATGCGCTACCAAAGTGCAATGGCCAGCAAAAGATCCATTTGCACAAATGGGTCGAACAAAGATTGTGACTTGTTTTGAAATTGGAACACTCACACCATGTAAGTAGTAGAAGTAATTGTGTTGCTTCCCTCAAACAATTTTAACATGTGTGAAATGATTGTTTGCGCGCACTATTTGTACATTTATGGAAATTGTTGTAAAAAAATTTAATAGGGCTTGAAACAAAAACAAAATTGGCCGAAAGTGTTGTCAAAATTATTAATAATCATTACAAGACGAATTACATTAATGAAGTGAAGAGATATAATACTTCCCTTTTGGGTTTTTTCGATACCATGAAAAATGCAGTCGGTACTGGAGATTGCGACATTGTGACAGCAAATACTCAACCAAATGCTGATCGAGCTAAAGTGGTTCATTTTCAATGTGGATTTGGTTTCGCCTCGAAGGGTTGGATTCGATCTGGAAAGGATGCTCATATTTCCATTCCAGACGTTTATTCTTTGAACAAGACTGGAATTCTCGTTGGAGGTAAGTGTCAATTTCCGTCAGTAACGATCGTTGATTCTTATTATTTCCAATCTTTGAAATAATTTTCACAACAGCCTATGATGGAACTGCCTATGCCACATTTGTCAAACAAACTCTCACTGCAGCGACCTATGTTCCTTTCTACGCTGTCAATTTACAATATGGAGCTGTTTTGAATCAAACCGTTCATGCATTGATTGGAGATGCTATTCAATTCTTTTCATGGAAAAAACAAGTTGGAAATTGTAATTGTGAAGTGAAGGCCTATGATCCTGCCTATGGATTGTCGACATTTACTTATGGAAATATTACAGAGACTAGTTTTGCAACGAGTTCGATTCGTTTCGGAACACAATCATGGATGTCAATGGCTGTAGTGATGATGATGGTGTTGTTCATGATTCAAACATTGTTCATGTTTTAACACACGAAAATGAGAGATTTTATGAAAATCGATCTCGCTCACCAATGCACTTGTTCTGAATAAGGGATTGGACAAATAAATAAAATGATGATTTACTTGTCATTTGGATTATTTTACAATGTTGTTACTTGTTTCAGTCAACTAAATTAATTCTTGTTGCTCAAACTATGGGCGATTTGTTGAAACCATGAATCGAGTGATGGAAGTAATTCTGTGTGAAATTGGAAACACTGATTGGTTTTTTCAATAATAATCTTTCCAGCTGGATTAATTCTAAAAACTATACAAACGAACATGAATCGATCACACGCAATAACATTACAAAACAATTGAACCATGATGTACTTACTTCTTTCCAATGCAATTCCCAATTGAGCCATTGAAATGTCATCTGTAATACGATTACCAAATCCTGAGAAGAATGGTGTTTTGGTTTTGAGTACTTCTTGTCGTTGTTCAGCATTCAATTCATTCAATTCAGGTACAAATGTTTTCAAAATAATATCCAACATGTACACTAATTTTACAAATAAATTTCATAAATTCACAAAAAAATTTCACAAATAATTTCATAAATTCAAAAAAAATTCCAATCTCTAATTTCACATACCTTTAAAAGTATCAGGACGCTTCAAAATTACTTCTCTCAACAATGCATTGGTTCCACTATTATACGCAGTAAACACTGGACCTTCAGGTAAATTCACAATCTTTCCATTATTCGTTGCTTGTCGTAATCGTTCAATAAAATGTCGAGTGGTGGAACTCATGGTTATGGGTCGTGCTGTTAAATATAACATTTTGTAACCTCTTTTTGAGATTTCAGCATAGGTTTGACAAATATCTTTGTGAACATAATCCTTTCCAACACGAGATGCCACTTGTCCACCAACATCACTTTTTGTGATGGTTCCGTCAATGTCAGAAACTACAATTTTATCATTTTCATTCCATAGATAGAGTCTTCCAATTGCAATTTGTTGTTTAGCAGGTTTGTCTTGATAGTAAATAACAATTATTGGATTATGTCAAATGCCACAATACAGAAATTTAAAAAAAAATTCAAATCTGAAAACTTACTGGTCTTGGAGGCTCCAGCAACCTTTGCAATATTATTTCCAAACAATGACACTTGTGAAGTATTATTCTGTTCTACAGCTTTGGTCTTGAATATTAATGTCAATTTTGTCTCTCCTCGATCATAAAATTTTTTCAATTCCTTCTCAATTGTTTTAAGATGTGACGAAGAAGGAATAAACCAATCATGAGGATACAACAATTCATCATGAATACTTTGTAAAATTTTAGCTTTCCATTTTTCTCGACGTGAAGGAGTATTTGGAGATTTTTCATTTTCAGAATTGGTCATAAAGGATTCTGAATTTGTGTTCAATGTAGCTTGTTGTTGTTGTTTCTGTTGATTCTGAGAGGATGGTTGAGAAGAAGATGCCATGGATGGAGTTCGTTTGAATTTTTGTTTCAAGTGTGAAAACTTTTTTCGAATTCGACTCGTTTTTCCTTCCTTTTCTTGATCGGAATCAGATTCTGAAGAAATTGGAGTTCCTGGAGTGGTTGGTGAAGTTGGAGTAGAGATGGATGAAAGACTATTCGAAGATTTGGAGCGAGATTTGGAAATTCCCATCGATAAGGCAATGTCACCTGCCAATTGTTTTAACATTTCTCGTTTTCTCATCTTTTCTTCAATGTCGAGTTTGTCATCACGTCGTTTCTTTGTGGATTCTTTTAAGAATTTCATTTTCTCTTTTGGAGTTTTGAGAGAATTGTATTTTTTGTAAAATTCTTCCATTTCACTTTCAGAAGCATAATTGAACAATTCAAATTCTTCAGAATTGACATGACAATGAAAGGAAGTGGCTTTTTCTGCTGATGAAGCATTGGATGAACCTCCTAATGAATGACTCGATTGATTCAATCCATATTCTTCCTTAATATTTTCAATGACAGCTGACACATCTACTTTGGACGCATCCACATGATCTTTATGATCATCCAATTCATATTCTTCAACATGTTCTGCAATTTCATTTTCCAATAAAGCAATCGATTCTTGTTGTCTCGTAATGGAATCTTTCAAACAAGTCTCTTTTGAGGTCATGCCAGATGTCACCTTAGCACCTGTCAAAGACGTCACACTTTGATCTGCACTCTCCACATCTTCATCCATTCCCATCAACAAATCCGCAACCTTCTTTTGTGAAAACAAGGATCGATCAAAAAAGGGAATTTGAAATCCAGCTTCAAGTGCCATCGTTGCAATCAAAACTTCTTCATTCTGCAACGAAGAATTTTCCTGAATCGATTTCCAATACATTTCTGCCGTCATGTCATGTTGTGGATGAAACGATTTGACAAATACTTCAACCATTTGATTAGTTTTTGGTTTTTTGGGAAATCGAACAAAGAATGGTGTACATCGAATCGATTGACTTCCATTTATGGATGAATCTGAATGATGAAGACTAGTTTGATCTTTCGGAGTGTGATTCCTTCTCACGGAAATGATATCAATGCAATTACCAAAAATCTTTTTTTTTGGAGCATGTGTATCATCATGATGATGATAGTCTGCAGATGGAGAAGTGAGAATGGAAAAGTCGAAAGAAGGAGTTTTTGATTTCATTTGGTGTTTGTGTTTGTGTTGAATAGATATTGATAAATATTTAAAGAGGAGTGATTAAAGTGGATCTAGTGATGAAATTTTAGAAACGAGTGGTGTTGTAGAATGATGATTGCTTTGGACACACGCTGATGATCATTGCGGCGCACAAGAGATCTCTCACTCTTGAACAGATTCAGTGAATTTTTAATAGGTGATAAATTTCATCCGCACTTGATTTGTGATGATTACCTCATTTGAACTTGTCATCTACAGGACATGTGGCTATGAACGACCGTGCGAATCTTCATCAATATGAACATGCATTTCATAGTTCAAGTTGAAAGTATATTTAAATTTTATGATAATTCACAGCTTGTGAAGGCATGTTAGGATTATAAATCACATCATGTTCAGTAGTAGTAGTAGTAGTTTGGTAAGGAGGTTGTTGTTGTAAATTTTGTGAAGTTTGAGTATGATTGTAATAATTATTGTTAAGGTTGGCATTATAATAAATAGCATCATTTTGTGGTGGTAGTGGTGGCGTCACGACCTGAGTGGTGGTATGATATTGTGGTGGTGGTGGAGTAGAGACACGAGTTAAAATTGGAGTCTTGACATGATACGTGGTGACTGTTGTGTTGTGATTCTTTGGTTGTGATGATGAATTGCTACCAGTCACAGCTGCACAAACTCCACAACATATTAAAATTGGAACCAAAATGATGATAAACACAACACACAAGCTGAAAATTGCAGATCCAATGATCACACCAATGACCCAATTGGCCAATGCTCCTTGATCCAAAGTAAGGGATAACGTGTAAGAGGAATACGTATAGTAGGAGTAGCCACCTGCAACACCAATGTAATACGTGGTTGTTTGATTTAAACTCGTTGAAACAATGGTTTTTACAGAGTATTGACTCAAGAGTATATAATCATAATCGTAACTGCTTGGAATAGATCCTTCTTTGACGTAAACGGTAATACTGTCATAGCTTGTATAGGAAAGAGTCATGGCAGTTCTGCTCGGAATTGAAATTTTGTAATAATTCCATGAATTTTTGTCTACTCACGATGGGATGATTTCAAATCGTTCATGATGATCATTGACACATGATATAATCATGAATATTTTCTTAATCAAACACACACGAGTCATATCATTCCATAAATACATACTCACAGAACCAGAAACTGTTTGAGAATATCCATTCAGAGTCGTAACAACAACAGAATCCAATTTCTCCAATGTGTTCGTGATTTGATCCTTCTTCGGATCCAATTCAGAATTCGGAAAGAGAGGAGAAGCAGGAACAGGTGCAGGCATTGCGATCCGATCGTTTATATTATTAAGATTCTCCTCCAACAACACGGCCGCTTTTCCCAATGAAATCATGATCGTGAATGAACAAACAAGAAGAAGGAAAATAACCGACCATCGAGCCGACGATGATCGAAAAGGAATTGGCTTCATTTTTTTGTTTGTTGTTGTTGAATCGAACCTTAATTCTTTCCATACACAAATTGATTAATAAAGCCGTATAATAACCCAACGTGCCATATTATTATTATACATCTTCAAATCAAGTTCATTATTTGTAAATATCAACATTCTTGTTGGTGAGAATGAATAATTCTCCTGTGAACTCGTTGAAACACATGGCACGAACCGAATGTGACCAGTTCCAAGGTTTAAAGTGCTTGTCAGCAATGATTTCGCAATGTGTGGTATCCATTTGTGTCAAACGATTGGTATCATTATATTCTCGTAGCAAGATAATTTGAGAGTTTTTCATTTCACACATGGCCGAAACTGGGCTCATCGTATCCATAGATTGCTTAATACTGTTCACAGAGGTAAAGAAAGAATCATCCAATTCAATGGCCATTAAAAATTGATTTCGACCACTCACAATACATCTTTCATTTGAAAAAGTTAAGCTCACTCGATCAAAATTGACTGAAATATTGTCCATCAATGAAATGCTTCTTAATATCATTCCATCTCTTGAGTTCAGTATTCGAATTCTGCCATTCCCATCATCCAAGACAAATATTAAGGAGTCGTCTTTTTTCAGTGGATACAAAGTATTGGGTCCGCCCAATAATTTTCTAAAATAATGTCCCTTGTTTTTTGAAAGTACAGCAATTGCTTTTGGTGAAAGAAAATGTTTGACAGTATTGGGTTGATTCGGTTTACCACAAATCCATGCTGGCCTTTCTTGAATAAAATGGCACTCTTATTTTCAAAAGGAGATGTGTTAGGAACATTCTTCAAAGACGTATGTACATGCTTCAAATGATATTTGTAAACACAATGATTCACAGAGGCCATAATGATTGAATCGTTTCCATTAAAATTCTCCTCAATATCGAAACAACAAGGAGGATTTGTCTGTAACCGCATGCTAAATTTATACGTTTTAAAATGCAAGTCAAAAAAGATCAATCGCTTATTCTCGGAATCGCTCACAATAATCAGAGAGTGATTATGACAAATTTTGATATCAGAAGGCCCACGAAAATGAGGAAAATTGTTTTCATCATCATGATTATTCATAAAATTATTATTATGCATTGAAAACGACGAATATTCATCTTCCTGTAACAATTGTCCCACTGGTTTAAATTCAAATGAAAAAGAACATCTCCGAGAAGACATCTTTTTATAAAACTTGAAAATGTGTGAATCTTCTTGGTCATACTCTGACCATTGAATCAAATCTACAAATATCATCCGAGCCACACTCACATCTGAAGAATGGTCATATTGTATCATTTTTTTTAAAAATTGAAAGATCAATATTCGATTTCACGCTTGAACCGTCCCCATCAATAATTATTATTGGACAACTTTGTTACAATCGAACGACTCAAGAGAGTCCTCTTTAGTTCTTTCAATTAAAAATCTTTTCAAAGCTATTGCATCAACAAGATTCTCACACACGCAAAAAAAAAAATGTCCACTTCCTCTTCCACTCCATTCAATGTTCTAATTGTCGGTGTCTTTGGCACGGACGGTAAGCTTTCAAGATCAGCACAACGTATGATTGCTTCCAAATTCCAAAGCAATAAATTCTTGCAAGGAAATTCATGGGTCGGACAGACAAGATCAGTAGATGTTTCTCTTTTCAATTCGGTTGATGATGTTTTTGAACAAGGCTTTGCTTTGAGAGATTCCATTCAGAGAGTTGTTTTTGTTGGATTGGCCAAGAAGGAACAAAAGCCAGAAGAGAATCCTGTTGCTATGGGTGTTATTACTCAATACAGTGCTCAAGCTGTTGGTGATGCAGAGTTTGTTCAAGTTGGAAAGAGCGTCCGAGCAGAAATCACTAAAATCGTCGAATCTTTGAAGAAGGAAAAGAAGGACGAGAATGTTGTTTTCTATTTTGACGATTTCCAAGATCATGCTCAAGCTGTTGCTGAGGGTGCTGCTTTGGGTGCTTGGAAGTTTGATTTGAATTATGAAAAGTTCTTGCAACCAATCTTTGGAAAGGACGGATTCCTCTTGAACTCGATCAAGCTTGTTCCTGGATTGGGAGAACAGAACGAGAAGGATTTCAAGACTGGTACTGTTACCGGTGCATATCAATTGTTCTCACGATACTTGATTGAATTGCCTGCCAATTACTTGACACCTATCAAGTATACCGAGTTGATTAAGTTGAAGGTTGAAAAATTTACGTTGTTTGCCTCACCTGAAGCTGTCTCTAGCAAGTTCAAGATCAATGTCTATGATGAAGATTGGGCCAAGCAAAAGGGAATGGGTTCATTCTTGAGTGTGACAGCAGGAACAGAAGCTCCAGCAAGAGTTTTGGAATTGATCTATGTCAATGACAAGTCCAAGAAGGAGGATGAATTTGAAATTGCTCTCCTTGGTAAAGGTATTACTTTTGACAGTGGAGGCATCTCATTGAAGCCAGGTGAAGGAATGAAGGAAATGAAGGGAGGTAAGTTGTGTGTACAAAATTTTTCTCGTTTATGACACATAATGTTGTGAAATTTTTCCAATGATTATTGATGATGAATTATCATAGACATGGGTGGTTCATCATGTGCCATCTGCTCTACTTTGGCAGCTTTGGAATTGGATCTTCCACTCAATATTATTACTGTTGCAATGCTCTGTGAGGTGAGTTGTTTTTTTTTCATATGAATCATTTGTTATGATGACTGTCTTGTTACAATGAAACACACTTTCGCATTGTGTACATCGTTCTGACATTATAACAGAACATGCCAAGTGGAATCGCAACCAAACCTGGTGATGTCGTCACTGCCATGAACGGTAAGACCATTGAGGTTGACAATACTGATGCTGAAGGCCGTTTAATTTTAGCTGATGGTTTGTGCTATTTGAGCGATAAAAAGCCACAAACTCTCATTGACATGGCAACCTTAACAGGTGCTGTCATTATTGCACTCAGCCATGTGACTGCAGCAGTTTTCAGTAATTCAACGCCATTGGTCGAGGAATTGGAAAAGGCAAGCTTCCAAACCAGCGATTATTTGTGGAGATTACCAATCTTTAGAGAAGATTATTTGGAACAAATGAAATCCGATGTATCCGATTATAACAATATTGGTGGTAGACCAGGAGGTTCTTGCACAGCTGCTACCTTCCTTAGTGAATTTGTTGACTTCTCTAAGGTGAAACAATGGGCTCACCTTGATATTGCTGCTGTCACCAAGACCAAGGTCGGTTATACTGGAAGACCAACTCGTGCTGTTATTGAATTCTTGCAACAACGTGCAAGAAAGTAAACGATGTGAAATTACAAAAGTGGAAGTACGAATTGACAATTTATAAACTTTTATTTATTAAATGTCAAAACGAGACATGAATACAAAGATGACAAAATGCCTGTAGAGATGTGGCATGTCCATCTCGATCTGTCATTCCAGGTGCCATGACGCGATAATCAGACATAAGAACCTTTAATATCAATATTTTATTTTCCAAAATATGCTTATCTCTTTTCCAATAAAACAAAGTCGAAAAAGAACCTTTGTGCATCTCAATCATGTCACTCACGAGAGCAGCACCTTTCACTGAATACATTACTCATCCATACAGGCCAATCCTTTCAAATCCAATTATACAGCAAAACGTCACAACACAGGCGCCTCCCAGAACCGCAGAGTCCTTTTGCACATCCAACTCAATTATCAAGCGTAACACCACATCCAACAAACCATCAAACACATCTGCCCATCCAAAACTCGTTCGCTCTCGACCATCCTTGGGCGTTCCAAAGCGAACGCAAACACAATTTTCTGTTCACTGTTTCAAAACAACCAAAAGAAAAAGATCCTCTTCTTCCATCTCAAAACAAGAACTCCTCTCCGTTCTCCGTCACACTCAACAACATGCATCCCTCTTACTAGGATGCAGTGTCTCCACCGTGAAAAGGCGTTTCTATGAATTGAAAGAAGAAATTGGCATTTCCCATTGGCCCAAAGATTATTACGAAGAATTAATGAACCATCGATCATTCTCCTTCATCTATCCACTAAGCTTGAAATTCATATTAAATTAATGTCCACATTGATAAGAACAGAGTTACTTCCAAGTACTACTAGTAATATCCACCTCTTCCACGACCACGTCCACGACGATGAAATATCGGAGGAAAGTAATCTTCGCTTGAATCTTCTTTGACATGATAATACTTGTCAAAAATTCGTAATTTTCCACTAGTATATTTCCTTCTTGGTGATGGTATTGTTTTTAGAGTTTGAATTAGCTCTCTCGTAGTGTTATTGTCGTTTTCATTTTCAATAATCTCTACAAGTACCTTTCCATATTTGTCAAATTCTGAATGATATTTTGAGAGAATTAATTTCTGGAAAATTTTTAAATGTTCCTCCCATGAGCATTGATGAATGAGAAAGATGTTTCTGAAACATGTGAAGGAACCATCCACGAAAAAATCCACCACAAATCGATCTGTATCTATGACTTGTGTTAGCACTCCACTGGAATATATTTCAGAACAAAATTCCTTCCAATGGTTCACAAAAAATTCAGTCAAGTCATTCAGAAAGTCCATCATCGAGTTGGGGTGTATGATGTCCATATTCCAAACTTCAGAAAACGTTTGTTGTTCCAAAGATGAGTTCATGCATGATCTGAAATGTCGACCATTGCTACGTGTGGTGGTCATGGATATTTGTTTGTAGAAGGGTGATTGATATTCCGAGTTCGCAAATATGGTCTTGACAAGATAAATTAACCTTGGATAAAGAGATACAAAACCATTCGATACTGATTTTACAGTATGGTTACGTCCAGCATTTTGTTGTAAATATCGATAACATTGGCTAGCATGTCTATTTTTTCCAATGGCATAATCTCGTCGAAACATAAAGAAATGTCTCGATTTGCTGTCTAGTGTGTTCAATAATTGCATAACTTTCTCAACTGTTTCTTTGAAGTCCTTTGGAAAGTTAAATTGTTTTTCGACAATCTCTTTCGAATTTAAATCAATGTTGTGCTTTGTTAACGATCTATCCCAATGTACAGCTCCTCTTCCTTTCACACCAGTGAACAGTTCAGCGTTCAACACTTTCTTGGCCAGAGTGCGTAACTTTTCTTTGATTTGTGTTTTAACTGTTCGAGTTTTTAAGAAAAGAGTCAATACATGTTTCCAATTTCTTTGTTTTTTTGCTCTTTTTCTTATTTGTTTCTCGAAGAGTATTTCTATTACCTCACGTTTTGTTTTTTCTAGGCGCACGTCTTCGTCGAGTGAGGAATCAAGTGAAACCACTGGAATTGCCACTCTCCGACTACACGCAAGAACGTTTCGTAAATTTCTTAAATTGATATTCGATTGCATGATCTCATCTAATTTTTGATCATCCTTCACATCACATTGTAAATACGTGGTAAGCCATCCTGGAAATAGGTTGTTCATGGTACGAATGGCCTTTATCAACTTGAATCTAATTTGGGAAGAGCTGTACAGTCCTGGCTCGTTCTGAATCAAATAACGAAACATGCTCTTTTCTTTCCCTAACTCTCGAACCTTTTCACTGTACTTCAATCGATGCCATTCGTTGGTCACATTGTTATATGTCGTATTGAAATTTTCGTAACACTTTAAATAAATGATTCTATTCGTGGCATAATCTGTAATATCTTCAATGACTTTTCTATGATGTAAAAACACCATTAATCGATAATATTCACAAGAATCACATGAAATTCTTTCATCACGTAGAGTTTCATCGCTATCTAAATCGTCTTCACTCATAATAGAATTTATATTCAACATTTGGAGTGTAATATTTTTCGAAATATAGAGCAAGCCTTTCACAGCACGATCTTGCACTGATAAAAATTTATAAATATTGAACATAATTTCGCAAGGCAATTGAACAAATAATTGTCCGATGGCATCATCCCAGGAAGTAACTACATTTTGATCGATCGGAGTGATGATTGAATCCTGTGGTTCTGAATGATGAATCAATCTCTTCTTCTTTTCACGAGAGATTTCAAAATTCTCATCATTAGGATGTTCTTCTAAATGATCGTGTGATGAATCCTCGTCGTACTCAGTTCTTGAATCATGACGAAATTCACAGTTTGAACGTTTGGACATTTTTTTCTCGTGGTTTACAATGAACATTTCATGAAAACCAAGCAGGGTTTTCTTCACCCTTTCTCATTTGAGAACGTTGACCTCATCCTTGTGAAAATAATGATGCCACAACCACTTGTTCCAAGTTCCCCCTCGTTGGTTCCCTCTTCACACGTTTCGCATTCAAAGAAAAAGTCTAAAAAAAAATTCAACAAAATCATCACACATTCATTGATTAATCAATTTCATTCAATACCTAACCAATTTCATCATGTACATTCCACCTCTTTCTCTCGTCTGTAAGCTTGAATATGATCAAGTAAAATTCTCAGATCCAGGTGCCAGTATGATCGGAATGGCCAGTATTAGCGCTCCAGCCTTTGAAAGCCAAGAATTTCAATCACGGGCTCCCATTGATCTCTGTTGCGTGATTGATAAGAGTGGATCTATGGAAGGATCAAAATTAGAACTCGTGAAAACCTCTCTCCGATTCATGATTGATCAAATGAAACCTCATGATCGGATTTGTATTATTGAATTTGATAGCCATGTAAATACTTGTTTGCAACTCACACAGATGGATAAGGCTGGAAAGACTTTGGCTCAACATGCCGTTGCATCCATCAAGGCTGGTTCATGTACGAATATTTCTGGTGCCTTGTTGGAAGCCTTTGATATCATGTCCCAACGATCACAAAAGGCAACCATTTCCTCTATTTTACTCTTTACGGATGGTTTGCCAACAAAGGGAATTATGGCACAAGAGAAATTGGTACAAATGGTTGAGAAGTGTATTGTAAAGAGTTCAAGTTCATTATTTACTTTTGGATTTGGTGAAGAACATTCATCGAATTGTTTGGTTGCGCTCAGTCAATCGGGTGGAGGCTTGTATTATTATATTAAGAAAGATGACGAAATTCCTCAAGCATTTTCAGATTGTTTGGGAGGATTGTTAACAGTGTTTGCTCAAAATATTGTATTGAAAATTCAATGTACAGGAGATAATGGAGTCATTTTGAAAGGAGCCATTCTCAATGAGGGAGGATATAAGCAGCAAGTTGTTGAACCTAACAAGGAAATTCTTGTCAAGCTTGGTGATATTTATGCAGAGGAACAACGTGATATATTATTTGAAATGCAACTTCCAATGTTGCGATTTCCAATTGAGAAACAAGAATTGGTGACCGTCACTCTTGAATATTACAATGTTGAGAAAGCAGACAAGGAGAGTCTGGTTTGCGAAACTTATGTGTCAAGAAGTGAACAAACCAAGAATAGTACTATTGAAAACAATTTTGCTCTTACACTTATTGACATTCAAAGAAATAGAATTGCTGCAGCCGAAGCCTTAAAGCAAGCTCGTCACTTTGCAGATAACAATGGTTTGGAAAATGCCCGAAATTTATTAGGAAATGTCATTGGTCAAATTCAAACAAGTCCTTCGAATCAAGAATCATTTTGCCAAGCTCTCATTCGCGACTTGAGAGAATGTTTGGAAGAAATGACAAGCCATGATCGATATCAACAAGTGGGCAGTAAGGTCGTGAATGCCATGTGGTGTGCCAACGTTCAGCAACGAAGCAATATCAGTTCTCGAACTTATGAAACCAAAAGCAAAAAGTCAGTGAAAGCCAAAGCTGTCACATTCAAATAAATAAGCAAACCCTTTACATTCGGATCAATCGGTGCTTACTGTCGTTCAATGGCTTTTGTGAAACTGGATCGCTCGATTAAGTGGTTGGAGTTAATATGTTTGACAAACTAATTCCGACTTGAACAATAATTGTTGTGTGAAACGAAAACTTTATTTTCACATCCAGTGCTGATCATCCGCAACCTTTCACACATAATTTAAAATGATCATGATGATGATCCATCAAAACAATTGCGTCAACAACAATTTCAAAATGATTAATAAATCTTGGTAAAGACATCACCATTGCTCAATGGCAAAGAAGCCAAAGTGTTAGTAACAATCTTCAACAAGTGATCTTGTCCATTGTTATGGAAGTTGATAAAGACAGTGTAAGTTCCAGTGGAGTGATCTCTTGCAAAGAAACCATCAGCATTTCTTCCATCTTGTTGATTGTGGAGAACGAATGAAGTTGGGCCTGATGCAGTCACTTGCCAAACCTTACCACTCTTTTCTTGATAACCACCGAATGGAGCTTCAGCAACGAGTGGATACACTCTAGTGAAAGTGTCACTTGGTCCGTGCAATTGATTGTGATCTGGAGATGGCTTCAACAACCAATGAACAGTGTTGTCAAAAGTCAAGACAACAGCAAATTCAGCGGAGTTGACCTTTGGGACAGCAATACCAGTGGCAACACGACCAGTACCTTCTTGAGTCCAAGTGAAATGATGACCATTTTGAGTGCAGTGCCAAATTCTGATCATCATGTGCGGAGTAGAGATGAATAAATGTAATGATCCATTCACAACATGTAAATATTATTAAACAACAACCAAGAAATGATCAAAGAACATACCTTCCTCCGTTTTCTCTCCATTGACCAGTGAGATTGAGATTGACGACGTGTGGGACGGTGATCATTTTGTTGTTGTGATTTGTTGAATAGTGTGAAATGATTTTTTTGTTTGTATGAAAGTGAATTGACAGCAGGCAGTGCGGAATTTGAGTCTCGAGACGGGTCTGGGGTTCAAACTTGTCACCTTCGCTCTTTCTCTGTGACTCAAGAGCTTCCGGTTCGATTTTACAAAGGCGTTTTCGGTGGCATGAACTTTCATGTGGCGTTATTGATTGGTGCTGATCTTTGGGTAACATTGTAATGAGAGAGCGTTACAATAAGATTCGTTGGAGTGTGAGGGTGGTGGTATTCATTTCAAAACTTTTCTTTCCGAGTAGTCAATTCCTTTTTACCAATGTGTCGCTCCGTTTGTCCTGTTCAACTACAACTGTAAACATGTCATTCTTTGGATGAAAAAACGGAAAGAAGGACTGGCTTTTAATGCTTTTGCATTCCCTTCTTGATCTTCTCCCATACGTACATGATGCTCTTTGTGAAACCTGCAGAAAGAATGCCTTTGAGAGTTTGAGAGGTGCTGGAGCGATGGACAATGTGTGAGATTGCATTTTCTAATTGTTCATTGGTGATCTTGGATGAGGCAGAGTTTGATGACACGTGTTTCGAATCAATCGTTTTGCTCACTGTAGATGGGAGTGGTTTCTGTTCAATGACATTCTTGATTTGTTGAGGTGAGATTTGAATGTAGCTTGAAGAGTGGTCGCTCGACGACGTATGTTCCGCCTCCTTCTTAATATCCATACCATTCCTGTCAAAAATGGGTTTGTATAGTTTGATGAATAGTTCGTAATTGGTGGTAACAATATTCATCACCTTATTTGCATTTTCTGCTCCTTTAATTTTCATGCGGACATCTCCTTGATATGAAATTGAAGCAATTCTCACAAATAAATCGAATAAATTAATTCTAATGTATTGATCACCACTCTCTGGTGACAGTGTGTTGGAGTTCTTTAAATCATTCACCATCATTTTCAAAGCAACAAATAATGCATGTTCCAAATTAATTTCTTGTGCTTTTACAATCTCAGCATGCCAATCAATGACCTTTTGTAGAGTGTAAGGAGATGTTTGGGTAGGCAGAGAAGAATTCGTGGCATGTTGAGCTTGTTCTGAGGTTTTTTGTGTTCTTGATAACGGATTAGACACATCAATTTCAAATGTTGGTTTTTGCAACCTTCCAGAGACATACAGCGTCTCCCAATTATTCAAATCATCAATCAAATCTTGTGCCTTAATGACTCCATATTTAAATAAATATGGAGATGTTGTACTATGACTCTCCTTCAATTCTACCATTGTATTATAATATATTTTTGCTCCAAATCGTTCTTGCAATAATGTTATCATTTTAGGACCCACCACTCTCATCAGCCATGAATAATGTTCGGGATTTAGCAATAAATTTTGTTTATGCCATTCATAGGAATCTGAAACCACAAACACCAAATCTACCATTAACTTTTTCCGATCCCGTAGTGCTAGATTGACTGGTTCCGATGGTATTCTTGCTTCTCCTTCCTGTGAAACCATCTTTTCAAAATCATCATGGAATTTTTCATGTCCTTTTTGCTTGAACACTGCTGAGCCATAAGCAAAAGCATACTTGAGTGGAGGAAAATTGAAACGAACGAGATGAGGTAGTTGAGAGGCTAATCGATGATTCATATTTTTTGATCATTGATTCGTTCTTTTGATTGGAGCCGGAATATAATTCTTTCATCGTCCCAATCTTATTATTGCTTCAAGGAAAAACAAGATCATTTGTACGTACAAATGAAAAGAATATTAAGCGTGAAAATACGTGGATTACACAGCCAAAAAGTTCAAAGATTGAATTTACTACATCCAAGCAACACGTGTTCTCTGAAAAATCATTCATCATGATCATCCAATCATTGTTTCTAACAATCCTTCTGCCCCAAGGACCACGTTGAATAGGAATCCGAGCAATCATCAAGTCATATTTTTAAATGATTTCAATGAGGTGGTCAAATAATAAGCTAATCTGATTGTCATAACCCTTAGAAATAAGTTAAAAAACAATGGAATTTTCAACAAGAGTCATTCACCACATGTTCTTTAAAATTTCATATGCTTCTCCATTCGTGATGATGCAGTGTAGAGTCCACGTCGAATTTGGTTTGAGAGAACGATTTGGTTGACATCTCTCTGGGCATTCTGTCGCTCAATGTGCTTGGCTAACAATGCATGAGCATTCTCTGCTTTGAAATGTGACGCCCAAAACATTGCATTTCTTCCCATCATGTCTTTTTGATGGATATTGGCCTTCCAATCGATACAAAGTTTGAGCTCGTCTGCCATGTCTCTTGCTGCAAAATGCATGACAAGAGTAAATCCAAAAGCATCCTGAATGTGAAGTAGAGTTTTAACAGCTTCTTCACAGCCCACTTGTCGTGAAAGTCTCTCAAATCTATCATACATTAACAAGCAGCTGTTGCAATGATTCAAGTCGCTCTCAAATAAAAATTCATTTCCATCAAATTCAAAAAGCACAAGGTCATTCACAGTTGGATTTTCTTGATGTGCACGATTGCTGCTTGATTGTGTAGTTGTGGCAGAGGAGTGTTGTTGGCCTTCCGATGTCTTGTTTGGATTTTGAATAATTTGAACGCTCTTCATTCTTTTATCCTCTCCATAGAAGTAGAAATTCAAATAGCTCTGATCCTGTCGTGTGAAAAATATTTGATTGTCGATGGTGAGCTTGACGAACGTGTTAATATTATCATAGTTGTTGATCAGAGGCGTCTTGCCATAAATTATAAAATCTTTGGTCATTATTGTATTATTGGCCATATTTTCATATGAAAAAACTGGCTGAACGTTAATGACTCCAGCTTGAAATGCTACATTCTCATGAAGTGCAATGAAATCGATGGAAAATTGTTTGATTAGAGGATGAAATAAGTGATAGGGCTGACTTTCTGAAATTTGAATCGAAAGTTGGAATAGGGTTGGTTTTTTGGCAGGAGCGTCTTCGGGATCTATCGAAAGTAAATTCACATGACCAGGTTGTGATTCAACCTTGGTCTTTTTACCATATTCTTCTTGATGCATGCACATCTGTTGTTGCTGTTGATGGTTTGACATCAATAGCGACGATAGTGGATTGGCAGCCATGACTTGCAAATTATGAGATGAGTATGTTGATTCTTCGTCATGATTACTGCTTCGTGCACTCATGCGATCCTCACTCGTTGCCTCATCATCGCTCTCGTTCATGGAATCTAATTTTCTTTTCAGAGATGAACAATTCAGCAAGGTCGTACCCTCTATTTGATCCAACAGAACTTGTTCATAAATCCACAATATTCTCGAATCGTTTGATTTTCTCTTAAATGCCACAACATTGACAAAGTCAATGGCAGTAGTTTTAGAAGCGTCCATATTATTTACATTGGTATAACCCAAGTGCTCGACTGTAATCTTATCAAAATGAGAAATATTCTTCTCTGATTTATATTCTCGAAGACTGACATGAACCGTTTGACCCACTGAAACTTTGAAAGGTAATATTTGATCTTTTCGTTCCAATACCTTCGGATGATCCAAAGAATAGATAGTCTTATTTCTTTGTTTTTTACCTTCCGCGTTGTAAATGACGGATTGATTCATGAACACCATTTCTACTTGTTTTCTTTTTTTCTTTTGTTGTGAAAGAGTCTGATGATCCTCATGGTGTTTCATTGAATCCGCTGATTCCGTGGCATCTTGCGTATGGTTGTTCATTGCGTTCATTGGGTTTGTTTTTGTTAGTTGAGTTTCTTCGCTACTCGTAGTTGTGAGCCTGCTCCTCGGAACATCCCGATGCTGTTCATTGAATTCATTGAAAAGGCAAGGCTGTGCTGCTTGATGCATTTTTTTAAAATTTGAAACTTGGAACTTGAGTTAAACCACTTTGTTTGATAACTTTTCTTTGAGATTTATCGATGTAATCACTGTGACACATTTCACAGCTTTAATGAACCTATTTGGATATCTTGTTGAATATCTAGAACATCTGATCGTTTTGTACTTGGAATGAATAAGGATCGACTTGAAACTGGATCTCCAAAGGCACAATTAAAATCATTACCTGTGACCAATGGCTGACAAATTTCTAAATCTCGCTTGATTCGAACATATTCTTCCTGTTCTTCTTTAGTGAGAGCAAGTGGATCGGTGAATCCTAATTTTGAGCGAACCGTCTCTCGTTGTTTCTTTCGTTGTTGAATTCGTTGCATGATGGACACAGAATTCGAATATCTCAACCAAAATCCTCTATCGAATGCGTTCAAAAGTCCATACTCTTGAGTGTTTTTGAAGTTTTCGTCGAGCTCTTTCAAACAATGTACAAAACCATCCAACTCTCGGTGTGTTGTAAAAATGATATACTTCTTGTTGACTCCAAAATAGTAGGATTGGAAATGTTCCCAGCGCTTGATTTCGGCCACTTTTTGTTTTTTAGCTTCGAAATGAACCTGTTGTTTTTGAATAAATGATTGTAAGGTTGGATCTGACGAATTGTCAGAGCTTGCCTCCGTGCTATCATTGCTGGTTGTTGGCGTCGAATAACTTGCAATGATAGGCATATGGCTCAGCAATAATTCCGAAGAAGTGACAACATTTTGAATTTTGACTTGCTCAATTTTTGCATCAATCAGCTTGAAATATTTCTCTCGAAATGCCTCGTTGATTGAGAATTTTGTGATTGGATTTCCTCTCTGTAATAGGTCTCTCAAAAAATTATGAATACTGTTATTTCCAACAAAGGTTAAATCGGCAACACCAATAGCTTTCATCATTTCTACAGTGAACGTTTGACAACTTCCAGTTTCTTTCTCAACACTTCCTTTAAGATTTGTATAGGTAAAATTTCGATTCCATCTAGAAATTTCAATAGAGAGCAATTTTAAAATTCCCTCAAGTTCTCTGAGGCTCCAAATTTCTCGACATGTTATGGCGAGAAGAGACGTGGCCGATTTTACAGTAGTGACTGAACAATAGCCACTATTGGTCCAATCAAAGCGAAGATTTCCAATTGAAAAACTGGTGTGAAACCATCCAAATTGATCGAACACTTTTAAGCGACTCATTAAAGGTGAAGCAGCTGTTCGAATTCTACCTGGACTCTTTCCCACTTCTGTTATAATTAATTTCACCTTAATCGCCTTCTCAAATTTCATATCTTGGTTCACGTTAATATACTCATCAAATGACGAGAGTAATCGCACAGTTTCAGGTTTCTTTGTTTCCACTTCGTCAGCATCGTTAAATAATCGATTCAATAATTCTGTTCTAGGTAACACCGGGGATGATGATAGGGTCTTGTATTCTACAATTCGTTGTTGTTGTGGTGAGTTTTTGGAGGTAATAGGAATGGTGGTCGTATTGGTAGGTGTTGCTGATGGAGATTTCTTGTCTTCTTGGGAATCTCCACTGTTTGATGGAGGAAAATTAGGCTTATTAGCATACCGTTCCATTCGCATGTTCTTTCTATTCTTTTTCTTTTTTAACACATATTCCTCGTGTAACAAGCCAAAAACTGTTGGCTCCAAACGAGCAAACATGTATTCGTAGAAAAAGTTTGGAAATCCCAAGTCACATGCCATTTGTCTCATTTGTTGATCCGTGATGTCAATATCATTCTTAAATCTATTTTTCAATTTTAAATAAACTCGGTTAATTCCTGCATGATAAGACTTTGGTATTGCATTCCATAGCTCAGAAATTTCGTCATCATTTTCGCTCCACAATCGTTCTTCTTTTGGATCCATTTCTTCCTCCACAAATGTCATTTCATGAACGAGAGATGTTGAAATCAATTCTGAAGCGTGGTGTGGAGGTGAAATTGAAGCTGCTGCCACACGATCAGAACTTGCAACATTTAGTGAACCTGTCGAAGAGCATGTCGTCGTTTCTACAGTATTCTTTAGTTTTGATTGATAATGATTTCCATGCGAAGAAACATTTGTCGTTCCAATAGCAGAATAATCAATGGAGGAAGATCTTCTGTGATGATGATATTGACCCGAGTGTACATGATTTCTATTACTCGATCCATTTGAAGGTTGTTGTTTTGGTGGTTGGGTCAGTACTGCCGCCGATGATGGCAGTGCTCCATGAAAGCTCTCAAAATCATCATCGGATGGTAAATGTGTAACTGCAGATTCGCTACGTTTGCCCGCTTCATTCATTGTCGCGTTGCTGTTCGTTGATGTTGTTGTGAAAACACTATAATTCCTCAAATCCGTATTATTGTTATTATTCATATTATTATTATTATCATTCATGGGATTGAAATCATCATCAAATTCATCAATATCCTCTTCAGTCATGATCATCATTTCCAAATGATCATCCTCTAGATTTTCACCATGATGATCACAAGCCTCATCATCATCATGTTCATCAATTTTCTGTTTTAATCTTAAATGAATAGCATTTCCAATCCCGATCGAATAATGTTTTGCAGCATGATGATTACTTCCACGCCGTTGTTGTGGTTGTTGTCCTCCTCCTCCACGATCGGAAACAACCTCTTCCTTCATCCTCGTCGTATCAGCTCCAGCCCCACTCGTCGTTGTTTCATTATTTTTCTGTGTTACCGTAAAATTTCGCGGGGATTCCTTCTTCATGGTCTTGTTCTTCTTCTTTGGATCTGTTGTGGTCGTTGCGTAATGATTCGGAGAGGGTCGAGAGGTCATGCTCTGAAACATGGATCCATGCGGCTGCTGGTGTGGTTGTTGTTGTTGATGACGATGATCTTGACGATGAATTCTTGAGAAGAGATGATTATTGGAAGGAAGAGAAGAGGAAACTGTGGTCGTCGTTGTGGTCATGACGTCTTCACTTTCCGAAGAAAGGTCATCAGTTGCTACGGTTTGACGTCTAGAGAGAGGATCTTCTGTGTCATGAATACCGTGCCGTTTATGCCGATGATGACTGTGGCTTATACTGCTACTCTGTTGTCCCATTTTTTGGAAGATGATGGTCCTTTTTGACAACTCAGCAC